TAGGCTAGGTCTTTTACAGAAATGAAGGAACAATCCTTCATTATAAGGAAAATCTAGATTGAAAAAATAGCATAATTCAGGTTGGAAATGGCCTCATGATGTTGTCTAGTGCAACGTCCAGCTCAAAGCAGGGTCAGCTATGAGATCAGACCAGGTTATGCAGAGCTTTAGTGTATGAATAGATCCATCTTTTCCTATTATTTACATTATGTAATGCCTTTGTTCTGAAGTTAAAGTTGTAATGTGCCCTGGGAACCTCACACAGCTGATTATTTCTGCTCCCTGCTTGCTAACACTTGCTGGGTTCCTTTAGTGTTCAGTTCCAACTTCCTATGTATCAATTTCTGTTTATGAGGTACGATACACTAGTAAAATAATATATGTTATTTTCTCTCTAGTGGATAGCACACAAAAACTGTGAAAATCTGCCAGCTCTGTCACCTACTGAAGTTACTCCTTAAACTTATATGGCATGAATTAATACATATACAAGTCTAAAACAGAATCAAGTGTTGGACTTATATATCAGCTTATAGTCTACCAGGTATTAATGTAGGACATGCTATGTTTGCAGATAACACATAAAAACAGCTTTAAAATTTGGTTTAATGAAAATAAACAATCCATAATTTATATCTGAGAGACGTAATTATAGCCTGCGCTTAATAATTGTCTATTTGCAATCTTAATATCTCTAGTTAATCTGAACTTCTGAGCATTTAGATAGAATAGCAAGCACGTATTGTTATACCAGAAGGCAGCATTCTCTGAGAGAAGTACAGAACTGTCCTTGAATTAATCTAGTAGCAAAATGTATTTCTTGAATTCCTTTTCAGCGCGAGTACAAATTGGCTTATGAAACATCAAAGACCAATTATACGGCACCATTGGACATGATCCCAGTTGTTCAAGCTAAAAAATCTCAAGCAATTGCCAGCAACGTGGACTACAAGAACATCCCTCACAGTTACTTTTATCCTCCTGACAGCGTTAATGTGGAGCTTGCAAAGAAAGCCTATACTCTTCAGAGTGATGTAAGGAATTGGTATTTTTGTGCTTGTGGTAACACTGATGGTAACTAAAGTAGAACCATTTCTGGCTGCCAATAATGTGTGCCAACAGAATCACCTTTAGTCTGCTCTGAAAAATGATGAGCTGTTTGTTTTGCAAAGCAAGAAGTAGAAACTGGTAGAAATCTTTGAAGAGGAATTTATAGCTGCTAACTTTATTTTCTGGTGTTCAGAATATTTCCAGTGAACTGGATTTGAGTAGATTAGGGAGTTACAATAGTGACTGTTTTTCAGCAGCACGGTGATAAACCTATTTTAAATTGATCCCCATATTCAGACTTCTTTTCTAAAGTATTATTTGGTATCGTTCAGGGCAGCATATTTTCTTTGGTCTCTGAATGCTCCATGACAAGGCTGTGGGCAATAAATCTTTGCTTCTCTGCAAGGACATTCCTTAATATAGTCTTGAGTATTTTAGAGGACTGCATACCGTACCTATTAATCTGAATTACTTACTGATTCTGGTGAAGTTCCATATGTAACAACCCTCTTTTGAGGGGCTCAGACAAGTAATAAATACTGTGAGCAAAACAACCATTTTAAAAACAAGCATTGTAAATCTTAGCAGTAAAGAATAGTTTACAACAGGAGAAAAGAGGATCGAATGAATGAATAATTTATGCGTATAACTTTCTTACTCATGGTTACAAAGTTTACATGTGGCTGTTGACCTAGTTTCCCTAAATACCTGACCTCTACCCCTCAACCTGACAATATTTTATAGGGGCTGCAATATTTCTAGAGAAACTCATTTAGCAGATAGAGAATGAGGATCTAACCAGGGCTTCTCAACAAATAATCGTAGCTTTGTTCTTCAAGAGTTTGTGAAGGGAAGCATACCAAGAGTGTCATCTATTCTTTGGGTGTATTTCTTTAAAATGTCAGTGTGGAATTCACTCAATAGATGTGTATAATAAATTGAGTTATCCTCTTTGTTAATTAATATCAGCAGTTCCAAAGTGATGACGGTGTTTGCTAGCCCCAGGATAACTTTTGGGGAAAGTTTTAGGTAATTAAACTTAGCGTTTCTATACAGAGTACTTTGAAAAAAACTCTATTTCTTATTGTGACTCTAGTTTTTTGGTGTTTCTTTTGAAGTTACAAATGATTTAGTTCAGAAGCAGCAAATGTGTTTTATTTTTTGCATTAAGAACTTCAGTCTGTTTTAACACCATAAGTGGATAGTTTCAGAATATTTATTGCAAAAAATTACAAATCTTGAGAATGTAATGAGGTCTCAGTGGGTTTCACAGTATTTTTATTGGTTTTGTAGAACACTGAAGATTTACAAAGCTAATTGCCATGTTTCAAGAAACTGAGAAATTCAGTAGATACTTTTTTCAAGTAACATTGCACCTTTCCAGAAACAGCAGGTGGAATTTGAAACCTTTTTAAGTCAAGGAGGTCTCAGTCCAAGGAAATACAGGAGACATCTAGTTATACCAACTATATCTTATGTCCTGGTCAGCTAAATGTTTTGAATCAGGTGTTTAAAAGACTCACTGTCATACTGGTTTAGCTAACAGAGAAGCTTCACAAACAATTTTAGAAAAATTGTAGGGGTATCGCTACATGTTACAGTGCAGCGCATGCAGAAAGATTACAGTGAAATCTGTATCAGCTAGCTTGGTACAGTGTAAAGCTGTAGCATTTTAGCAGAGTACTATATGTAGAGTGAAAGCAGGCTGAACAGATGATGGCAGAGCATCATGCTAGTGCAACAGTACCAAACTAGTTCATTTAGATTAAGTCAAGTATATTTGCACACAGCTGCATTGAGAACTGTTGAAGGTCTCATGCCTGTGCGATGTAGCTGGAGTATTGTATCCTAACAGTGTTGGCGGAAAGAATTTTCAACTTTTGATGAGTTCAGTGATGAACTGATCACTTCAAGTTTATCAGTCAAGTGATGATTGACCCTTCAATTTGAAAAATTGAAAAAGTTAAATTTTTGAACTTTTGATGCTGTGTTCTGATGTGAGCACAGCACATTCTTTGCTCTATATTGAGTAAGAACACAATACCTAGGCAAACTGGGTTCAAAATTAACCCCTGTAATTTGTTAATCTTGACAAGCAAATAGCTTTTATGAATCACAGTAATTTCATATGTAATTTGACATCCAGATAACTTACCATGGAGAAATGACCAGACTGGAAAGGCAAAACACAACACTGAGGTCCTTATTTTTAAAGGCATGCAGACTAAATATTCTGACATCTTTTCAGTGTGTGTACCTATGTCCATTGATTTTAAGAAGAGCCTCATCTGAGGAAGAACAGAGTTTTTATTTTCTAGGAGGCTTTGGACATCTTTCTCTTAAACTAGATGTTTCCTTGGTTTTCCTTTGACTTTTACATAAAGTCAGTTTTAATGATGTGGTATTAAGGAGTTTAAGCTTTCTTACTGGTGTCACTGAAATAATTTTGTATAGGTAATTCAGACATCTGGAATCTTCTTTTCACTGGCCTCCATGTTTTTCTCTTTCTCTTCCAGAATGAGTATAAATCTGATTACAATAGTGACATGAAAGGCTGTGGCTGGGTACCCTTAGGATCGCTGGAAGTGGAGAAGGTTAAGAGAGCTTCAGACATTTTGAATGAGGTAATGAAACCTAGTGTAACCAAATTCTTACTCAGCTGAGAGCACTTTGTGGAGGGAAGAAGCAATGAGAGACCCTTTGTGCTGTATCTATCATACTATCTTTTATATGAAATACTCTGTGCTGTTCATTGACTAGACAGGAATTCTTTATGGGTTCAGTCCTGGTTTATGAAAAGTAATATATTAATCTGGAGATTAACCAAAAAGCTTTCACCTAAACTAGCTAATTTACTCAGCTTCTCAGTGATTCATTCTGCTCTCAGCTGATTTTTTGGAAGAAAGATAATAACAAGATAAGCATGTCTTTGTTGCCTTATAATTAAATTGTGGCAGTGGAAGCAGATGTTCCAGGTACTACTTTTATGCATTTTACATAAGGAGTCTTTGGAGTTAAAACACCAAAAATCCACTGACACCTCTGCTGAGATCTTCTATTGGTCCTTTGGCTGTTTAGGTCAAAATAAAGGTCTAATCATCTGTACCTAAACATAAGACTTAGGCACATAAATAAAGCAGTGGATTTAAGCTGTGAATCTAATTTCACAAGGATGCCTAATTACAGACCTCGTATCTAAATCCTAGCAATGCTCAGAATTTCATGAACTATTTATCAACAATTATGTTGTCTGGACTAGATGTCCTGGGGCTTATTGTGCTGAATGTTATGAATGCTGTAATTAGAAGATCTAACTTTTTTCTGTTCAGCATATAGAGAAATTAGTCACCTACATCAACCTTGTAAATACCACCTTTCATCCAGGTGCCTAATTTTTGGATGGTATAGAGCTTCATACTTCAATTGCTAAGTCTGTTTAATGACATATGATTAACATCTAGGAGGAAGAAAGAGAGTAATAAATGAATGTGTTAGCTTATGTTTGTGTACATTTTAATAAATAGATGTATTGGTTATAATAAAATCTCTTTTTACCCATCTGGAAATGTAATATGACTTTTTTATTTTCCTGAACAGAAAAAGTATCGCCAGCATCCAGACACTATTAAGTTTACACAGATTGAAGACGAGCCTGTTATGGTTCAGGCTAAAATCAACCAGGCTCAGAGAAGTGATGTAAGTTTTGACATTTCTGATTCATGTATGGATATAATAGGTATATTAATTACCTGAAGCCTCAAACTGAAACCTCTGTAGAACTAATCATGCCCCAATATTCCATGGCTGTTGTCATGTCTTGCAATCCAAATGGTTCTGTTTTTCAAAGGCTTATTGCAGGCAGTTAGCAAACCTTGTCCAGTTCTTATGACTCGCGTGTTGCTGCACTCGAATGAGTCTATTCATTTCTGCACTGTTGTCACCCTCACTTAGTCATCTGGTTTTAAGAGAACTCCTGAAATGAATGTATGCATGCATGCATGCATGCATGCGCACACGTTTCCAGCGGAAGATCACTGGAATCTGATTTTCTTTTCTTTCTTTCTTTCTTTTTTTAGTTTTTCAAGTGACTGTTCATATTGGGTTTTAGTATGTAGGTCTGTAATTGTGTTTATGTTCATCATTCTAATGTACTCTTTGCACCAGTTAAGTCAATGTGGTTTATGCCATTGACTTGACAAGGACTAGGATTTCATCTCTATCTTTTTTAAAAAGTGAGATAAAGTGACATATTTAAGCTGTATCACTCAGCATGATTAAGTATTTGTAGCCTATAAACATTGGGCTGGCAAATTTATTTCTTTAATTTTCTCTGCAGGTACTGTATAAATCCAAAGGTGAAGAAGTTATTCACAAGTACCACCTTCCTCCAGATGTGCCCCAGTTTATCCAGGCTAAAGTTAATGCTTATAATATTAGTGATGTAAGCATATTTTGGAATCCAGAGTTCTTGATTCAGCTTACAGTTTTAAGATTCAGTTAGCTAGAAATTGTTCATTCAAAATTCACCTTTTCTTTTAGAACTACTACAAAACTGGATTGGAAGAATTAAAGTCAAGGGGTTATGATCTAAGAAGTGATGCTATTCCTATCAGGGCTGCCAAGGCTGCTAGACAGGCTATCAGTGATGTAAGTACATCCATCTTCAAGGAAGTGTTTAATTCAGAAGAGTTTATTTAAGCAATGTTTGCAATTATATTTATTTATGATATCTGAAGGTTAACTCCTTTATTACCTTTGTGGAGCTTGTTATCGGACTATTTGTCTAAACATAGATTAACCTTAATTAACATAGTTATATTTTATTAGTTTTTTTTTCCTTCACTAAAGTATTTGTATAATATAGTTACACTTAGAAAAGGCTGTCTCATTATGTAATTCTCTGGGAATAAATAAAATATCCCACACTCCAGTATGACTGAGGAAGATCATAAGGAGTAGGTCACTAGTGAGTAGGTCAGCTTCATGAGCAATGAACCCCTGAATTCCCTCTGTCCCTAATTATAGGCTTGATCCTAAATGAGATGAAGGACCTTCTAAGACGTCATTCGGTTTTGGAGTAAATTCTTGGGGATGTCCTCGGGGAAGTTTTAAGGCGCCTTTCCCTCTTTGGATCACCTACAATTGAAATAATAATGCTATGCAAATTAACTGATGTTTGTATAACAGCGAATTGTGAAGAGATACATATCTGGTTTTATTATGATTGTTTTATGTAGGTCACTGCTTTATATGTGAGGGATACTCTTTTGTAAAAAAACCAAAAGCATAGTTTTGCTTTTAATTTCCTTTTTGATAAGTTACTACGCTTAAGATGATATTCTCTGTGTTCTGTTGTGGTCTAACAGGTTAACTATAAAAAAGGCTATCAACTTGCCAAGGGTAAACTTATTGGCTTCCAGAGCCTCCAAGATGATCCGAAACTGGTTCATTATATGAAAGTAGCTAAGATACAATCTGATCGAGAGTACAAGAAAGATTATGAGAAAACAAAAACTAAATACAACACCCCACTGGATATGGTCAATGTTGCAGCTGCCAAGAAGGCTCAAGAGATTGCGAGCAATGCTAATTACAAGAACCTCCTGCACCACTATACTTATTTACCAGATGCAATGAACTTGGAGCTGACCAAAAACATGATGGAGATTCAGAGTGATGTAAGTAAAACCTCGTTTGAACAGAATTTGTTGAGGCACCTCAAGCAAAAACTACGGAGACTCATTAGAGGTCCCTGAATTGTTTTAATTCCTAGCTTTTTAAATATTATTTTCACTTTTTGATTAGAATGCCTACAAAGCAGATTATAATATCTGGATGAAAGGCGTTGGTTGCATCCCCATTGGCTCACTAGAAGTAGAAAAGTGTCTGCCCTGTAGACCTCCATATAAAGCCAAGTCTGTTAGAGTCTGTTGCAACACAGAAAAAATTCAGCCATGCTATATGGTCACCATATGGTGAAAAATTTCACATGGGTGAGTGAGAAAGAGCTTAGTAAATATGTAAGGGATGTCACTGTTTATAAGAAATGAATCATGAAGGAAAAGCTACAGTAACTCATTTTCATCCTTGCAAGATCACAGAGAAGTTTTTAAAAAGTCTGTTCCCTTAAAGAATTCGTGAGTATTTCCTGCTAATGTAGAACACATTGGCTAGACTATGTGATTATGGTTTTTAAATAGAAAGATTGTAATTCTGTGGGAAAATCTCGGTCCATGTTGGCTTTCTCCCTTTCAGAATGCATACAAACAAGACTATAACAGCTGGTTCAAGGGTATTGGATGGAGTCCCCTGGGTTCTCTGGATGTTGAAAAAGCTAAAAAGGCTGGAGAAGCACTAAATGAAAAGAAATACCGTCAGCACCCAGACACCATCAAATTTACAAGTATACCAGATTCAATGCCAATGGTTTTAGCTCAGCACAATACCAAGCAACTGAGTGACGTAAGATGTTTTTCATTATTTGTGCAGTATAGTCATTTTATTTTTTTACTGTACATATGATTTATATATATATAAGCTGATATTCCATCTTACAAATATTTAAATTCTAAAAGCTGTACAAGTAGTAAAATTGTCGTTTGTTGGTAAGAATTAAGCATTATTACTTTGCTTATTTGTTAGCAGTAATGTTACCTACTTTGTATTCTCAACAAATATGTTATTTATTTATTTTTCCCTTCAGGTGACATATAAGCAAGAGGGTGAAAAAGTAAAACACAAATACACTCTGGATCCTGATGTTCCGCAGTTTATTCAAGCCAGGGTCAATGCCTTCAATTTGAGTGATGTGAGCATATAACTGATCGTTTCTTCAATAATATATTTATTTATCACTCACTTAACGGCCTTTTATTTATTTGTGCTGTTATATTTGAATATAGAAATGCACAAGGTGTGAGTTCAACTAAACTCTTGCTTCTAGAAATCAATGTTTTTTTTCCTGGTTAAGCAATCTGTTAAGCGCTTCTCCGAGTACTAATGAACATAAACACGTTTCACTGCTTTTTGCCAAAGTGTTTGGATAGATTGAATAAGCGTATCCCTGTAAGTTTGGAGACTTACGCCATCTCTTTCTATACAGAACACATTGCCTACTTGTGTAGGCAAGCTGTACAAGTTCTCTGTACGATGCTTCCTGCTGCTGGGCTTTCAAAGGAAATTAGCTCACCTAGTATAGAGATGTGCTATGAAATGCTTTTTCTCCGCCCTTCAGTTACTAGCGTGCCTGCTTTCCACGACTTCTTGCATTCATACAATACTGTAGAGATCTCCACTGATAGTATCACACTTGTTGCCTTTGTAATAGTAAATTTTTGGTGGCATTATCAGACCTCTAGAAACTGGGTAAAAGCTCACAGCTCCTTTTATCCCATGCTGTCGAAAGCCGTCAAGTACTGTTAGCCTGTCCAGATGCTATCCACTAGCAAAGAACCAGCCAGACCACTTTAAGTTGCTGAAGACCAGATGTCCTGATTTTGAAGTTACAGAAAAGAATTCCTAAAGGTTCAGTAAAATGAAAAGGAATTTTCTTTAAGCAAGGGCAAAAGCACTGCTGACAGAGCTTTCTGCATAAAAATTGCAAAAAAAATACCTAAGGAGTTAATGTAGTTAACTACATGAATTAAAATGATTATCTTAAATTGCATTGCTATCTTTGTAGTAGATTTATTTATCATAATATGAATGTAGTTGTGTAGAGGTCAACTTTTTTCCTTGCAATTGCACAGACTAAACAGAATACCTATAATGAAAATAAACAAATCTGTTACAATTACTACTTGTAACATTGCTAACTTGTACCTTTTTTCCCCTCTAAGGCTAACTACAAAGCAGACTGGAAAAAAACTATTGCCAAAGGTTATGATCTGAAACCAGATGCCATTCCTATTATTGCTGCTAAAGCTTCTCGAAACATTGCCAGTGATGTAAGTATAATTTACTTAGAGAGAAATACGAAGATCTGCTTCATTAAAGGTTCTGCAGCATATTATGCTGTAGAGCACATGCTATATCCATATAATGAAATAGAGAAGCTTAGCTCTGAGAATTGAAATTTTTACGGTATTATGAAATAACAAGGTTTGTGAACCTCAAAAAAAAGCTATTTCTTCAGAAACGAGTCATAATATAACTAAGTGCTGGTGAGCTGGGACTCTTCGTTATATGGAAGCTTAATGTACTTCAGGTATGCACCAGCTTATTTGAAAGTTCCTCTTTTAGAACTTATTTATTCTTTATTCATAACTGCTGGAGAATTGTAGGTCTACTTGTATGGCGTTCACCAGCTGTACTGAAATGTGGTTATTATCGGTCAATTTCGGTCAGCTGGCAGCAGGAAAGGCCAGTGTGCCATCTGACGCAGGCTATAACAGGAGGTTGGGAACCCAGAAATAAATTCATTAGTGTTAGCAAAAGGCTATAAATCACTTGAATCCCACTTACCCCAGCCTCCCCTCAGTGTCTGAATGTTGGGTTGTCTAGCTATCTGGATGTTTTAGGCTTTTCAATAACATAGCATTGTGCTAGTGTTTTAATTAAAAACTGAATGTTCCTGGGAATTAGAGGGCTATGGCAGTAAAATACAATATGGCAGAGACAATGGCAGAAGAGGACTTTTACTGAATAGTGAGATCTATATCTTTGCTAGAGGTCAAGACAGGCTGAGCAATCTAGCAATCCTCTTCTTTTTTGACCTAAATAATCTGTGGCTGTCTGGAAAACAATTTATGAGTTTATAGAATGAATTGCAGCTGTTAAAATTTCCAAGTATTGAGGTTTGTCTTTCCCTTCCAGAGTAGATAAGGCTTTCTTTTACTTTGTCTCTAGTACAAGTACAAGGAATCATATGAGAAAGAGAAGGGCAAACAGGTTGGATACCGTAGCCTGCAGGATGATCCTAAACTTGTTCATTACATGAATGTGGCCAAAATGCAATCAGATCGTGAATACAAGAAGGATTATGAAATTACTAAAACCAAATATCACACTCCCTTGGATATGTTCAGTGTGACAGCTGCCAAGAAAGCGCAGGAAGCAGTCACAAATACTGGCTATAAACAGCTAATCCACAATTATACGCTCTTGCCTGATGCTGTGAACCTGGAACTATCAAGAAATATGATGCAGATTCAGAGTGACGTAAGTAATGATTAATCATCCTAATTTTATCTTATGAGAACCACTGTATTACTGTATTTTAACCTATTAAAGCTAAAAAATGAACAGTAGTGGATTGACAATGGATTGGGAAGTGTCTACTCTAGAACCCTCTGTTTTGCAAAGATTATCATAATTATGTGTAGTTAATATGTTCCAGGGAACTTACCTAACAAGTAACAACTTTCTTTGCTTCTCTAAATACTTGGCTACTTCCAAACAAATGAACATGTTTTTCTAATTCCTGTATTTTTGTGGTTGGATTTGCAATTAGAGTGCATTATTATTGTGAATATTATTTGTATTGTCAGAGGTCCTAGGTTATGTACAGAGTCAAAATTGTGACTATAATTTAATCATAAATAAAATAAATATATTACCTATAACATAACATAAAATATATTCAACTTTACAGACAATATATATAGTATGTATTATGTACATAGATTATATAGATTATATAGCTAGGTTTTGAGATTTATTAATTTTGTTCCCTTTTCCTTCCTGTCTTTGTCCTCCAACAGGTGCATAGGCCATGCACTCTAAGGATTCGTGATTAGGTTATACAAAAGCTTTGCAAAAGTTTCCATTAAGTTCTGTGACTCACTTCCATTTTTTTCCTCTGATGGAACATTTTGTTTATCTAGACAGTATTTAGTTTAATCTGCATTTTTAACAGTCCTCTGACAAATCTGAAATTCCAAAAAAGCTTAAACAGCCTGGTTGAAAGTGTTTTTCACATTCTAAGCTTTGGCTAAGGACAGTGTGTTTATTCACGTTGTCCAGCAGGTATGGGATCTGAACTTTAGACATCGTATTCTTTTCAAATACAGAAATGTTCATCTCAGGGTTTTTTTTTTGCTTCCTCATTGTATTTTACCTGTTCTTGCTGAGTTGGCTGAGCTTGCTTGGCTGTCAAACGTAGAATGTTTGCGAGGAGAGAAAAGTGATACTTTGGGATGAATTTTGCCCTGCCTGCATATGCTGTAAAAGTATATGGTCTTTTTCTCAGTTGTAACTCTGATCATCTCATTATTTTTAACACTGCACTATAGGAACATGCTTTTATTTTTTTCATAATGTCTTTGTATCTTTATCTGTTTGAAAAGCCATGTTTTGAAGTATGATTAAATTGGAATGATGTCTATTAAAGAATGTGCAGAATCAGGGCATTAAGCAGAAGGTGTTGAAGAAATCTTGCAATGAATTAATTCCACTGAGAACTGAATCTTCTGACAAGCAAGACTGTCATTTAAAAACTTACTATATTTTTGTCAGTTTTTCATTTTTACCGCTCAAACTTTGTTCTAAGGTCTGTGCATTTGTTTTCTAGTGGGAGTTCTACACATTGGTTTAGTGAACAGAATTTGTTTGTCCCTAACACATCAGTAGTTTTCAATTTTATGCTAAGGATTTGGAAAACTTTAACTACTCTAGCATAATTGTCTACGTTTTCCTTCAAAAGTGAATGACCAGGAGAAATTTTGAGGCCTCATCTGTTTTTATGTATCTGGGCATTCTCATTTTCTTTATCTCACTGTTTTTTTCCTTGTTTATTTTTTAAAAGAATGCCTACAAAGCAGATTTTAATAACTGGCTAAGAGGAGTTGGTTGGATGCCAATTCAATCATTGGATGTTGAAAAGGCTAAAAAAGCTACAGAGATTCTTAGTGAAAAGAAGTATCGTCAGCACCCAGACAAGCTGAAATATTCCATTACAATGGATGCAATGGAACAGGTTCTTGCTAAACAAAATGCCAAGACCATGAATAAGGTGAGAATTTTTTCAGATGGTCATGACTGTGCTAGCATTAGGGCCTTCATTGTGCAAAACAGTGTTGTGGGTGCATTCCCACTGAAGTCATTAGAATTCCAAATGGATTTAGTGATTCACTTGGATAGGACTGTGCACTCTACACAGATGGAAGCCCCAGACTGGACCCATAATTACAAGTGTTTCACTTTCTGTTTGTAATGATTTAAGTTTTCTCTTCTCTGTATACTACTAGAGATAGCCTCTCCAGATTTATAGCACTTATGTAACCTTTGCTCTTTTTCTGTAGGAAATAGTATCAGTAATCAGTGAGCTGAAAAAAAATTATTTGTGAAGACTATTTGTAGTGTTTATGAAACTTTGTGCTGCAAAATATTATTTATTACACCTGAACAAAATGAAAGCAAGCTTTTATTTTGAGTGTGATGCCTTTCCATTACTAAATATCACTTTGTAATTGCAGAAGCTCTACACTGATAAATGGAACAAAGAGAAGACCAGCATTCATGTTATGCCAGATACTCCAGAAATTCTGCAGTCTAGAGTGAACCAGATCACCATGAGCGACGTGAGCTATCTTACTCAGAGTGGACGTTCAATATCTGTTAAAAATGCACAAATCAAAAATTGGTGTAATTTTTGTCTCTTGTGAAAATACTTGAATTCAAATGTAGGGTACTTAAATACTTTCACCTTCATATTAGATAACTGTTCTCTTTTATGTTTTAAATTAGAAACTATACAAAGCTGGATGGGAGGAAGAGAAGAAGAAAGGTTATGACATGCAGCCGGATGCTATTCCAATAAAAGCAGCCAAAGCCTCCAGAGACATTGCAAGTGATGTAAGTTTTCTTGCATGGTAGCACTCAGAGAAGCTGATTGTTCAACTTATAAAGCCAATCACATCTTTTTCAGAGTGCTATGTTATGCATAAGTGTGATTTTTCAAGCATTTTGAATCATCTAGGTTTCAATAATATGCTTGACGTGATAAACCTTTACAGCAATTACTCTCAGGGGTATTTTGTCTCCAGTGGAATAACTCTGAACAGTGCATTTTGCTGAGCTTCGTATGCGTTTGTTCAATGGACTATTTTGTAAGACTGAACTTTAAGTGACTGAACCTGAGGGCTAGTGAAAAAGAACTTATGATGAAAAAGAATGAATATTTGTAAGTTTTTAGAGAGAAAATTGAGCTTAATGATGTGTTTTTTGATTTACGTTTTTCTGCTCTTTGTCTTTCCTCCTGTCAGTATAAATACAAACTAGCCTATGAAAAGGCGAAAGGAAAGCATATTGGGTTCCGCAGCCTTGAAGATGACCCCAAGCTAGTGCACTTCATGCAGGTGGCTAAGATGCAATCTGATCGTGAATACAAAAAAGATTATGAGAAGGCAAAGACTAATTTCCATACCCCAGTCGACATGCTCAGTGTTGTGGCAGCCAAGAAGGCACAGGAAGTGGCTACGAATGCAAACTACAGAAATTTGATCCATACTTACAATGTTTTGCCTGATGCTATGAGTCTTGAATTAGCCAAAAACATGATGCAGATACAAAGCGATGTAAGTGAGAGACTTTTCAACCTTTGCATTGCCAATGCAATGATGTTTAGTTTATGAGTGAATAAGATAAATAACAGAATTTTCTTCATTCGGTTATATATTAATATGTAGTACATAAAATGAGACCTCCAGCAAAGACAGCAATTGTATATTTCTCAAACTGCTCTGAAATATTAATTTACATCTATTGCTAAAGAATTTGGGCTGGGAATTACATCATTTTATTTATAAATTAAAGTGTATGTTTATTGGTCTTGTGTCCAGTCAGGCTCTTAAAGAGCAATACTTGTGTGCAGGCCGAGGCAGGAAAAGCAAACTTTTCACTTTTCACTACAGTTTTTATCTTGTGCTTTCCACAAAGATATCTTTTCAGAAAAAGAGGAAACCAGCTGAGTAGCTGTGCTCCCAGCATTCCTGGGATGTTTAAATTCTAAAGAAGCTAGATTTTTTTTTTTTTTTAATTCGGGTGTATACATAACGGTTCAAGTGAATCCTCTTCTTCAGGAGGGCCTAATCATGTAATCTCATGCAAGCAATCTGTCCTCAGGAGGATCTGAACACTGTATGAAGGACAGGATAATAAAAAGGAGACACTACTGTAATAACTATATTTCTAAATAAACCCTGGATACATTTTACTACTGATTGGTTCCTTTTAGACTAAGTGCATTCAAAATCTAACAGTCATTAAACACATGGAAGAAGTGTCATGATTTCTAGACTTTTTCACGTATCTGATTATTTTCTTTTCTTTCTGCTTCCAGAATCGATACAAAGCAGAGTATGATGAAAGCATGAAGGGTGTTGGATGGATGCCACTGGGCTCCCTGGAAGCTGAGAAGAACAAAAAAGCAATGGAGATTGTCAGTGAAAAGAAATACCGTCAGCATCCAGACAAGTTGAAGTATTCCGTTCCTATGGATTCTATGAACATGGTCTTAGCAATAAATAATGCAAAAATCATGGATGAGGTAAGAAACTGTTTATCATGTTTCAGTTAAATTGCAAGAATAAAAACAAATTATACTTGATCTAATACACAGTCTTACTGTATGAGCAACTTCTGAAATTGTTAGTTTTGACAGCTAATGAATATGCTTGACTGCCATTGTATTTAACCTTAATAGAACTTTGCTATACTTGAAAGCAGAGCTTGACCAAAATATTTCTGAGAAATACATACAAAGACAGACCTGGGGGGTCACATACTGTTTAGTAAAGTTTGCCCAACATAGCAGACTGTAGACTTTTAAGACTCTAGGGGCTGAAAGTATTGGGGTGATCCCTTTTGAAAATTTAAACTTTTAAATGTATGGTCTGTTTCATCTGATGCCTGTTACATTGATACGAAATTACTGTATAGTATGGATGCTTTTATAATGAGATACCTAATTTCTGATTCTTCTGCGGAACTGCCATCGTCCACTGGTGTTCATGAGAAGTGTCTAGTGTTCATGTGCATTGTACTTAGAGGACCACCAGAATTTTAGGTGCACATCTCTTAGCTCAGCTTGCTCCTTCTATCTCTCAAGTGAAATTTATTTTCCAAGAGAAAAGTAATAACCTTTTACCTTAAACCAAATGGCCACCAGCCTACTCTTCTAACAACTTTTTATTGTGCACCCTCTGACTTGGGTTTGAAATGTATTGTTTTATGCTAATGGTTGTGGCTTACACTGTTGAGCAAGAGAAAACAAGAAAATACTGTGGCAAAATTGGTATTTCTTCCACTTTTATTTCAGCCTCACATTACTAACTTTGTAAGAGCTATTCCTGATTCACACTGCTTTTAAGTGATAAAATTAAAATACAGATGTTCCTACCATACTAGCAGTTGCATCATTCTAATATTCATATCACTAAAGAAAGATTACATTTATCATAGGAAATTACTTTAATAAAAAATAATTTTATTTAGTTTTTTGACTGAGATTGTAATGTTGACATCTTTCTTTTATCCTTCCAGCACCAATATAAACAAGCATGGGAAGAAGACAAAAAGAAAGTTCATATCACACCAGATATTCCTCAGATTGCTTTAGCAAAAGCCAATGCATTTAATCTAAGTGATGTAAGTACCGTCTGTAATGCTAACAATTTGCTGCTTTTTAAAATTAGGAATAAATGAGGTAACAGCACAGGAAGGTGTCCCTAATTCTCACTTTGCTAATGTGTACTCTTTTGCACAAAAAGGTATTTGTTTTCCTTTTCCCTTCTTCCTTCTTTGGAATTAAATACCAAATGTTGTAAAGAAAAAAATGTAGTATTTATAAACACATTAAGAAGTATAAATGTAGGTAACTAAAATATAATAGTTATTAACAAAATAATAGTTTGAATGTTATCCATGTTTGTTACTGTGTTCAGTATTTTATTTACTAATGCACACAATTTTGTAGCAGATTCAAAACTCTTTTTTGCAGATTGAATCTTTTTTTATGTAACAAATGATACTATAGCCAGTTTTTCAGTAGCTAGTTGTTAAATCTGTGTATGCTAAATAAAGAATTGTTTGTAATCATGCAAATCTTAGTTGTGCACATAAGTAGACATATTTATTATATATTTTTTAAAGATGATATCCTTATAGGTGCTACTAAACCAATATTTGTGCATGTGGGAAACAAATGCAATTATTTGCTCTATTGTTATAGATAGGTTATTGTTTGGTTCTACTGCATCGATGTATAAATGGTAGGGTTGGAGTTAATTTTGAAGGAATATTCAGTTCTTTGAGTGCCTGAGTGCTTTAAACAGCTGTTGAAGGAGTGTTAAACAAATGAATAGTCTAGTATTTCAAGTTATTGTATACAGTGAATAGTTTTTATATATGTTGGGTGGTTTGCTTTTTTTAAAGAATATTTCTTTTCTTTCTTTCTTTTCACAGAAAATGTACAGACTTTCCTTTGAAGAATCTAGGAAGAAAGGGTATGATCTCAGAGCTGATGCTATCCCTATTAAAGCTGCCAAAGCTTCTAGGGACATTGCTAGTGATGTAAGTTCTTAGAAGAGAAAATAGTCCGTTTCAGACATTATAAAGCATTCATGTCAAGAAACGAAACAATTTTGTATGGCAATTACAAGAATTCTCTTTATTCTCTTGCTTGTAAATAATTCCAGCGTATTTGATGTAAATATTCTGGTACTCTTGCTAGCAGGATTAAAAGCCAATTTCTTCATTAGTGAGGTGAGATATATGTGGGACTCTTCTCAGAAAAAAATAATCTATGCAGTTTATTGCGCAGTGCTTGGATACTTTATAAATGTACATTGTATATTTGTAGTTTACACTGAATGTTCAGAGGTCAGCCTTATAAATATTAGAAAAGAACGAATATGGCTCTAAAAGAAATTATTTTTGATGCTGTGGTACAGTTATGTTTGCTCCTTTGATGGCAGACCTGTTGAATTTACTGATGCAGAGGATGAAGGTTTCTGGAATCTGGGACCATTCTGAATTCCTTTGCATATCAGTGATGGGGATTTGGCTGTGGCAGGCACGAAGCCAGCCTGAGATAGGGGTGAAGAGAGGGCCTAAGGACATGTTATTTAGACCTCCATTTTTTTCAAAAAACATAGCCACTGCAAAGACAATTTGCTTGCCACTGCTCTAAGGCTGAGAGGAAGGCTCTTCTATTCTCAGTTATCTTCAAGTGGTAAGCAGTGAAAGAAAAAAAAATTAATACTTGGTCTGTGTACTCCATCATCCAGGGTTGATTAGGGACTAAGGAAGAGGTTAAGAATTTGAACAATTGCTTTTGTTAAGCAATCAAATGCAAAAAATCTTATCTTTGAATTTTTGGATCATTTGAACAGCTGAGCTTAATGGAAATCATTATTAGATCTTTGAATTTATGGCTAGTCTTTAGATCTTAATTCAAGTATTCTGAGTATACTGCAGACTACCATAAAAGATAGTTACCTAAGCTGAAGTTTTGGAAGCAGAGTAGCAGTGGTAATGGAGAACTGTGTGGGTTAACTTACCCTGGTTCTAGCACTTGTGATGGTTCATTTTAGAGCTAGTATGGGTATCTCTAAACAATAGCATGAAAAGAGTAAAAAGTGAACATTTTAGAAAGAACTCTCTTCAGCAAACTAGATCTTACGTGTTCCTTTGATCTCATGTAGAGGCAGAATAAACTTGCAAGGAAATTTCATTGTTCAAAAAAAGTTTTAAATATACTGCTTTTAAAAGGGACCTTGAAATTTGAGACATCTACTCTTAGGGTGTACTTTAAAGCAAAATAAACGGACACATTCCCATATTCTTTTTAGTGTTTGCGTAATAACTTTAAAATGTTACTTTATTTAAAGTGTTTTGTTTTCTTCCTTCAAGAGAGGTATTGCTTATCTTCCAAGTGATGTAGAATTAAAGTCTCTATCTCTGTTCTTTTCATAGTATAAGTACAAATTAGGTTATGAACAAGACAAGGGAAAACTTGTAGGGTTCCGCAGCCTTCAGGATGATCCCAAGCTTGTCCATTATATGCAAGTGGCTAAGATGCAGTCTGATCGTGAATACAAGAAAGCCTATGAGACAAGCAAGATGCATTACCAAACACCTTCTGATGCACTTAGTATCATGGCAGCAAAAGAGGCACAAGATCGTGTAACCAATACTAACTACAAGCAACTGATACACCACTATATGCTTCTACCAGATGCAATGAGTTTAGAACTGTCCAGAAACATGAATCGGTTACAAAGTGATGTAAGTTTCTGTTTTCTTTCTGACTCTCATTCACAGATGTAACCTTTTTTTTTTTTTTTTTTTCCTATTTGTTCATTATGACTGTGTTTTGGAAACAACAGAATTATTTAGTATCTGCTATTTGTAAAGTGTAAACTTGCCTTTTGTGTTCTTTTTGGCAGAATGAGTACAAGCAGGATTACAATGACTGGTACAAGGGTATTGGTTGGAGTCCTGCTGGTTCTCTGGATGTGGAGAAATCTAAGAAAGCTACAGAAATTGCAAGTGACCAGAAATACCGCCAGCATCCCAGCATGTTCCCCTTTACAAAACAGAATGATGCCATGGACATGGTGCTTGCAAAGCAGAATGCAGCAATAATGAATAAAGTGAGTATTTATGGGGAAAATTCGTCAGGCATCAAATATAATCCGTTTTATTAAACATTGTATGAGCCCATATCACCACCTCTATGTAGCATTGTTTCCCTGGGAAAGCCAAATATGTCACTCACAGATTCCTCGTTTCAACTTTTTCTTAACTGAATCACGCAGTTACTGATGAATGGTACAAATAAATAAATAAGTCTTCTCTCAGTGCCACCTCTCTATCCTCTATTCTTCTCATTCTTATATAAAAATGATTTTTAATTCTGGGGAAAGGGTTTATTATATATAATTCTTCCTACAAACCAATGATTTCCTATCGTAATATTTACTTCAAACAGTTTGTGCTTGATCCTGTTTTCTTTATTAGTTGACAAACAAAACTCCAAGTTTTGAGTACTTTTAGCATTTAAAAGCATTGTAATTCTAATTTAAAAAATGATGCTGGAAGGAATGTTTAGAAAAGCAATTGTTATGCGAAAATCAAATAATTTCATTTGATTTTTCAGTGATAAAGCAGAACTGTTAACCTGGCTCGTAGGGATGCTGTGGGATGGCACGAAAGTTGAAAGAGGTTTTAGGACTCTTGGAATACAGAGGGAGAACCGTAGCTCCTGAAACCTGGAGGGGGAGCCCTGAAACCATGGCTCCTAAGAGACCATTAGAGCATCTCCTCTCATGGTTTAATGTCAGGAAATCTGTAAGCCCTTGTCCCTGTGCTGGGCTGGTGGTCATGTCAGAGTTGTTACAGAACTTTTAGTGTTGAGAGTCTAGACTTCTCTGTAGCCCAGTTCACTGTCAAGGAACCACTCTTTCTTTTTAGAAAAGATATATTGACTCTGATGTATTTTGGTGTTTAACATTTAAAGTTGTATAGATCAGTATTTCCTGATGAAACTTTCCTTTGTAAGTGTATTTCTTACTAGCTTGACTCATGGGAAATTGTCAGAGTGTTAAACGAAGAACTGTTAAGTAAGCTGAAAATTACTCTTCCATAGATACTGAAAATCTTGGTACATAGACCTTATTAGAAGCAAGACTGGATCCTAATTCAGCTGATTCTGGATTAGGTCATTATGTAGTGAAGTAAATCTGAGTCAACATCTTCCTCTTTACTCCTCAGTAACCAAAGTGCACAAACAGAAAGATGAAAACTTCCAAAGAGCTTTCTTTTGTCATTTATATTAACACATTTGATGTTACTTTTTTTCAATAGCATGCTTATACTCAAGCTTGGGAGAAGGATAAAATTCAAGTTCATGTGATGCCAGATACACCAGATATTCTACAGGCTAAACAGAACAGGACGAACTACAGTCAGGTAGAGTTTTTTAGTACTTTCTACTATATTTTAAATTAATGTCTGCTTTCTTCAGATGTAAAGGTACCCTCCCATTTCCAAGTAAAAATTAATTAATTTGTCTAAGTTAGAAGAAAGGGAAGGGATGTTTTAAAGTAGAGGCAAGACTTTTAGTGCTGCTGTGAGTAGCAGTGGGTACCATTTTCAGGGTAGCAAATAGCCTAAATTATGGTAAAATATATGGGAATTGAGACCTGTTTCGAACTCTGAAAGTGCTTAGTCCGTGCTCTATGCTTACCATAGAAATCAGTCATGTTATGTATTCCTTATTATAAAAATACAAGTCCGTTGTGCATATTTTTAATTTAATACACAGAATAAGTATGTGCAGTGATTTTAACTTTTCTTTCATCTTTCAAGTGCAAGTGACAATTGTGCAGCATAAAATACTTAGTTTTTGCTTTGCATTATTTTCGGAGGCGAATCTTTGACTTGCAAGTGCTTGTACTTAAATCAACTGTGCGTGAATTGAATTGACTATTTAGCAGCCACATGACAGCCTCATTAGTTAAAAATTTGTTAAGCCAATCAAAAATTTTTCAGTTATCCCACATGTACAGAATTCAGATTCCCCAGATATGTTTCAAATCCCCAAGATAAGCTATAATAGGAAACTGCTGCCGTAAGGAAAACTGTTTAATCACTGGCCCAAGACTTTGATAAGCAAGAAAGTAAAGCCTTTCGCGTTTCCCTTTTTTCAGTGCCCTTTCTAGTAGAAATCTGTGAGGTGACCGACACTTGCTAATATGGATCACTGGTATATCTAAATAGAAGATAACAGATATATTACTAAGGCTTTTCAATGAAAATTGCTTTCAATTTCAGAAACTATACAAGCTTGGCTGGGAAGAAATGATAAAGAAAGGCTATGACCTCACACCTGAAGCCATTTCAGTGAAAGCTGCCAAAGCTTCAAGAGACATTGCAAGTGATGTAAGCAACATTTTTAATTCAATGTGCTGTGCAATTTATGTAATTGCTATATAACCTACTGAGCCTCCTTAGATCCAGATCCATCCATCTACCAAGGTGTACCTTGGAATAAAACGCAAAATTGCTAAAAGGACTTTTTCCTCCTGCTGTGTTCTAGTCAGCGAAGAAAACATTTTGAGGAGAATTGTTCTTGCATCTTGAGACTTCCAAAGATTGTGGTCCATCCATGAAACAGCTAGTCATATGAAGTTAGGAGCGATATAAACTGGAATATGTGCTCTTTTGCATGTTACATTTTTAAAGCAACAGCAAATTTGCCCAGTGCCAGTCCTGAGAAACCTTCTTGACAGCTCTGGAATAGATCTGTGACACACGTATTGCTAGTATTTGTCCATAACTTATACAACTGCATTTATGGAAGAGACTAGGAAATGTTTCTGATGTTTCTGAGTGTTTTCTTAAGCATCTGTGTTTTCCATTGCTGGTTATTTTATTCATCAAAGCATTGCAATGTGTTAGCCTTTTGGAGTTCAGAAGACTGTGACTATGTAAAACAGATGGCACAAGAGACCATTCTCAGAGCCATGCACTCTTCCTCTCCAAGGACTTTGTTAATTCCTCACTTCTTACTCACTTCCTCACGAGTCAAGGGGCTACTAAACACAACAAGTTGCTCATTATATTGATAATGTGCAACATTAAATTAAGTGAATATATTGATATTTTACTTGTATATTTTACTACTGCCTGCTTCTTAATGTAATTCCAGTAATGCAATCTTTGTAATTTTAGTACAAGTACAAAGAAGGCTACCGCAAGCAACAGGGACATCACATTGGATTCCGCAGCTTACAGGATGATCCTAAGATGATGTGGTCTATGCAAGTAGCTAAGATGCAGAGTGAGAGGGAATACAAGAAAGATTTTGAAAAGTGGAAGACAAAGTTTAACATGCCTGTGGATATGTTAGGCTTCCTTCTGGCTAAGAAATGTCAGGAACTTGTTAGTGACATAGACTACAAACATATGCTACACCGCTGGACTTGTCTGCCAGACCAGAATGATGTCATCCAAGCAAAGAGAGTCTATGAACTACAGAGTGATGTAAGCTTCCTCTGGAATTAATTTATTTTATTTTTGAGAAAGTATTTGCTGCTTATTGAAAAGTATCTTTAATAATCCCTTTGAATGTCAATACAGAACAGACTGAAGCTAACCAAGCTCTTCTAAAATACCAGTTAGTCCTTTCATATGGTTTAGTAGAACAACAGGGAAATAGCCTATTACGCTTTTGGTTTTTTTTCCTTAACAGAATCTGTATAAGTCAGATCTACAGTGGCTCAAAGGTCTTGGATGGAGTCCTTTGGGATCTTTGGAATCTGAAAAGAACAAGAAAGCTTCTGAAATCCTGAGTGAGAAGAATTACCGGCAGCACCCAGATACTATTAAGTTCACAAGTATCCCAGATGCCATGGATATTGTTTTAGCAAAATCTAATGCCAAAAATAGAAGTGACGTAAGTTGGCTTTAGAGACAGAACATGTAATTTGATAAATGAATGAAAGCATCAGTATACATTAGTTTAAAAGATCTCCATTTCAGAACCTTCAATTAAAAGATACAAAATATCAGATGTTTGCAACCTATGCTTTATTGCTCATTTATCAAGAAGCACTATGCCTTAGTCAAGAGATAGAGGTGTTTAGTGTTCTATAACTTATTCGATAATAACTGCAACTAAGACCCTTGCTATATAGTATGTAAGTGTGTAATCATAATGCTTGACCTTTCATGGAAGTAATGAAGGAAAAAAGGTGATATTTTGGTAAGAAGCTGGTATATTATTTGATTTAAATGTCTTGCGTTGTTTACATGACCTCATGCTTGCAAGTTACATCTTTGTGTTGCTATTAAAGAGAAAAGGTAAGCTGAATTCACTGATATGTATGTAAGCATTTTATCAGACAGGGTATTTTTGTTTGTTTCTTTTTTCAGATACTGTATAGAGAAGCTTGGGACAAGGACAAGACTCAGGTTCACATCATGCCTGATACTCCTGAAATCTTGCTGGCTAAATCAAACTTAATCAACACAAGTGATGTAAGTGTGTCTCTACAATGTTTCATTTATGAAATCTGAAAACCCTTTGTGGCTTTGGTTTAAAATGTAGTAGAGTAATTCTGGAATTTTAGCCATTATAAGTGCACCTGTGATCTTTTTCTGTGAAAGCTGTTATGCTCTGGGAAGCATGAGTGGAATTGCTAGAATATAAAGTAGAAGTGGAATTGCTAAGGTATAAAAAAAACCCAAGAAAATATTCAACACAAGTTAGCTGTTTTCAGATACATCTCTTTCATCCCTACTGATCTTATTAATATTCTAGATATGTATTAAGTAGTATGCAGTAAGCCTGTCAACTCTTGTTTTGTTAAAATGTCTGATTATATTGAATTGCATGTTTAGAATTACAGGATTCCTTTACATCAAATTATTTGTTATAATGGAACAAATATAGAGTACATTCAAAAGGTAAAGAAATGTTAGCAGTTCTATCATTAAGTAGTCAAGAAAAGAGATAATTGTGATTGAAATTGGATGTAGAGAATCAGCGGGTTGTATTATCTACCTCCCTAGAAAATCCTATTATTCAGTCAGGTTAGTATGTCAATTAAAAGGCAGCACTGATCACAGCTGAGTTAATCAGAAAACTTATTACTAGTTATTTTTATATATAGTTATTATATATTTTCTGTCATTAGTTGCAAAATATACATTTATTAAAATTTTTATTAAAATGTTGAACTTCATTTGATGAACAAAACTGTATTTGAAATCTCATACTTTATTTTCAGTAAACACGGGAGTAAACTTCTATTATGTTAAAGGCAGAATACTTTCATCTTTTTATCAATATTATTTTGAATCCTTGTCCAACAGAAACTTTACAAGTTAGGATACGAAGAACTGAAGAAAAAAGGCTATGATCTTCCTCCTGACGCTATACCACTCAAGGCAGCAAAGGCATCCAGAGAAATAGCTAGTGAAGTAAGAGTTTTACTTATTGGAAATAACGGAAATAATAGTTTGACATTAAGCTGATGACATCTTACTTCAGAAGTGTGCTTTTTTTTTTTTTTTTTTTTTTAAGAGGAAGAGCAGTGTAAAATTCAGACGTTCTTTTGCTCTCTTCCCCAGTGGTTACATTATTCTTAATGATGTTAAAATAGTGGAAATGAAATAAAAGAATCTATAATTTGAAGGAATATGAACAAAAAAAATCCGTTAATATATAGTGGACATGAGACAAAGGCCTTAAAAATATTGAAGAAGGCTATAATAAATTTAAAACAAATATTGCTTCCCATGGTGGCAAGTCCAGAAAATAAATTACATGCAAATTTATGAACACTTATAAAGCCTAGAGATATTAACCAGTATATTTATAATGCAGAAATATAGATTTCAATTCCAAAATAAGTGAAAATAATCTTTTCTTATTTCATTCCACTAGTATCAATATAAAACAGCTTATCGGAAGCAGCTTGGCCACCATATTGGAGCGCGGAACATAGAGGATGACCCCAAGATGATGTGGTCTATGCACGTAGCCAAGATCCAGAGTGACAGGGAGTACAAGAAAGCCTTTGAGAAGACAAAGACTCACTTCAGCAGCCCGGTGGACATGCTGGGCATTGTGTTGGCGAAGAAATGTCAGGAGCTGGTCAGCGACATTGATTACAAGCACCCTCTGCATCGGTGGACCTGTCTGCCAGACCAGAACGATGTTGTACAAGCCAGGAAAGTGTACGACCTTCAGAGTGATGTAAGTTGTTCTTTACTGGACTTGTGCAAGCCAGATGTCTTGCTTGTGCTTTGCTCCATTGGTGGAGAAGGTACAGAGGAGGAACCTAAGTCTGGGCTTATTTCGTGAGCCGGTTTTGTGCCCGTACTGACCTGCCGGGCGTTTCTGACTGAGCCCGGTGAGGGTGAAGTTTGTGTTGGTCATACTTCACAGTCACAGTTTGCATCATCGGGCACCTTTCTTTTGGTGCGCTGAGCTTAATGGGAGTCCCTTCCTGCTGGCTGGCAGGTTGAACGCGGGGGCTGTGCTTTGCTAGGCATAGCTTCCCTTGGTAGGAAGGAGTTTTTGTGTGGGTCAGGGAGGTTGCTGAGCTGCTTTGTGTCCTTGCCTCTGCTTTCAGAATGTGTACAAGTCCGATCTCCAGTGGCTGAGGGGCATTGGCTGGTTGCCAAGTGGTTCGCTGGATGATGAGAAGAATAAGAGAGCGTGCCTCATCCTGAGTGACAAGAAGTATCGGCAGCACCCGGACACCATCAAATTCACGAGCCCTCCTGACTCTATGCCAATGGTTCTGGCAAAGCACAACTCTGAAATTATGAACCAAGTGAGATTTGCTTGTGTTTGCAGACTGAAGGAAACGGGTGCCTTTACCAGGACACTAATGCGTTCCCCGTCCAGGGCCTGGGTTTTGCTAGTGGGGTGTTGTGTCCCACCGCCTCAGGGGTTTGTGTTCGCTGTTTTGGAGCATGCTCTGTTTTGAGTAATTTGGAGCAGGGATTGGGTGCCACGCTGAAAAGAAACATGTTAAGCATTGGAAAGTCTCTGGAAAGGAAGAGGTGTGCCAGGGGACTCGCACCTAGCTTTAGTTGGTTGGAGGCTGGTTCTGCAAGGAAAGGAGGTATATGTTCCTGACAGAGATGCCATCACATAGGTGGCTGTTGTGGTTACAAGGGCTGGAGGGCAGTTATCCTTGAGTTTGACTCTTCAAGCGCCCCCTGCGTGATTGCTTGGGAGTCTTACGTAAGCATCCCGGTTGAGCTTTGTTGCAGAAGGCAAAGGCCAAGTTGCCTTTGCTCGGTGTAGCCGTTTTGCTGTTTCCTATGGCTTGCTCCACACTCCGTCCCTTTTGAGCTGGCTGAGGCAGCAGGGCGTTGCAGAAATCTGTAGGAGAGCGCCCAGCATTGTCAGTTGGGCCATCGGCAGGCACCCATGCTGTTTGGTCCTCTAACGCCCAGGGTGCGCTGGAGCTGATGTGTGGGCTGGTGTGGGAGGAGCAGTTCAGCCGAGGGGAGCACCTTTCTTCCTGCCTCCGGCTGCCTGCTCCTGTAGTGCGTGAGTGCCGCCGGGGTGCATGAATCAGTGCAAAGCAGAGGCCCCTGCTGCAAGTCCTTCGGCTAGTTGAGTGTTTGAGTATATTTGCCTGTGCTAGTGAGATCTTACTTCACGTGGTGCTCACTTTTCAGCGCTCGTACACGTCAGCTTGGGAGAAAGATAAAACCAGCGTTCACATTATGCCGGACACGCCTGGCATTTTGCTAGCACAGCAGAACAGCCTGAACTACAGTGAGGTAGGTGTTTCAGCTGGAGCTAAACGGTCACCCCTGGACAGTGGTGGCCCAGGAGAAAGTGTTGTTTGAGGCACGTGGGCAATGCTTGTTTTTCTTTCAGAAACTGTACAAGCTTGCAATGGAAGAAGATAAGAAAAAGGGGTATGACCTGCGGGCAGATGCCATTCCTATCAAGTCTGCAAAAGCTTCCAGAGATATTGCAAGTGACGTAAGTACACAGGAGCGCTTGGTAGCACACCTTCTGGGACTGTGTGAGTGCTCGCGGTTGAAGTCCCTGGTCTGCAATGTTAGAAGAATTGAGGCCACACAGCACGTTAGCAGTCCTTAGCAATCAGTTGTTCTGAGAGCATATTATTTCTGGAGGGTCTGCCTTTGATTGTGTGTGCATGGTATGGGCATGTTGTGAAGGAATTTGTGGGTGGTGAGGAGAGTGTGACAGCTGAAATGGGTTGATGGATGTAATCCAAAGCATCGTTCCTCCTGGGGTTGTGACTGCTTCTTCCAGTGCAACAGAAATGACTTTTGAGGTGGTGTGCTGCCTTCAGTGCTGGCAGTCTGCACTCCTGTGATGTTACACCTGCATAGCTGAGTTGGACACTTGAAAAAGCGCGTGCTTTGTGTTATCGTGGGGCACTGATTATTTTTGTCTGGCCTGGGGGCAGATACAGTCACTGTAAGGCCATCGTTACTGTGTCCGCAGTGGTGTTGCCAAGTATCTTTTCAGGAGGCAGCTGTGCAGGAGCTGAATTTTCTGTCTCATGCAATACCCCGTAGTTCAGGGTTGTTCCATTGGTGTAAGTAGGTGAGCTCAGTGTCTGATGAAACTTACTGGACACTTCAGAAACAGGAGGGCGGAGGGGAGGAAATGTAGTCACTTGTCACTTCTTGAGCTCACTAGCTGGAGGCCTGCAGCTGAGGACACACCTCAAGCTGGGGAGCATAAGGCCCCTCAGCCCTATGGAAGAGAGCCTGGTGCAGTGTAGTGTGTGAGCTACTGAGGGCCGTGTGGGTGAGTGCAAGCAGGGCAGTACAGGGCGAAGTCCAGTTTGCCTATTGAAATAGTCTGATGTTTTCCCCCACGTTTTGCATGCCAGTTGCCTCCTCTGGCCTCCTGGCAGGGATGCTTAGGTTGGGTGGCAACCCTCTTTGCTGGACTCTGTGTCCTGCTCCTGGTCCCAAAGATAGCTTGGTTGGAGTTGCCGGTGGGCCTCCCGTGGCCCTGTATAGACATGGAGTGGGGTGGGAGTGCCACACCTTATAGGCCTATGCTGTCCTTAGATGGTTGTTCACCTGGTGGTCTCACAAGGTGCAGACAGCAAAGTAGTTGTCTGCAGAGGTTTGCACAGAGTAGTGTCTTAGGAGAAGAGAGCAGCTAACCTGGAACTTGTGATCTTCTTTAACCCTACAGTACAAGTATAAAGAAGGCTATCGGAAGCAGCTTGGCCACCATATTGGAGCGCGGAACATAGAGGATGACCCCCAGATGATGTGGTCTATGCACGTAGCCAAGATCCAGAGTGACAGGGAGTACAAGAAAGCCTTTGAGAAGACAAAGACTCACTTCAGCAGCCCGGTGGACATGCTGGGCATTGTGTTGGCGAAGAAATGTCAGGAGCTGGTCAGCGACATTGATTACAAGCACCCTCTGCATCGGTGGACCTGTCTGCCAGACCAGAACGATGTTGTACAAGCCAGGAAAGTGTACGACCTTCAGAGTGATGTAAGTTGTTCTTTACTGGACTTGTGCAAGCCAGATGTCTTGCTTGTGCTTTGCTCCATTGGTGGAGAAGGTACAGAGGAGGAACCTAAGTCTGGGCTTATTTCGTGAGCCGGTTTTGTGCCCGTACTGACCTGCCGGGCGTTTCTGACTGAGCCCGGTGAGGGTGAAGTTTGTGTTGGTCATACTTCACAGTCACAGTTTGCATCATCGGGCACCTTTCTTTTGGTGCGCTGAGCTTAATGGGAGTCCCTTCCTGCTGGCTGGCAGGTTGAACGCGGGGGCTGTGCTTTGCTAGGCATAGCTTCCCTTGGTAGGAAGGAGTTTTTGTGTGGGTCAGGGAGGTTGCTGAGCTGCTTTGTGTCCTTGCCTCTGCTTTCAGAATGTGTACAAGTCCGATCTCCAGTGGCTGAGGGGCATTGGCTGGTTGCCAAGTGGTTCGCTGGATGATGAGAAGAATAAGAGAGCGTGCCTCATCCTGAGTGACAAGAAGTATCGGCAGCACCCGGACACCATCAAATTCACGAGCCCTCCTGACTCTATGCCAATGGTTCTGGCAAAGCACAACTCTGAAATTATGAACCAAGTGAGATTTGCTTGTGTTTGCAGACTGAAGGAAACGGGTGCCTTTACCAGGACACTAATGCGTTCCCCGTCCAGGGCCTGGGTTTTGCTAGTGGGGTGTTGTGTCCCACCGCCTCAGGGGTTTGTGTTCGCTGTTTTGGAGCATGCTCTGTTTTGAGTAATTTGGAGCAGGGATTGGGTGCCACGCTGAAAAGAAACATGTTAAGCATTGGAAAGTCTCTGGAAAGGAAGAGGTGTGCCAGGGGACTCGCACCTAGCTTTAGTTGGTTGGAGGCTGGTTCTGCAAGGAAAGGAGGTATATGTTCCTGACAGAGATGCCATCACATAGGTGGCTGTTGTGGTTACAAGGGCTGGAGGGCAGTTATCCTTGAGTTTGACTCTTCAAGCGCCCCCTGCGTGATTGCTTGGGAGTCTTACGTAAGCATCCCGGTTGAGCTTTGTTGCAGAAGGCAAAGGCCAAGTTGCCTTTGCTCGGTGTAGCCGTTTTGCTGTTTCCTATGGCTTGCTCCACACTCCGTCCCTTTTGAGCTGGCTGAGGCAGCAGGGCGTTGCAGAAATCTGTAGGAGAGCGCCCAGCATTGTCAGTTGGGCCATCGGCAGGCACCCATGCTGTTTGGTCCTCTAACGCCCAGGGTGCGCTGGAGCTGATGTGTGGGCTGGTGTGGGAGGAGCAGTTCAGCCGAGGGGAGCACCTTTCTTCCTGCCTCCGGCTGCCTGCTCCTGTAGTGCGTGAGTGCCGCCGGGGTGCATGAATCAGTGCAAAGCAGAGGCCCCTGCTGCAAGTCCTTCAGCTAGTTGAGTGTTTGAGTATATTTGCCTGTGCTAGTGAGATCTTACTTCACGTGGTGCTCACTTTTCAGCGCTCGTACACGTCAGCTTGGGAGAAAGATAAAACCAGCGTTCACATTATGCCGGACACGCCTGGCATTTTGCTAGCACAGCAGAACAGCCTGAACTACAGTGAGGTAGGTGTTTCAGCTGGAGCTAAACGGTCACCCCTGGACAGTGGTGGCCCAGGAGAAAGTGTTGTTTGAGGCACGTGGGCAATGCTTGTTTTTCTTTCAGAAACTGTACAAGCTTGCAATGGAAGAAGATAAGAAAAAGGGGTATGACCTGCGGGCAGATGCCATTCCTATCAAGTCTGCAAAAGCTTCCAGAGATATTGCAAGTGACGTAAGTACACAGGAGCGCTTGGTAGCACACCTTCTGGGACTGTGTGAGTGCTCGCGGTTGAAGTCTACTGCTGTTTCTTTGTATATTTTTCTTGTATTTTCTTCAATATATGATTTTTTTTTGACCTGTAGTTTCACCTTTTTTGTCATGAATATCTACAAATATATCTCATCATCAGTCTCTGGTATTTTAGTATTTATCTTTTGTTATTTATATGTAGTTCTTGTGAGAAATATATCTATTGTAGTTTGTTTTCTGCCAGATCAGTTTCTTTGATGATTAAGTGTTGATATTAGATCTTCTTCCATTTATTTTATATACGTATTTGGTCTTCTAGTAGTGCCACTAAGAAGGCACTTAACTAGAGTTAAGAAGAACCTTTTTTGGCTGTAGTATTTGAAAGGTACTAACTGATTCTATGTGGAGTAGAATAGGGTAAGATAATAGAACTATTTTGTGCTGATGTCAGAATGTGGAGACTTTGTGTACTCATACATGCTTATGTAAATTAAGAGCAGCTCTTAATCCATAGGTCAGGGATTGCCTTGGGAAATGCGAAGGCAATATCACGGAGAGGATGTTAGAGGAATACTTTTTTAGCTGCCAACTGCAGTTCATCAACTGAATACTTTCTCACGCTAAATTCTCTGTGGTTTTAGACACTAAGTGCTTTGCAGGTTGTGCCACAGGGTCTGTTCTTAAAAGATGAAGAAAACTCATCTGAAACTCACTGAACATCTTTTTACCTGCAGTATAAGTATAAAGAAGGCTATCGGAAGCAGCTTGGCCACCATATTGGAGCGCGGAACATAGAGGATGACCCCAAGATGATGTGGTCTATGCACGTAGCCAAGATCCAGAGTGACAGGGAGTACAAGAAAGCCTTTGAGAAGACAAAGACTCACTTCAGCAGCCCGGTGGACATGCTGGGCATTGTGTTGGCGAAGAAATGTCAGGAGCTGGTCAGCGACATTGATTACAAGCACCCTCTGCATCGGTGGACCTGTCTGCCAGACCAGAACGATGTTATCCACGCTAAGAAGGCCTATGACCTACAGAGTGATGTGAGTACTCACTGATAAATGTTGAAATTCCGAGAATACCTTATTACCTTGGAATATAAACTATAGAGTCTCCTTGGACTTTCTCTCTCATATAATGTTTCTCCACATTATTGGGTTTTTTTGCCTGTTTAAACGCAAGGTTAAAAGATTTTTAGAAATGAATGGATCTGTGAAGTATAATAGTTGTTTGTTATGAACGTTTATGTACAGAGTAACTGCATATAAAGCAGAAATGACATAGTATGACAGGTTTTTTTGTTTTTGCATGATTGTGGTGGAGACAATTCCTTTATTCCATGTCAAGGAAAATGGTTTAAGTGAGGATATGCTTAGTGGAGCCTTGTATCTGCTGGAATAAACCTTCCAGTGTAAGGTTCTGCTGACTTTCAGGATTTCCTCTTAATTACACTATTACTTTTCAACCATTCCCCAATGTGTTGTTGGGTAAATGATACCTGTTGAAGATAAGGACTGGGATCTGAATCTGGGTTGCTAACAATTAGCGTTTGTCAGTTTGAACTAGGAGGGAGGGGATTTGCAGAGATTGTATGAGATGAGACGTATGAAATGTTCATGAGACAACTGCCTCTGTATTTTTTTGTGTAATAGATTTACTACAAGTCAGACCTTGAATGGTTGCGGGGCACTGGCTGGGTCCCAATTGGTTCCTTGGATGTTGAAAAAGCCAAGAAAGCAGGAGAGATCTTGAGTGATAAAGTATACCGTCAGCCTCCAGACACAATCAAGTTTACTAGTGTCACTGATTCTCTGGAGATGGTCTTAGCCAAGCAGAATGCAGAGACGATGAACAAGGTGAGTCTTGGTTTGTTAACTGACTTATCAGCACTCTCTGGCTAAACCTTAGAGACACAGGACTAGCAGTAGCAGTCTCAGTTTTCTGCATGAGGTTTCAGCACTGCAAAGCTTTAGAAGTGTAAGTTACATTCTTGATAATCAGCAGGTAACTTATTCTTAGCATGTGCTAATTTAATAATCTGTTGCAAGTTACCAAGTTAAATTGTAATGATCAATTAAATGTGAAACTTTCCACATACTCCAGTGTTTATTTAGTAATCATTTTCATCTAAGAATTTATATAATAATGTATCTGTTCTTCTAATAAATCTTATTTTGTATCAAATTTATCCAGTAACCTAGCAGTTAATAAACTAGCTGCTTTAGAACTGTCTTTGAAATTTCTGGTTTTTAAAATAATTCAGCATAGTACTTAGATTTTAAGAGCTTTTTGGAAGCTGTGGCCTGATCTCAATCCTATTTATGTCAATAAAACCATTTTCTCTTTGGATCAGGCCTTCTCCTTATAATTTAGATTTCTGTCTATCTGATTAGCATTTCATGGAAAACCTTTTTCTAAGCCTTTTTTTTTTTTTTTTTTTACAGAAGCTCTTCTAGATTGAAAAAATTTTATCTGGAGATAATTTATCTAGAGGAGTGAATACAAAATCTTGTTGCTATAGAAAGAATAAATTTTTTTCAGAGTTCACATGGAGTAAAGCTCAGTAATTCTCCTTATGTTTTATGAGATCTCTGGATAGTCATCTTTTTTTTTTTTTTTGACATGTTATTTCTCTCGCAGCGTTTATATACTGAGGCCTGGGATAAAGACAAGACACAAATCCACATAATGCCTGACACACCTGAAATCACACTGGCAAAACAGAACATGCAAAACTACAGTGCGGTGAGTGTACTAGCTCTCCAAATGTATCCAGTCTGTATCATGGCTGGATCATCAATGTTTTGATAAACCTGATATAGATGGTGCCATCAATTTCATTAAGTAGCCCCCAATAGTCATCCTCAAAATTCTGACTTTAAAAACATTGTTTGCATTTCTATACAGCAGTCAATGCATAAATTGGTGAACAGTGTTTAGAGCATAGTCTTTGAGATGTTATGTGTCTCCAGTAAATTGTCGAGAGTCCTTTCTGCCACTCGCATTTTGTTGGGAAGATGCAGAATTTATTCCAGCATTGGAAATATCAAAAAAGTGATTTCTGTAACAAGTCAGAAGAGCAGTGGTCCCAGTGTTCAATGTTAGTTTAGGCAAATAAATTCACATTAGTAAGAGGTGGCTTTTAAAAGTAAGTTTTAATCTACTTGTATCAGAGGAACAGTTTATCTGTAAAATTATATTCTATGTTATGCTAGTTAAAGAATTGAATGAAAAAGAATAAATCGTTAGTTAATGTATTTGGCGAGGATCTTCATTTGATAAAAATTCATCTTAGCTAATGATCTGGACCTTTGCATTAAGAAAGTTAGGTAAAGCAAGGTTAGAATAAATCTTAACATTGCTGGTCAGTAGAGTAGATAAAACAATCAGTTTTGCAGAGAATGTAATATATGGAGTTTAGTTACAAGAATCATATTGTATAATTCCTCACACAGAAACTTTATAAACATGCCATGGAAGAATCAAAAAAGAAAGGCCATGACTTGCGAAGTGATGCTATCCCCATTCAAGCTGCCAAAGCATCCAGAGAAATTGCGAGTGATGTAAGTGACTCTACTTTTTCTTTGCATGCTGACGTCTGAGCTTTGAAACCTGAAAATTGTCAGTTGGATTCTGTAAAAGGCATTTCAGTTAAACAATGGTATTGAAAAATATTTTTTTGGAAGTAAATTACTATAAATATATGAAGACATGAATGTAAAAATCTAATGAATTAAAGAAGTTATATGGACATTATAATGCCTCTATCTCATTAGCTTGCAAAACTGTTTCTTCAAAAAAACATAGAAAATATAGTCTATAAATGGGAATTATTTCTCACTAAAATTAGAGAAAAGTGATTTTTCAAAATTTATTCGTAGTCTATTTAGGGTTCTAATTCAAATCTCAGATATTTCATCCAAGAATCCGTGTTATTAGTTCAAAAATTGCTTTAAAAGCTTTTTGGTGAATGGATTACAGAGAATTTTGGAGAGTTTAAAATGAATAACTGAGATGTATATAGTTAAAGGAATATAATACCCTGATTTATATTTCAGTACAAATACAAAGAAGGCTATCGGAAGCAGCTTGGCCACCATATTGGAGCGCGGAACATAGAGGATGACCCCAAGATGATGTGGTCTATGCACGTAGCCAAGATCCAGAGTGACAGGGAGTACAAGAAAGCCTTTGAGAAGACAAAGACTCACTTCAGCAGCCCAGTGGACATGCTGGGCATTGTGTTGGCGAAGAAATGTCAGGAGCTGGTCAGCGATATTGATTACCGCCACTATCTACATCAGTGGACCTGTCTGCCAGACCAGAACGATGTTATCCACGCTAAGAAGGCCTATGACCTACAGAGTGATGTAAGCACCTTTTGATGTTATTTTTGGGGAGGAGAGTTTTTGATAATTTACGTTGGTGGAATACACCATCACGTACCAATGTAGTAGAACCAAATTTTCAGAGCTTATTTTTAATTTCTGTGGCTACTTGAAAGTTAGATTTCCTGTAGGATATGTTAACTGCTTGATATTTAAATGAAATTACCTAATTCCTAAATTTGGGCTGTTTATCATTTGCCATTGCCTGATAGCGGCTTCAATTTGAATCTAGATGAAATGCAGTGATTTTTTTTGAGATTTTTTCCTGAGATTTGGGATTCATTTGAATTAAAAGTTGATAGTGGATTACTTATATAGTTACAAAAAGAGGCACCAAGTAAATTGCATTATTATTAGAATAACTTTTTTTTTTTTAATGTAATAGAATTACTACAAGTCAGACCTTGAATGGTTGCGGGGCACTGGCTGGGTCCCAATTGGTTCCTTGGATGTTGAAAAAGCCAAGAAAGCAGGAGAGATCTTGAGTGATAAAGTATACCGTCAGCCTCCAGACACAATCAAGTTTACTAGTGTCACTGATTCTCTGGAGATGGTCTTAGCCAAGCAGAATGCAGAGACGATGAACAAGGTGAGTCTTGGTTTGTTAACTGACTTATCAGCACTCTCTGGCTAAACCTTAGAGACACAGGACTAGAAACACGATGATTGCAAGTAATGCTAAAGTTTAGAAATGATACATTTTCGAAGTAGTGTTCAGCTTTTTTAATCAAAACTGGTAAGAACATGTAATGTAAGGCTCAAATTAGTAACGGTATTGTGCATACTACTACTTAATCTTCTTTGGTATGTCTATGTAGTTACCACTAATAATGCATTAGTTTATTCCTTCCTCTAAAGTAAAGTGGCAGTTTTCTAAATGTTGGTAATTTTTCTCAGATAAATTTTCTTTTATTATGATGGTATATCTACCTGAGCAAATATATAAGCATTTATTTTTGCTGTATTTCCTGTGATTTTACCTAGTCTCCTCTGCATTTTACCTAAATTACAAGTATTCAACTTGTATTAGAAAACAGCATTAATGTCTTCCTGTATTCTTTCTTAGCATTTATACACTGAAGCATGGAATAAAGATAAGACTATGGTTCATGTTATGCCTGACACACCAGAAATCCTACTAGCTAAACAAAACCAAATAAACTACAGTCAGGTGAGTAAACTAAAGAGCTGAAGGGATTAAATGATTTCTCAGAAGTACAATTTTGTCATCTCTGGCTTTTCAGTTAGTGTTATAATGTTGTCAAACTGTGTAGCTTCACAAGTGGCCAGCTAAACTGCTAAAATCAGGGTTGTTCTTTTCCTGTAAGTTACCTCCTGGGTATCTAATTTTGGGTTTTTATAGACTAGAAATTTTTCACACAGCAAGGCATGGAAATAAATAAATTAAACATTAGAATATGCCTGTCTTTCCCTTCCCGAAATTATTTCCTGTTTCTAAGCATCTACCATCTTTGGAATCTGTATTTTTTAACGTTCTAGAGAAAGTAGAGCTATGTTCAGACTTTTAAGCTATCTAAGTGTTTAGGGACTTTTTTTTTTTTACATAAATGTGCTTAACTGAAGTGGGTATATTGTCTGATTTTTTTTGAAACAAAAATATTAATATTTTTCTCACAGAAAATATACAAACTAGCTTTGGAGGATTCAAAGAAGAAAGGTCATGACTTGCGTTTTGATGCCATTCCTATCCAAGCTGCCAAGGCATCCCGAGAGATTGCCAGTGATGTAAGCAGTCTTTTTATCATGTCTGTATGGCTTAGGTAATGCAAAGCAGTCAGAATTTTTGTTCCGTTGTTTCTAATGTAACGCCTCACATTTATAGAATGCATAATATTGCAATCTGCTGACTCTACTGCATGCCTTAAGTGCATAAAAGGAATGGAAAGCCTGTATTTTTATATATGAACTGTATATCACAGTAATAAGAAAAATAATCTGAAGATCAATTCTGTGCCCACTGAAGTGTTTCGACTGATGCCCGTGGGATGTTCAAGTAGGATGCTCAGTAAGGCACATGATCCTATGATGGAGTGAATTAACTTCATTTCTGGTTCAAAATGGAAATAAATGCTTTAAAAAACTCTCTCTAAAATAAACACATTAGTAAATCAGTGTTAAGAATTCTAAACTGTTGTCTTTTTTAGAGGAAAAAAAGTTTTGATGGAATGCCGTACTGAAATTCCAGATGACTGAACACAGAAACAGAAAATAAAAATATGCAATGACTATGACAGTTTTCAATTCTAGGCTGAGAAAACATCCCTACGAGTTAGATAGCATTTTTTTTTTTTTTGAGACTGTTCGGTGTTCTCTCAGCATCGGTACATAAACTGTTAGTATATAAGGCCAATAAAGATTAGCTTCATGAATGTGTTTTGTGATAAACACCTTAAATAAGTTAACCTTTACATTTTAATCTTAAAAGGATGTGGAATATCAAACCTTTTAGAAGTGTGTGACATTTAGTTAATTGAATATATAATACAGTTACACAAAAGTCAGAGATAGTATTATCTATAACAAAATATTGATGATTATGGTAAACTATATGCACCATTTATGATTTGAAAATTGTACCAGGTGGATATAAATGTACTTTATTTCAGTACAAATACAAAGAAGGCTATCGGAAGCAGCTTGGCCACCATATTGGAGCGCGGAACATAGAGGATGACCCCAAGATGATGTGGTCTATGCACGTAGCCAAGATCCAGAGTGACAGGGAGTACAAGAAAGCCTTTGAGAAGACAAAGACTCACTTCAGCAGCCCGGTGGACATGCTGGGCATTGTGTTGGCGAAGAAATGTCAGGAGCTGGTCAGCGACATTGATTACCGCCACTATCTGCATCAGTGGATCTGTCTGCCAGACCAGAACGATGTTATCCACGCTAAGAAGGCCTATGACCTACAGAGTGATGTGAGCGCATTGTTAATTCAATGTATTGTCTTGTACAATGTAATTTTTAAAAGATACACAAAAACGAGATATCTCGTGTCAGACATATTCATAGAGGTGAAATGTTTTATATCCTATCATCAAATATATGTTGCCAAATCCTATGTCCTGAGAACTTAAACCCTGAGTGTAATTTCTGTGTAACACTGATATTTGTGGAGTTCTTCCCTTACTCCCTTCTTTGTGTTATTTAATGATTATTTTACACATACTGCAAAAATAAAAATCGGTGTCAAAACTGTATCTTGCTACTGTAATATAAATACATAATTTTGCTACTGTAATATAAATATATGAAAACTGTCTATAAATATATAGAATTACTGGTATAGACTAGGTTATGTTTATTCATAATTATTTTAATATTTAATCACACCTGCACATATCTGATGAACTTTCAAAATTTTTCAGGCTGTTTACAAATCAGATCTGGAATGGCTAAGGGGAACGGGATGGGTTCCTATTGGTTCTGTGGACATTGAGAAAGTTAAGAAAGCTGGAGAAATCCTGAGTGAAAAGAAGTATCGTCAGCCCGTAGACCAGGTTAAATTTACTAGTGTGACAGATTCTTTGGCCATGGTCTTAGCCAAGCAAAACGCTGAGATAATGAACAAGGTGAGTTTTGTTTGGTTTTGTTTTTTTTCTCTTAACATCACTAGTATTGCTATCTAGTAGAACTTGCTCAGGAGGTGGGAAATGCATAAATCAAAGTAATAGTACACACCGTGTTGTTGTGGATTCAGAGATGATGAATGTCCGAATTTAGCCTTTGTACGGGAGCAGCGTATCACATCTCAGGGCCCTATATGAACTGAATACTTAGTAAAAATGGCCAGAAAAATTTCACCTAAATCAGATATTAGGCAAGACAAATAATAAAAAGTTTGGTTAATTTCCCTTTTCTCCTCCTCCAATCTGAGTCCCTATTTTTTTCTAAATGCCTTTTCAACATAGTTATTCTATTTCATCAGTGTTATTTCAGCTCACGATGCAAAACTCATTTCTGGTAAAACAGGCTGAATGTCTTTGCATTTCTTAAACAATACTGTGAAATCTGCAGAAATGCTGTTCCAGAGAAGGGGTAAGGGTACATCCAGAGGAGATGGTGACATGATAATGTTACAAGAAAAGATGTAGCAGAATATTGAGGCATTTACTGCAGCTGCTATAGTGCTCTGTGGTTGACTGAACATCAGATACTGCATAATGAGCAAATTATGAGGAAATAGCTGGTGTTCTTTAGAAATGAGGCTTCTGCCATTTATCTCAGACCTGGAGGAATAAATTCCAATGTACCTACCTCTTCTCTTTAATGAGAAACATCAGTCAAACAACCCTTACAAATAGAGCTTTCAGTAGAGAAATGAATATAGTTTTCCTCCTAGAGGAGATTCCCAGCAACACTAAACCAATAAATTGCTGTGTCAACTTGGCCTGAGTAAGAAGAAGGAAGTACGAAGTTTTCTCCTTGAGCTTTGCTTTGAGAAGCTTTATTTTATAAGGATATTTAAAGCTTGCTAACTGTCCCTGGCAGTTGGAAAAATGTAGTAGTTTGTATATATATATATCCTATCTTGCTTCAAGATTTCCTTTTTTTTTTAAATTGTGTATAGACGTATTTTTGATAATTGCTGCTTTCAAATTTTTTTTGTCATGTTACACATAAAGCAGCGTCTTAAAGAAATCTGTTTTCTTTTCTAGCGATTATACACGGAAGCCTGGGATGCTGACAAAACTTCAATTCATGTCATGCCTGATACACCGACACTTCTATTAGCAAAGGCCAATGCAGCTAATGTTAGCCATGTAAGAACGTTTAAATATATAGCAAAATAATGCCAAAAGAAGTAAGCATCTCTTTAACCATAAAGATCTTCTTTTAAAATATGATTTAATCACATTTATAAGAAAAAAATTAATGAAATGTAGAAATTCCATGTTTCTGAATGTTCAACAGACGTTTTCCATCTTCTTTTGTATAGAAACTTTATACACAAGCCTGGGACGAGGCCAAAATGAAGGGTTATGACATGAGAGCTGATGCAATTCCAATACGAAGTGCAAAGGCATCAAGAGATATTGCAAGTGATGTATGTTCTTCCTCTCCATTTATTTTTAATTAGTTTGTGAAATGGAAATCGAATAACAAGCTACATGCCATGTGAAAAATTAAGATAAATCAGAGTCCTCTAGAAGGCCACTTCCTTAGAATTAAGTGCAGGATAATGGGCAACAATTTCCAAAATAGAAATTGCATTACAATTGCTAACATTACGCAGGTCTTAGAAAATAATAACGTACTATGCAATATAACAGTAATTACAGAGCAAGGATATATTAAGTATTTCTAAAATTTAAATAAAAATATCTAATCACATGAAAAAAATCCATTAGTGATCAGTAGCAATATGAAATGATGTGAAATAGTCATTGAAGGTTCATTATTTCTTGTAATACCTTTTTTTGCATTTATCAGTACAAGTACAAAGAAACACACGAGAAACAGAAGGGGCACTACATTGGGTGCCGAAATGCAAAGGAGGATCCCAAACTGTCGTGGGCTGCACATGTGATGCAGCTGCAGAACGACCGACTCTACCGGAAGGCATACCACGATTCAAAGGCCCGGATCCACATACCGGTCGATGCGATGTCCGTCCAGGCAGCCAAGGAGTGCCAGACGCTAGTCAGTGATGTGGACTACCGTCAGCACCTCCACGAGTGGACCTGTCTGCCTGACCAGAATGACGTGATCCATGCGAGGAAGGCCTATGACCTGCAGAGTGATGTGAGTGAGAGTAACCGTACGGAAGGTTTAAGGCACGGGTGTGAGCCCCTGCTTGTTTGTGAGTGTGCAAATATCCTTTCAAACGTTTGTTCATATGCCCGCAATCAGTTCTGGTATGTTTTTTTAATTCACAGGGATGAGGGATGGTGCCTTCCAAATCTGTAGAGTTTACGGTGTGGGGGGCCAGAAGTGTTTTGGGCAGTTCTCTTAAAAGTGAAATGTATGTTTCAGATGTGGTTTTGGTCTTCTGAAAAACGTGTAACTTGCCGAATTTATTTGCGTGTAGCGCGTATTTTCATGAGACCATTAATTTCATTGTTGTGCAAATGTGGGGTGTAGGGGAGCATGCAAAGGGCCTGATAGGCCGGTGTAAGTATTTATTTATTGACCGCTTGCTGCGTAACTATGGGAGAAGGAGCTTGGGCAAAGCCTTGTACAGGAGCTCTCTGTGCCTGTCGTTGCCACTGCAATTGGAGTAACCCCTGGTTTGTTTGTAGAACGTGTACAAGTCCGACCTGGAATGGTTGCGTGGCATTGGTTGGTTGACGGAAGGTTCTGTGGACGTGGTTAAAGCAAAGAGAGCCCAGGAGCTCCTGAATGAGAGGTTGTATCGCACACGGCCAGAGGAGATGAAATTCACCAGCATTACTGACACGCCAGATGTTGTCCAGGCTAAGATCAACGCTTTGCAGATCAGTGACGTGAGCTTACCTTTCATACACCTTTCACTTTATGTGGTGATGTTCTTTTTGTTTGTTTGTTTGTTTGTTTGTTTTCCTGTGGTCGATCCTACAACGGTGTTCAAAGCGTAGTCTGGAAGAATAATAAACAAGATAGCCTTTACTGTGAGAATGCTTAATTTGGAACTGATGCCAATCGGCATTACTACAAAGTTCCTGCACGTGGTGGTGGTGGTGGTGGTGCTGTTTTGTTTGTGTTTGTTTTTGTTTTTTTGGAGTGTTCAGACTATGATGAAATGTCATTATGCTTCCTTTCTCCTTAGCGTCTGTATCACGAGGCCTGGGACAGAGATAAGACGCAGGTTTCCATACCTTCTGACACGCCTGTAATGCTGCAGTCCAAAGTCAACGCTCAGAACGTCAGCAATGTAAGAGAATAACGTTATCCACGTGAAGCGTTATTAAATTAAGAGTGTCACAATTATTCTCACAGCTCCTGGCCTGTCCTCTTTTAGATTCTGCTGTAGATGGTGGTTTTACTGATCCTGCTTTCTGGCATGGTTGTATTGTAAAGTATAGATTGCACTTAAGGCTTCTTTAAGCACAGAGTATTGTTAATGAACCAGATGTTCGCTAAGCAAGGCAGCCAGAGGTGCTGATCTGTAGGGTCCGTGGCATTGTATCGCTCTGCCCGCAGTGCGGGTCTGTAGTGAATGGGATTGCTCCCATTCAGGGAGCACCCATGCCAGGAGTGGTGCTGGGCCCTTGGCTGGACAATATTTGCACCTCCCCTGTGCCTTTTGTTCTCGATGGGGCAGATTGCTGAGGGAGTGAATCACAGCGTAGCCTGTCTCTGCCGAATAGATTGTGCGCTCATAAGCAAAGTGGGGGAGTTCAGCGTGTAATTCTGCCTGACTTCTCCTCCTTTTGACAAAAGCTGGTGAATGTTTTCCATGTAATTGTTGGTGAAGTCTGTACGCTCATCAGCCCAGACACGTTTTGCAGGCTTGTGTAGTTTCCCCAAACAGTTTCATGGAAATAACACGCTGGAGGGTCTGTGGAAGTGGAAGTGTTGCCCAATTTACATTTTTCTGAAGGAAATGACTAGGTTTTTGCCTGGAAACCGTATTTACTCACAGCCTTCCTTGATGATGAAAGCATGCAAGCTATTATTCCAAAGTGCTTGGCGAGATCAAATTGGAAGTGAAAGGTTTCAAGTGTTGCTGCAACAAACATTTGATTTCCCCTGTTTTTACCTTTTCCGCCCGTTGTTTTTTTCTCTCTTAAGTTCCCTATGGTCCAACGGGTGGTAGCCTTGTGTTTCTGGTCTTTCAAGTCACAGATGAGCTGAAATATTTGTTATTTGCCCAGTTGTACTAAGGACAACTTCCAGCTGGGCTGTCCAAGCTTCTGTGGGCAAGATGCCACTAAAGAGTTAGCCCTCATGTTCTTGGGCATGAAGTCCGAGAGGCACTGGGTGGTTTTGGCCAAGTAAAGGCACTTTGGTTTTCTTTCAGTCTCGTAGATTGGCTGAGCCTCTCTGCCTCCCTTCAGTTTCTTGGCAGGACTAGAAAAGGACCAGTAAAGAAAGAGGGGCTCTCTAGGAGCTGTCAGGAGGCTCTGTGGCTCAGTGGGCTTTGGATGCTTTTTGTCAGGTAGAAGAGGTGTTTTGTCTCCGGTAGCTCTGATCGTGCAGCCAGGTGCGTGTGAAGACAACCTCTGACGGACGGTTGCAAGGTCTTGCTGCGTTCACAGGTGTGGCGGCACGTAGGCGCAGAGCTCTCTGGGTCAGATTGTCCGTTTGAGGCGTAAACGGTGAATTAGTGCACTGGTCAGCAAAAGTCGCTTAGTGGGGTGCTGTGGGGTCTTTTCAGGGATGCTTCAGCCACCGTTTTATGTTTTGGGGTTTGAGCCTACGTTAATTTGTAAGTCACGAATTTTCTGTAGAGAGACTTGTGAGACTCATTGCTGTAACCCTCACAGTTACGGGGGGCAAAGAAGGCATCCAAGCTGTAAAGCCGCAAGACAGTGGGCTTCAAGAAAAAAAAATCACTGTTCCAGCGTCTTGACTAGATGTAATCAAAATTAATCACCCATTTTACAGAAACTTTATCAGAAGGCCTGGGAGGAGGCCAAGGCGAAAAGCTATGACATAAGAGCAGACGCCATTCCCATCAAGCATGCCAAGGCTTCCAGAGACATTGCTAGTGAGGTACGGTCCTCCTTTAAAGTTTTTGCTCTGCCTGTCTCTTTGTGTGTCAAGCGCAGCAGAACCGAGAGAAACGCGTTTCAGCTAGCAGGAGTACAGTGAGTGTTTTGTAACGCTGTGTTATTTTGAAACCTGTACTGAGCACGTCTGTCTTTCTGCAGCTTGAAATTGCCTCTTGGTAAGTGCTCTGTGCCTGGGAGGGTGCGTGTGATGTGTTTGTGAACTTGCTAGGAGCGCTAGGTAACAAACTGTTACCTTTCAGACACCAGTGATAATTTAAAGCTGATTTTAGCAGGGGCACAACTGTGGCTTGCTGCTGAACACACAGTAGTTCTTGAAATCCTCACTATTAAGCCTATTCCCTGTAAAGGTGTGAAGTGTGGCTGGTGCTCAGAGTGATCTTACGATGCGCACAGGTGTCCGCTTCAATGCCGTTATTCATTGTTTGCAAGTCTTAAGAAAAGCCAGCCATACTTTTCAAGAGTCAGTGATGATTTGGGGAGTCTCTCTTCTGGGTCCCTGAGTGACTGCATTTGGAGTGGACCTGAGTTTTGCCTGTGAGAGTTGCCTGTTTGCTTTCTTTTTGCATTTATCAGTACAAGTACAAAGAAACGCACGAGAAACAGAAGGGGCACTACATTGGGTGCCGAACTGCAAAGGAGGATCCCAAACTGTCGTGGGCTGCACGTGTGATGCAGCTGCAGAACGACCGACTCTACCGGAAGGCATACCACGATTCAAAGGCCCGGATCCACATACCGGTCGATGCGATGTCCGTCCAGGCAGCCAAGGAGTGCCAGACGCTAGTCAGTGATGTGGACTACCGTCAGCACCTCCACGAGTGGACCTGTCTGCCTGACCAGAATGACGTGATCCATGCGAGGAAGGTCTATGACCTGCAGAGTGATGTACGTATATGTAGAGATATTGGAGATACTGCTTACTATTTTTGCTAAGGTGTTATATTCTTTTGTAGTGGGTTTGGTATTATAGAGTCACAAAGGATTTATCTTAAGATGACCTTTTTTTATTTTTTTTGTTCTTTTCCAAGTTTGGGTATATTTTCAAATTCTGAAAAGCTTTAATATTAATCTGCTGTGTTACTATTTGCTTTTGGAGAGCTGTGGTTTAGAGAGGATGAAGGATTTGTCTTTCTTGATGGGACTTATTATACAGCAACACTTTTTTCTCTTTGGAATCAGATGGCTTTCATTATTCCTATTTATGAAAGTCCACTTTGAAATTATTTAATGATCAAGAAAACTATGTAAGAGAAAAGGTAAGCAGTTGTATTGGCTGATATCATGGAAATAGGATTCAATACTGCTGATTTTCTTTATTGGCTTTGCGGTTTACCAGTCAGTGATCGTTCTTCCTCTCTTTCCTGTTTGGGCTTAGAGGGTGAGATTAATATTCATTGTTGAAGGTTTTGCTCGATTTGAACTTAAATAGTGTGACACGATGCTAGTTTAGGAGTTAGGCTGTGTACCTTTAGTCCCCATTACTTCCATACTAGTTTTCTGTTGCTTTTTGTCAAACTGTTTGATGGGCAGCTTGTTTTGATGTTTGGAAACATAAATCATTTAAGTGAGTAGGGAAATGAATATTTTGGAGGGGACAGGAAGACTCTTTTAAAATTTAACCGTCCTCTTATCATTTTTAACAGCCATTCTATTCTGTTGTTTCCCCTCTATTTAACTTCATATGGTTTAAAATATATTGTTTAAGAAATGAACTACTCTAAAATCTGTTTCCCAGGTTGCATTTTACTTATGACACTGACACAAGTCCCATGTGTATAAAAAGCATTCTAGCTCTAGTTGATGTGGCGTTTTCTAGAACACTTAGTTCTTAGTATAGTTTAAAATAATTAAGACAGTCCTTTTAACAAAATGTTCTTTCTTTTTAACCATCTTTGCAGGTTGTCTATAAGTCAGATCTGGAATGGCTTCGTGGAACTGGCTGGTTGCCAAATGACTCTCCTGATGTAAAGAGAGTGAAGCATGCCCAGGATCTCCTGAGTGACAATGTGTACCGTACACCTATAGAAAGCCTGAAATTCACCAGTGTTGTTGATTCTCCAGATGTTATTCAAGCTAAAGTTAATGCTGAACAAATCAGCATTGTACGTAGCAACATTTTAAAAGTTTTTCATTGTTTCAAGGCTAAAAATAATTGAAGTGAAATCTCACTATGGAAATATAAAATCAATCAGTTGTATTTTAAGAAAAGTTTAGTGTTTTTCTAGGTATTTATTTTTTAGAGATAATAATTCAGGAGGGATTTATGGAATTTTATGTTATTGACAAGTGGAATTAGTTCTCTATTTACAATACAATAAAATAAATTATTTTAACAGCCAAAATATAAAGAAGCCTGGGAAAAGGACAAGACTATGATACATATTATGGCAGACACACCTGAAATCAACCTAGCCAAGACTAATGCTCTTAATTATAGCCAGGTATGTTTATCATTCTGATTTCTTGCTTTTTTATAAACAGAAATGATATCCTGTGAATTTTAACATCCTAAGAAATTACTTACAAAGTTGATGATTAAGTCATGTGGATCTCATTGAAGTCAGTCCTCATACAGGGCTTGCAGCATCCCCATCCCTGTGTATTTTTACAGTATTTAGACATTTTTAAATGAATGTTTGCATTCAGCTATTTAAAAATGATTAATATAATGCATCATTGAGATAGTATTTTGTTGAAATGTAAGAGAGCCTAAGGCATATAAATATTTAATAAACTTTTGCAAACACTGTGTGTGCAGTATAGGTTGCAACATCTGTGTTACAGGTACTGGACATGTTTGAAAGGCAGTAAGATTTACAGCAGTATTTATGGCTAGGAGCAGGAGTAACACAGAAAAAATTTACATGGTGTTTCAGCAAACAAATGGCAGTAAACTATGTGTTCCTTTAATGGCAAATGTCAGAGTATTATTAAGCATATGCCTGACATTTTTCTGTTTTTTCAGAAACTGTACAAAGAAGCTTGGGATGAGTTGAAGATGAGTTGTGACTTGAGAGCGGATGCAATCCCAATCAAGGCAGCCAAAGCTTCTAGAGAAATTGCTAGTGACGTAAGTGCAAAAAGAGGCATTTAGCTCTTCACATGCTTCCCTAGAGCCATTTCATGATAACTATTAGTAATGGTGACCTTTGTTTTTTATGCAGTATAAATACAAACTGGATCACGAGAAACAGAAAGGACATTATGTTGGAGTTCCGAATGCAAAAGCAGATACGAGAATGCGGTTTGCCCTTGGCATAGGCAAGGTTCAGAGTGAACTGGAATACAAGAAACACTTTGCCAAATGGAAGACACAGTGCCACCTGCCAGCTGATATGCTATCCATCCTGTCAGCCAAGCATGGTCAGTCTTTAGTCAGTGATATTGATTACCGTCATTACTTGCATCAGTGGATCTGTCTTCCAGATCAGAATGATGTCATACAGGCTAGGAAAGCCTACGATCTTCAAAGTGATGTAAGTTAACACAAATTCTTACTTTATCTTACTACTTTATTGTCTCTTATTGATCTGTTTCAGCTCTAACTAAAGTCAGTGGGAATCTTCTGTTAAATTCAGTAAGAGTTGGCTTTGCATTTTATTAAGAATGCACAGTATATACCACTATTATATACTGGCAACTTTGAAGTGTGATAAATTTAGATATAGTGCTGCTATTAGAAGTCTTGCTTTCCTTTTAATCAATGGATATAAGTGTCATTATTTATGAAACTTGCTGGATTGTACGGGGGAGTGTGGCTAACAACAGGGACTCTATTTTGTCTTCCCAGGCCATTTACAAATCTGATTTAGAATGGCTACGTGGAATTGGATGGTTGCCAAATGATTCAGTTGGCATCAACCATGTCAAATACGCTGGAGACCTCTTGAATGAGGTAACAAAATGTTTTTCAGTAGTAAAATTTTCTCAAGGGTTTTCTTAATTTTAAGTATTTTTAGTGGTTAAATACATCAATATTTCATTTATTTTTATGGTAAAAAATACAACTGCAATATTTCCACAGTGTTCATTGTTTGTAGAGAGATTTTATTTCCATATAATTTTTGTTTACTTCTCTCTATATTCAGAAATACTGTGTTAGCTATAAAGTACTCCAGTATAATCTGATTGTAATTTCATCTTTTTTCTCTTGTACAGAAAAAGTATCGTACAAAAGCTGAAACTCTTCCATTTACTCCAGTGGCAGACAGAGTTGATTATATCACAGCAAAGAATAGTGGTGAAATTCTTAGTGATGTAAGTCTGCTGGCATATTTTCAGGCTGTTAACTTGATCTGCGTGTTTACATGGTAGGATTTTATCTATATTAAGAAAAAAAAAGATTAATACAAAGGAATTCTGGAACAGTCTCTGGGAATTCTGTGACTGTGTAGGGTTAAGATGAACAGGACACTGTTAGATCAGCTCCATGGCTTACAAGGGAAGAAACTCTTCAAGCAGAATAACATCTAGTGCATTGTTAGACATATGAAAAGCCATTGCTAGTTCTGTGACCAATCCCTTCTTTCAATCTTGGCTGATACCGTTGATGATTGTTGAGAACATGGTGAATTTTAATGACATCAGTGTGATAATCTTTCAACTTTGCTGGTGAATCTGTCTATTAGTGGTGGTGTCAAGGGAAGACTGTGGCTAAATTTCTGCTTCTGCTCTGGCAACCCTAACATTTATCCGTTTTCACTTACACCAGTATGAATTTACCCACTTTTTAGCTTACTACTGTGTTACAGTAAACATGAGAAAAGCTGATCTGCAATCATCTTGCCCTTCTTAATATCTTTTTGAAGGCTAGCCTGTGAGAAGCTGGCCTGTGAACATGAAATTACATGATCCACTCTCAATTCATGAGTTTGTGCCTCTTATCTTCAGTGTGCTTCCCGCTGGAGAACAGGGCAAGCTGAACACTTACTTTGACTCAAACACTGGTAAAAGGATGGCGCTGACAATGATATGGTTGAATTGAATGGCAGGCTGCCATGCAACTACATGCAAACATGTGGGCACGTCCTGTGCTTGGGAACATGACTCAGTGTGTGGGGCTGCGTTTGTGGCTGGAAGGTGCCAAAACGCTTCACTCACTTAGAGATCATGCTGAGTAGAGAAACAGGAGATTTGGTCTTCAAATGCGCAAAATCTGCTGTCCTGCTTCAAACACTTCTTGCTGTAGCTGGGCTGTTGGCTGTAGATCCTGGTAGACCAAGCATCCAGCATAATTTTGGCTTCTGAAGATTCTCCCTGTCCATCCAGCCACACTGGAACAAACTTTCAAAATTTTTTCTGGCAAATATTGTAATTTATTTTCTTGTATAACTTCCTTTTTAAAAAAAATGTCAATTCCGATATATATTTGATATGTCATATCTAGTAGCCTTGAAAATTCACTTTTCTACATTATTTTATGCATAAAATGTGGGTATTGATACTATGTTTTGCAAATGTTGTGCTGACGTTGCAAGTCAATCATTTATTTCTGTGCTCTAGATTAAATATCACAAAGCATGGAATGAGGTCAAGTCCAATTACACTCTAACAGATACTCCACAAATGGATATGGCCCGAGAGGCAGCCAGAATTCTTAATCAGGTACATTTTCTTTCTTTGATCATCTGACAATTTCTAATCACATTAGTACCTTTTTAAGGGAATTTACAAAACTTGCCTTGCTAAGAACATCCTAAGGGAAGGATTCATTTTCCTTACACTTTAATATAGGTTACATATACACAGTAATATCAATGATTATAGTAGTTTTAAATTCCTTCTCACTCTTAATTTCTACAGAATTTGTACAAGGAGAGTTGGGAGAAAGAAAAAGCCACTGGTTACCTCTTACCTCCTGACACTGTGCAGATCTGTCATGCCAGGCGCTCAAATGATGTCCAAAGTGAGGTAATAATTTTTTCTCATCGCATTAGGAAGGGGAGTGCTTGGAAGCCTTGAAATTTTAAAGGCCTTGCAAATTCAGCAACTGAGAGATTTTAATGTTTTGCGTTAGGGGCAACACTCAGTAGAGTTTTCATAACCCATGAGGTCCAGTGTCTTCCAAACAATTCTTCTATTTATGATATTATGGATTTTGTGAGTATGAGTGCTTAAACGTCAGATTCCCTCTTCCATCTTCACCTTGTGCAGAAACAGTCCCTTTGAAATCAACTGAGTATATTCCTTCATATTTTATATATTTTAAATATATTTATAAATATGTATGTATTTTAAATAAGTGAAATATGTTTATAATATAGAGTTCTGATTACACTTTTTGGTATATTATGAAGGCTTCGTCCTTGAAGAAGTTTAAGATAACATGCATATTGCATTCTAAATTTTTGCATAACGGATGTTGAAATTATTACATGACACAGCTACTGTACATATATTTTAACAAAACAGTGTGCTGTAGATACTTTCAATAAACTGCAATTCTTCAAACAGTCTCCAATAATTCCAGTTAGCCTCCAGTTAGAAAAATTTGTTACAGAACTGAAGTTAAGTGCATTTTTTAGCAAACATTTTCTAGCAAGAATTTCTTCTTGTGTTGAAAATGCTGTTTACTAAAAATGATAGCATATTAATCTAGAAAATTATATATTTTGCCATTGAAGGAGTATGCAGATTAACATTACTGATTGTATCATAACATTTTTATCTGGTTATGTACTGAAAATTTAAGACTGCAATTGACAAGTCCCTGTTTCAGTAACAAGGTCTCAATCTGTTCTTTGTGTTGACAAAAACATTTTTTTTCACAGGTTAAAAAAAAAAAGTAGATATAACCAGTGTTCATTTTTACATATTTCTTCCCTCTTCCATCAGCTTAAATACAAATCTGACTATGTGAAACAAAGAGGACACTATGTTGGAGTTCCCACTATGAGAGATGACCCCAAACTGGTGTGGTTTGAGCATGCAGGCGAGATCCAGAATGACAGATTGTACAAATCAGATTATCACAAAACAAAGTCCAGAATTCACATTCCTGCAGATATGATGTCAGTTATGGCAGCCAAGGAATGTCAGACCTTGGTCAGTGATATTGATTACCGCCAATATCTCCATGAATGGACCTGTCACCCTGACCAGAATGACTGTATTCAGGCAAGGAAGGCCTATGATCTACAAAGTGATGTAAGTGATATTGTATACATACTGTGTAATTTCCACTTTGTTTAGGCTAAGTATATTGTCCCTAATACATAAGACTGAAAAATGTTACCCTAGATTAAATAATTTCTTTTCTTTTTAATTTCTTTTTATCATTTAGAATATTTACAAATCTGATTTGGAATGGCTCCGCGGCTGTGGCTGGATTCCTCTGGATTCAGTGGAACACAAGAAAGTTAAGAATGCGCAAGAACTGATAAATAAGGTGAGAGAAAATATTGTAGCAGTTAGTGATTTGCTCTTATTTCTCCTGCACAATGTTTAAGAAAATATTTCATCTCTTTGCAGAGAGCATATACGAAAGAAGCCCTTGATAACTTTTCCAATTATACAAGTGTGGTTGACACTCCGGACATTGTTTTGGCAAAGATTAACTCTGTCAATCAGAGTGATGTATGCACATTTATTTTTTTTAATAGAAACTGTTATATTAGTAGAATTGGTAAATGATTTAATTGCTTTTACTAGATTATATATTTAACACCGTTATGTATGTTGTGTGCATGTGCATGCTTCATTAATAATAAGACTTACTGGGGTAAATAAGTTGCACAGTAAAAAGTTATCAAAGTGAATAACCCAATATTACTATCCAAAATAATTTTGAATTTTTCTGTAGAAGAATATAGGATGTTCATTATTTACAGTTTACATAAATTTAAACGACTGTAAGTACAATCTGAGTCCTATTCATGATGAATTGCCTTATATTTTACAATGCTAGCTGAGTTCATGGCAGTGCTACTAACCTATGTTTGCTGATCAGGATGTTTAATTTCACTAGAATATGGTGTATATTTTAAGCTGTGATATACTGTTGGTAGTATGCTGGTAGGATGTTTGCCTACATGCCATCCTACATACTGTAGTGGTCGGAGCATAATACCAGCATCACTGAAGATACGATAATGTAACTGAAAATAAACAACTGCTTCTGCTAGAAAGATAATTTATTTCTCTTCTTCTTGGAATTAACATAGTATCTGTTTTCTTTTCTAGCTAAAATACAAAGAAACATTTAACCTTGAGAAAGGCCAGTACATTGGGTCTGATGATACTCCTGCACTGAACCATGCCAGAGACATGTCCTTACTATATAGTGATGTAAGATTTGATAAATAGCTGATTAAGTTTTAGTTTGTTTGTTTTTTTTTTAAAAGAACAGAACACTGGACCAGACTTCAGAAAGCTGTGTTCTATTTCTAGTTCTGTCTCTGCTCTACTGGGTAGCACTGAGAAAGGCATTTAATGTTTTTGTTCTCAAGTTTTTCCCAATATGAATAATGGGAGTAATGATAATTTATTTCCTCATTGACCTGATCTTAAAGCAGTGCTGCATGGCGTTGGGTTGCTGTAGAAGTAGCAGTGTGTGTGTGCGTGACAAAAATGCTTTATAATTCCATTTAATAATGTCTCCCTAGACTACTGGTGAAATTTACATTTATTTTTTGGTAAGAGAAGACTGTATATCATTTACAGTATTAAGCAGTTACTCATGAGTAGTCTCATTAATTTTAATACACAATCTCTATTTTTGAAAGTGTCGTGATTACTCATTCATGTGAATAGGGGCTTTATAGTTTAGTCTGAATGTAAATATATTTAATAATTAATGTATATATGATTTATTAGGAAAATAGCACTGATAGTTAATTCTCTTATAATAAGCAATAGTATTAATAATACTTGGGAATTTTTCACGATTTTGGACATATATCTGTAGAATTATCAATGTCAGTTTTATAACACACTTGTAACGAAGACTTTGTATCTATATTTTGAATATTTTTGTTACTCTTCTGGATGAGAAATGTCAGATTTCCATTCAAGAAAGCAAATTTAGTGAAGAAAGCAGAGTTCGGTTCAAATTCATGCTAAATTACTTCCCTGAATTGGCACGCTAGTTCTGATTCCCTTATTCATATGAAACAATGTGTTTGAAATGAATGTTCTCCATTTACTTTATTGGGACCATTCATGGAAAAAGGAACTACTCTATAAAAGTAGTCGTATCCCATGTGACTAAAACTGGCAGATTCAGACTTTAAATATTTTGCTAATATGGATAAGATTCTAAATATTTCACTAATATTAACATGTTTCTTGGAAAGTATAATGTTTTTTTTCCTCAAAGCCTGTATGTGTTTTGTTTGTCTAGAAACTTTATAAAAATGCCTGGGAAATCAGTAAGCCCATTGGGTATACTTTGGATGAGAAATACATTCCACTTGTTGGAGCTAAGCGTGCAAATTATATTAATAGTGAGGTTAGTATGAATTTTCCATTCTTTCTCTCTTTTTGCTACGTTTTGTTTGAATGAATTTCACAATTTCCTCATCAATATTTTGCAGCTCAAATATAAGGAAATATATGAGAAGCTGAAAGGCCATTACCTGGCTGGGAAGGATATTGGAGATTTCCCGAGTGTCATCCACTCACTAGCATTCCAGAAAATAAGGAGTGCGGTAAGGAGAGAATTATTCTTGCTGTAATATTTTTCCTTTTCTGTATTTTAGTGCGACTCTCTCATTAAACATGAGTAATGCCATTCTTAATAGTAGTAGTAGTAGTAGTAGTAGTAGTAGTAGTAGTAGTAGTATTTTCAGTACACTTATGTTTCCTGAATGGTTATTTTGTACATGGGGTGAATAATTGAACTTGAAATGATTTAGGAGGTGAAGAAGGAAATTATTCAGTGATTAGATATATTAGACTAGGAAAAACTTACTTTCTTCTATTTCTGTTAAAGAATCTGAGCAGTAAGAAATACTATATGACTTGGGATACTTCTGTTTTATAAAACCTGCTAATTTTGTTTCAATTTTGTATTGAAATAGAATTTTAAGAACTAGAAATGTAAATGCACATTGGACGTTCTGTTATCACTGCTGCACATTTAGCATGTCATGCAGGGCACAAAGTTAATATGATCCCAGATATTCTGTGTTAATTTGCATAGGAAGAGTTAACTAAACAAAACCCACATTTGTAGCATATGTCGTCTTTTATCTTGGAGTCTTATACATTTTCACAGCAGCTATTTAGTCTGCAAATGAAGAAGATCATTCTTGTCCTTGTAGCACCCCATTAGAATAAATGGTGGTTAATTACTAAGTCCTCTAAGTTAACATTTCCTTCTACTGAAGCCTGTGAGAGTTCAGCCATTAGTTCCAGAAAGTATGCCTCAGACTATGCTATAACTTGTAGCCTGTTAGAATTTTCTTAGAGAAAAACGCTATTTATTCTTCTTACTTTCTCCCCAATCTTTCCTTTTTAGTTGGCATACAGAAAGAATTACGAAGATACCAAAGCCAATGTCCATATTCCAAGCGACATGATGAATCATGTGCTAGCTAAAAAATGCCAGTATATTCTCAGTGATCTAGAATACCGAACTTACTTTCATCAGTGGAATTGTTCACCTGAAGAAAATGATGTTATTCATGCCAGAAAGGCCCAGGAGATTTTGAGTGATGTATGCATGACATTTCATTTATTTGTTTGACATTTTAGTAACCTTTTATGTTATTTTCTCAAATACTTTGAAATATTTTCAAAGTATTTAAATATGAAATTAACTATGGTCCTAGACTGTGCAGTAGATAGTAGCAAAAACTACATTTTTACAGTTTTCTTTGGGACATTTTAAGGGTCTGGTTATTTGGTTTAGTTTCTCTTGTAACTTCTGTAGGAAAAACAGTCATTCAGATTAACTGTGAGATGGCCTAGTCTTCTTTGTGCTTGCATATAAACTTGCAAATAGTTTGTCATTACTGAATGAGCCTGCATCGGATTCAGTAGTAATTTCTGCTTTACCTTTGCACCAGTAGAGCATACTGCAAGTAGAGAAGAAACAAATTCTGCTCTCTTCAAGAAGAGGGCAAATATCTTCCTACCTGATTAGTCTGTTTTCTTCTATACAGGTGGTATATAAAGATGACTTAAATTGGCTGAAGGGACTTGGATGCTATGTCTGGGATACTCCACAAATCCTGCATGCTAAAAAATCATATGACCTCCAGAGCCAAGTAAGCATACTTTTGTCTACCTGTAAGATTTTTTTCCGTTTATTATTCACTGGGACTGACACCTGTCCCAGTCCAGAGCAGAGTGATGTAATTCCTGTTACATCAGAAATATTTTTTTCAAAAACTATTAGACAGTTTTTCAGTTTGATCTGTAGAGATATAATCACTTTTGTTAGTGAGGGAGCAGAAAAACTAGAGAAAAGGAGGACATCGCAGTTGTGATTTTTAGCAGTAAAAAGATACACTTTTGTCTTTCTGTATCTGTGCACAAGATAGCTCGGTGAGACATATAAGTAAGGATAATAGTGCCTCTTGCCTTGTTGGGAGTACTCCTAACCTACATACTATATACAGTGGTATCATGTAATTTTCAGTATGCCTCAGTTCATACTTGGTACATATTAAATATTTCTGTATCACCTTTAAAGATGGTCTTAACTGGACTGTAATCCTGGTGCTTCAGTTGTCCAGAATTGATTTTAAAGGAAGCTGGCAGGGGATTTCTTGGTCTTTTCCAGCATTAATGTTTTGGGATTTTTTTCTATTTCCTTAGATAAAATACACAGCTGCAGGAAAAGAGAATTTGCAGAACTTTGGTGTTGTTACTGATACACCTCTCTATGTGACTGCAGTACAGAGTCGTGTAAATGCTAGTGATGTGAGTCTCTCCACTTTTTCTCCTCATGCTTTTCCCCTTGCTCCTTCTGAAAATTAAAACAAGTTCACTAAATCTATCTTTTATCTTACAGGTGAGATATAAAGCAGATTACCACAAAACCAAGGACAAGTATACAACTGTGACTGAAACAGTGGATTCTGAAAGAGTTCAAAATTTGAAACATCTTTTTAGCAATGTAAGTGTTCTTACATTTTTTGTTTCTCTTCAGGGTGTGGGACTTTTTTTTTTGTTTGTTCATTCTGTCTGAAGATAAACTCCCAAATACAGAGCTTATTAAAGTCAGTGATAGCCTTCTGAATTGCTTGAATATGGTGAAGATGCTAGTACTGCAGTTCAGATAGAGAGCATATTTGCTATCTATAGTTCAATTCTTGTCAAAGTATATGCATTAATAAATGCATTCCCTGAAGAAAATTGTTCCAGAACCAAGGCCACTTCTTGTATGAGATTGGACAAAAATAGATAAATGGCCTTTTGTCACCCTTCATGTATGCTTTTAAGTCTGATAGGAGATTATTTTAAGCTAGTAAACTGACCTCTTGAGGTTAAGTAATAGGTAAGGTGTCTAAATAAAAACAGGAGGGCTTTTGATTTCTATTGCATATTATTTTATATCCAAGAGAAGAATTTTTCAAACTCAGAGAGACTTTTTATTTCCCTATAGAATCTCTACAAGAAAGCCTGGGATAAAGTGAAAGCTACTGGCTATATATTGCCCTCTGATGCAGTCTCCTTAGCACGTGCAAAAGAACTGAAGCATAATGCTAGTACAGTAAGTGAATATAATATGATCTTTCAATCAGATCATCAATTCTGGCAATGAAATCCTTCATGCCTTGCATATACCATGGATGTTAAAAAGTTTTTTTGGATTATCTTATATATTTAATTTTAAATATATTATATATGGTATATATTTAAATAGGTAAAGACTTTTCTGGGATAATCATTTGGATAACTGTTGGATAGCCCTTTGCTTCCTCTTTACATGGAAGAAAAAAATCCTCATTTTATGATAACAGAAACTGTTTTTTGAAAATTACTAGTCAGGTTTTTTTGTAGTCTAGATTGCACAAATGTCTATGTCAGAAAAACACTAAATTGTATGTATTTCCTTAAGTGATGCTTTACTGAGTAGAGATTAATATAAACATATGCTTTAATGAACTGACGCTTATAAGAGATCACTCTCTTCATGGATATCTTTAAATGAAGGAGCTGGAACAAAAAATAAATTGTTTATTCTAGCTTTTTATTTAAAAGTCACCCAGGCATCTATCATTATTTTTTATAACATCATAGTTACAGTGTGCTTTCTATGCCGCTTAAATAAAATAGAAAACTAAGATCTTGCTCTGAACAGCTTTCTCTGCCTGTTGAACTTAACTGAATTCTTTGCTCACTGGTGAATTTGGTTCCAAAAATACAGTTATCTCATTGGGAGTCAGTTATTTTGTTGCCTTTCTTTGCATCTGCTTAGGTAAAATATCGGGAAGAATATGACAAGTTTAAAGCACTGTACACACTACCCAGAGGTGTTGAAGATGATCCCAACACAGCAAGGTGCCTGAGAGTTGGAAAGCTTAATATTGATGTAAGTATTTTTCTAATGTATGTTTTCCTCATAAAATTGTACTTGTCTTAGAAGAGGATACGCAAAGAACCTACATTCATTCATTCACCCATCCAGATAACATGTTTCGATATGCATTTGGCAGTGTTGAATATTTGTTAAATTCTGTATTACACGTATGAATATGTCTTTTCAAGTTTCTGACTCAACTATTAAATCACCTGCATGACTAAACCTTTAGTATAGAATGTTTATCTGTAAAACAGAGTAGTACTTAGTCTATCTCCTTTTAAAACATGAGTACCATGAAAAATTGACAAATCGTATTTTAGCAGTTATTAATTAGTATGATAGACTGGGAGATTCCCTATCTGCAAATTATTTTAAGAACCACCAGTCCCTGAAAATATCAATAATTTTGCTTCAAATTTATCAGCAGTGAATACTTTGACTATATTCCAGCATCATTAATACATTGTTTTTACTCTGCAGCGCCTGTACAAGGAAGTCTATGAAAAGAATAAAGCCAAAATCCACATTATTCCCGACATGGTAGACATAATTTCTGCTAAGGATGCACAGAAGAAAGTCAGTGAAGTTGATTACCGCACACATCTTCACGAGTGGATATGTCTACCAGATCTTCAAATCAATGCCCATGTTCGAAAAGTCACTGATCAACTTAGTGATGTAAGTATACAAATCATGTGTTCATGGCTCACTTTTAAAAAAGATTTTTACATTTATGATCTGTTAGGAAATGAATTTGCAAAAACTTAAGAGTGTTCTGAGGTTGCCACATGTAGGCATTAGATTAGGCACCACTAAAGACCATCTTTATCATGAATTGTAACACTTGGCAATAAACGTTTGGCTGAGATGTGGCTAAGCCTGCATAATTTCAGTATCGTCTGTATTGGTGTTGGATTGTAACATTACAGTTCTACCAGTTCACCATCTCTGTGTGTAAATTGTCCTTTATCATTTGGTGAAAGCTCTGGAAATTAGAGAGAAAATCCAGCTGATGCAAAGCTTCCACACACCCTGCATAGGTCAGCCCGAGAACAGGTCATTGATCTATCAATAAATCATTGCCTGTAGGATATGTAAATGAATTTTTAAAAATCATTGAGGTTTTTTATTCGTTGATCAAACTGAAGCATTGAAGAAAGGTGATGTAAGTCACTCCAAAGGAATTGTTTTGATTTTTCATAAAACAAAGTCAAAATACTAGAAACCTAGCCTGCTGTCATTCAACAGTTGTGTTTCAGACTGATGTTAGCAGTAAGGGATTAGATCATAGTGGAAGTCTTACAGATTGCTTCTTTATTCTTATACCTTAGGTGGTATATAAGGATGATCTCAACTGGCTGAAAGGCATTGGCTGCTTTGTCTGGGACACTCCTGAAATTCTTCATGCCAAACACGCATATGACCTTCGCAGTGATGTGAGTCTGAACTGGTTACACTAGTCCTGCTTCCTTTTTTTTTTTTTTTTTTCCACACTATTTTATTAAAATGATGGATAAAGTGAAAATAGTGCATTTTTTTCCTACTCCAGATATAATCTGGAAAAATGTTATATATCTTTCTGTACTGAAGTACTCAGATTGGGTTATTTAAACTTCATTGATCTGGAAGAAGTAGATATCGTCTGGCTAAGTCCCACTCAGGAAAGCATTAAATACATGTTTAAATACATGTCTGCTCAGAAGAGGGCTTGAAAACAGTAATTCTTCATTCAAAGCCATTAGAGCACAGCAGAAATGATTAAGAATTCATACAGACAGAAAGTCTTTCGATGTTGATTTTATGATGTTTTTCCCCTCTCAAAATCTTATGGCCCATCCTTTGTTGAGGATTAAGCCATTAAAATGGGAGAATGGTAAGTTTAGTTTTCCAGAATATATGTCACCCCATAAGTTCGATATCAGAATTATGTTGGCTATTCATCATATGGTTGCACATGCATATTCTGTGAATGAGTACTGATGTTTCCTAATATACCTTGATGGCCATGCTGTAATTGTTCTTATCTAGTTAGGTGCCATGTTCATTCGTTACGTCATAATTTCAGTACGCTTTCTGCTTAATACTGTTTCACTAATATAATATGTAAATAATATAATAAATAGTTAATATAATAATATAATAAGTTAACAATGGTTAGCCTTACTAATAAGAGCTCTGAAAATTCTCTCTGCAGATTAAGTACAAATCTAAGGCAGAGAAAATGAAGAATGACTACACTGTGGTCATGGATACTCCTGTCTATGTCCAGAATGTCCTGAGTGGCATGAATTTGAGTGAAGTAAGTGTTTGTATCACATTTCGTTTACGCTGTTACATATGCCGATACCTCAGAAGTTCCAGAAAAGTAATGTTTAATTTTTTTAATTATTTCTTTGCTGATACCTACAAGTCATTGCCTATGCCATTAATAAGATATTAGAACACAATCAATACAATCATTAAATTGCCTAAATAGGAAAAACTGTCATCTGGTTTTTTTTGAAAGAGAGTCCCATAGGTGTTCAAATAATACATGCTATGAGAAAACATGGCTACTATGACTCTCCTCTAATTTTTTTTTCCTTTGCTCAGGCTATTTATCGCAGTGAATATATGCACAATATCAAAGGCAAAATGATTCCTACTGATAAAACAGTAGATTTGGAGCGGGCAAGTCATGCTCACAAAATACAGAGTGAAGTAAGTATAAAAATTCTGTTTCTAATAGGTCACCGAAAGCAATGGACACATTTTTCTCCTGTGTTTTTGCTGCATGTTCATGTTTCCTCCGGATCTTTCGATCTTTCTTTTTCTGCAAGTCCACAGGCTTCTCTCATATTCAAGAAGCAAATTATTTAAAAGTTCATGTCTTCTTCTAGCTCTTCAGATAAAGAAGCTAGATTTCATTGCTTTAAAATTAAAGTGAGAAGATGTCCTCATTTAATCTACAAGTATACCTAATAATATAGACATGTGGGAAATCTTTTGCCAATTGCAGATAAGGTATTTGCTACACAGCTATTGAGTAATCCCAAGTATTTCACATGATTGTCACAAACTCTCCCTCTCCCTGCAGAATTTGTATCGCTGGGCTGGTTTGAATGCTCTACCTACTGGATACAGGCTTCCTACAGAAACCCCAAGCTTTCAGCATGCTAAACATGTCCAGTACCTTGGCAGTGATGTAAGTAATGTACCGAGTCCTTCTACAGGATGATTTGCATGCTCATCAGAAATCTGGTATGAGTACACAACAGTTTGAGACAGTTCTTTCTCAGATTTGAGACTGACTGTCGGAGAGCAATGAGAGTAGAGCAGTTCCACATTGGCGGATGAGCAGGGAGCTGAGGGTGTCCATGGCACAGGCAGTGCCCTCACCAGCTGGGGTGCAGTGCTACAGTATCTGAGCAGGGTGGGCAGAGCACGGTGCCGATAACAGGTTGCACAACAGTCCCAGACAAGGTAGGTGAGAACCAGGTCCAGGGCCCATCCAGCTGCAGGAGACAGGGCCAGAGATGAGACGGGAGATAAGGCTACAACGTAGATCCAAAGTATATCCAGGAGACAGGGCTAGAAAGAGGGCTAGAGACAAGCTACCTAAAACGTAGGTCCAGTGTCCATCCAGGAAATGAGGCCAGAGACAGGGCTGCAGACAGGTACACCTACAACATAGCTCAGGCAAGGACTGAGGTCTCAGGTGAGGCTGGTCAGGTCAGTTAAGTCCTGTTAGTATGTTAGTACACTCCAGGCCCTGAATTTGATCATGTTTTTCTTAACAGAATTGAAATGTTACTAAACTCCACAATTATCTGAATAAGTTACTATCAAGATGTAATTTTCCTCAGCTACTAATATGACTAGATGCAGGAGAAATTTAAAATATTAATCTTGGGCCACGTTATAAAGGTAAAAATAATGGTGATGCCCAGGTACTTTAAAGGCTCTGGTACAGCTAAATCTCACTTGAGTGTCTCTAAACATTTGATTCTTTCTGCTGCATAAATTACTTTCAGAACTACAGTGCATGTCGGATCACAACCCAATTTAAGTTTTGTATGTTTTTCTTCTATCTAAAAATTCCTTTTACCACTTTATAGCTGAAATATAAAGAAGCCTATGAACACATGAAAGCTAAAGGCTATACTCTGGGACCCAAAGATGTTGGATTTGAAAATATAAAGAAAGTGAATCAAGTCATTAATGAGGTAAAAGATATGTATTTGTTTTCAATAATATTTCTGATGCTCAAAGTAGGAGGGGTGAGAACACATTAACTAGGGAGGTTGTGGGATCCCTATTTTTTGAGGCTTTTAAGAACAGGTTAGACAAACTTCTATCAAGAATAGCAAGGGATCCTTAATCCAAACTTGGAGTTGGTCTGTATGGCTTTTTGAGGTTCTTAACAACCCAAACTTTCTCTAATTGTGTAAAACTGTTACTGTACTATAAAATTAATAGTGACATAATTCACCAATCTGCTACTATTTGATTAAAGTTGCATAGAAATTATTGAATCTTTATGCCAATGGTTCTGTATTCTTTTAGGTCTACAAGCTATAAGTATGTGCTCATTTGCTTAATCATTGACTTCAACAGGATGAAAATTAAATGTGCATATTTAAATGTTTGTAGGATTAGAGTCTCAGATTCCCTATATGTTTGAGGTGCGACTATCAAAAATAATTGTGTAAAATTTTTGTCTAATTAGAAGCCAGTAGGTTTACTCCCTTCTCTCCCTTAGTTCTGCAATGCTTAGAAAAAGAGCTGACCTAAAGACAAAAGTACTTACAATCTGCCAACCCACTTGTCGTTTTAAGTTTTTATCTTTTAACATGTAGAATGCTGTCTCCTTTGGTACAGAGGTTGTATCGGGCAACATACCACAAGTACAAGGACAAGATTCATACCACTCCCGACACACCAGAAATCCGTCAAGTCAGAGCTACACAGGAAGCTGTCAGTGATGTACGTGTCTTTCTAACATCTAAAAATTGGAGAGATTTAGAATACTTGGCATGATCAATCATGTGAAATGCTGTTTTCTCTTTTTCTTTCAGCTGATCTACAAGTCGGATTTCTTTAAGATGCAGGGACACTTGATTTCCCTGCCATACACACCTCAGGTTTTACACTGCCGCTATGCTGGGGACATCACAAGTGATGTAAGCAGCTTCTGTTAAGATACATGGTACCTGAATACAGCAGGCCTAATTCTTTTCTATTGATTCACGTTCATGTGCCAGTGGGAGTAGAATTTGACTCCTCATTTGCATTTTATTCTTTAATAGGTAAAGATTTTGTAATTGTGTTTGGGGACTGATTATTGATCAGTCCCCAACAGTTGGGATTATTGATCCCAACAGTTAACTTTTAATTTCTCTTCTTTTACTTGCCTTATAGAACAAATACAAACAGGATCTGAAGTGGCTGAAGGGCTTGGGTTGCTTCCTATATGATACTCCTGATATGGTCCGTGCTCGCCAGCTGCGTAAACTTTGGGTAAGATTTTTCTTCTGAAAAGCATTTATAACAATGATTGATTTACTGATGTGCATGCTAAGTACTCCCAAGAAATTAAGTACATGAAAATGAATAAAAATCTGTGACAACATTTATTGCCGTGCTAGTTAGTTAGCTGTTCCAAAGTACTAGGAAGAAAGTATGATTCTTTTCTATTAGGTTGCACTGTAAAATTCTTTACTACCAGGAATAGTAACTGTTTTCTAAGTGATACTGCTTTTCTTTTTCAGTCTAATTATATATACACTGGTGATGCAAAGAAGATGAGGGATAAATACAGTGTGGTACTGGATACTCCTGAATACAGGACAGTTCAAGAATTAAAAACACATTTGAGTGAGGTAAGTTCTGTGTTAGTCTTATCCATCTTTGTTAGTTTTAATTAAAAAAAGCTCAGATCCTTTCACTGGCTTTCCTGAAATGTATGGGATGTTATAGTTGCAAAGCTATAATTGTCTAGCTGCTAAATGAACATCTGTAAAAGAAAAAATAATTCACGAACTTGTGTTTTCCTAGCTGGTTTACAGAGCTGCAGGCAAGAAGCTGAAGACAAAATATACTTCCATCCTTGATACACCTGATTTCTTAAGAGCCAAGCAAGGACAAAAAATACAGAGTCAGGTAACAAATTTTTACTGATGGAAAACATCTAGCAGTTCCCTCTTAACGTTCTGTTAAAGTACAGCAAAAACTTTCCAGACCATTTCAAAACAATATAGATTTCCTGGAGAGTACTTTTAAAAATGGCCATTCCTCATTTTCAAGTGGCTACAAAATCTCATGTTGACCATATCTCTATAGGGGACATGCCCAGCTTCGTCCATCTGAAACAGAGCGTTGAGCCCTGTTTCAGTTTTGTTCGAATTCTCTGAAACTTTAACTTTGTTGGAGAAATAAAGGCTTTTATTCATTTACTCATCATCACTTCTTAATTCGTTTAAGAGTTCTTTATCTGAGTTATTATCTACAATTTTTGTGGAATTTTTAAATTCACAGAACAAAATGATGTTACCTGCCAGAGAGAAACAGGCACTTTGGACAGTTTTATGTAATGTTAGATCTGGATGCAGAGCAGAGAGGTCACTAATGCCACATGCATATGACATTTTGATTTGTGAATGTGTTGCTGGCATTTACAAAACATCAAGAGTACTGATAACAAAAGATAAACTGAGAGAATGTAGAAGATGAAAGAGCACATTGCTTTCTCCTGGGGTAAATTGTGTGGTTATATATGCATTGTGAATTTACAGTCATTTTTCAGGAGATAAAGTACAACTTGAAATTTGTATTTTTGGATTCTTCTCTTCTTACTGCAGTATTTGTATGTGGAGCTTGCCACAAAAGAGAGACCCCATCACCATGCTGGTGGTCAGACTCCAGCTTTTACACATGCTAAGCATGTAAAGGACATGGTTAGTGAGGTAAGATATTTACTCTTTTGTTTGGTACCGCTATGCTGAACTGTTTAGAAGTTTTATTTCTGATTTAATGATGGGTTCAAGGCTCAAATCTGTTCGCTCTTTGGTTTTTATGCCTTTTAGGCTTAAACTCCACATTACCTATGTTAGCTTGGTAAACCAATACTCATTTTTATACACCTCAAGATTTTATAAGACACCTATTTCTAAGAAATTGTCTGCAGAGTCCAAGGCAGATGGGCTACGAGATCTAGAAGAACTAGGAAGCGCTGAAAAGCTGAGCTTGTTTCCCAGTGTTTTGATTGAAGCACTTTGCAGGAGTGACTTCTTTGTGCAGTCAGTGTAGCACCTTAACGTAATGTCAGATTAACAAATGCTTTTGACGCTAAAGATATAACTTTTCTGTCTTATTGTCTCTTTTTAGAAAAAGTATAAAATCCAGTATGAGAAGATGAAGGACAAATACACACCTGTCCCTGACACACCCATCTTGATCAGAGCTAAGAGAGCATACCTGAATGCTAGTGATGTATGTAGCCCATGAACACTTTCACTGTTCCTTTTTTTCTGTTTCTGTATAAAACGAAGAAAAGGATCAATGGGGAGAATGCATGCAAACAGCAGAATATCTCTCTGTGCGTCATGAACTTGGTCACTCTGTTTGTATGCGTAATTCAATTTGATATTTCTGAGATTAGTAAATTTTAGATTGAGGGCACTGTAGTGCTTTCTTTTACTCTTTATAATTTATTTTCATTTTCTTTTGCATGGAAGTGTGGACTTAGAGCAAAGGAAAAATAGGTTCAGAACAAATTGTTAACATGTGAAATCTCCAAATAGTGTAGACTAGAGTGAAATGACTGATCCTGGAGCCAGAATAGAATACATCAGAATATAGCAGACATCTTCATCTCGGTTAAGTATGAGGAATAAACTTGTATATCAGTGGGAACTCACTCATTTTTCACTTAGAAGTAGATTAGAGAAAAAATTTATCTGAGCTGCTGCAGGTAAGGATTTGATGACGAAATTAATTTTTCCTTTGAGTGTGGAATAGCAATTTATGCTTTATGGCAATGGCCAAGAGTAGTCTACTTGTTAGTGAGATTTTTGCTAAGTATTTTAAATTGCACATTGCCCAGGGGCCCTGGAAAGGCCTGAAAGGGCATGTACTGGGCTGGCATTTTAGCATAGTGATTTGTCCAATTGCAGTCTTAAGAGTGGTTTTAAATACTGTAAAGCCTATGATCTTCCTGCTTTCTTCTAACCAGGAAATGGAGGAAGGGATGAGTGGTTTTTTTATGCCAAATGCAGCACTTCTGCTATTTTGGAGAGTGGCCCTGTGATGCATGGATGTTTTTTCTTCAATCTGAAAGTGAATAGGATAAAATTTTGCTTTTGATGGGCCAACTTCTTTTCTCTCTGTGAGTCTCAGTCAAATTGTAATTGATTTTAGGCAACTGAATCCTCTTGAAATTCCGTAGGGCTTACATTAACAAGTTGAAAAGCAACATATCCCTTGATGTCATTCTTAAGAGGTAAGATATTTAAATGAAACAATTCCTGACAGATAAATATAATCTATTCTTTTATATATTATTTTTCTTACCAGTTGCGCTACAAAGAAACCTTTGAGCACACAAAGGGAAAATATCACACAGTGAAAGATGCTTTGGATATTGTCTATCACCGAAAGGTCACTGATGATATTAGCAGTGTACGTATGCAACATTTCCATTCCTAATTAATGTTTGTCATTTAATACTCTAGTATATGCCATTTATACTATTACTCTATTTGATTTTGTCAAACAATCCAAAAATATAATTAATATTAAATTCTATCCTTTTTCAGAAGATAAAAATGCAGGTAAATCTCAGTCCCATGTTTTTAGTTCTGACCTTTCAGAAAAAGGAATGTCTTAAAAATGGATGGCTGATGTGTTCTGTTCCCAAATTGTTTTACTTCATTTTTTTTATCTTTCTTTGTAGGTGAAATATAAGGAAAATTACATGAGTCAATTGGGAATCTGGAGATCTATCCCAGACCGGCCAGAGCATTCCCATCATCGTGCAGTCACAGATGCTGTTAGTGATGTGAGTTCAAATAGTTCCTGATTCTGAGATGTTGAAACCTAAATGGAGGTTTCCAAAATTAAAAAAAAAAAGTCCATATATCTTAAGAAAATGAAGGCAATATCAGTGGAAATAAAAAAGTGATGTACACTTTTGCCTGGCAGATCTGTGAAATGACAGAACAGATTAAATGGCTAAAATTGTAGTCCCTCTCCTGAAATCAGTTAAGACTGTTCCATTGATTTCAATAGTAGTATTTACTTGGATTTTTTTGTTACCACTATAATAAAAACTTTGGTTATATGCAAAATCTGGAGCAGCCTTTAAATAAAGCTGTTTTTTCCTGAAAGTTCTGGTTTGTATAGAGAATCCTGACTGTGCACAGAAAGATATGTAAAATCATGGGAGTGTTGATTGCCGTGGATTAAGAGCTGTACACTGTGACTTCTGGGTGACCTTGCTTGGTTGTGTTTAAATCAGTGTAATCCCATTGATTTTCCCGAGAACTACAAAGTGACACACTAACTGTACAGAAATATATGTTTTTTAATCCATGCAGGAACTCAAATGCTGGATTAGATATGTGAAAAAAACACAGTCCATCAGAAAAATATAAATATTCACCATTTCTTTTGTAATGGAATAATAATGAATGTAGCTCTGTTTGCCTCACCTTATGTTGACGTGTTATTTCAGTACTGCTCAGATACCATTTGATGTCACTTAAAACTGAAACCTTTTACTTGTTTTCTAAAGGTTAAATACAAGGAAGACTTATCATGGCTCAGAGGCATTGGCTGTTATGCATGGGATACTCCAGATTTTGCTCTGGCAGAAAAGAATAAGGTGCTCTACAGTGGGGTAAGTAAAACAGTCTGCGTTCTTGTTAAACATTTCTTGCAAGCTTGCTTATGTCATAGTTGCATCTTTCTCTGAAGACAATCAAATTCTGACTAAGACATGGATATGCATATCTCATAGTAGAACATAGAACATAACATTTAAAATTAGAAGGTTTGCTGTAAAAGAAATTGGAGACAAAATGGCCATCTGTTTATCTCCTCTGTTCCTTGGAAAGGTATCTGCTCTGTAGTAACTTTTCTAGTGATTCTAAGTCTAACTTTAAAACGATAAAGCTTTGAAGCTTCCATTGTTTTCTTAATATGATAGTTACATCCCAACAAACTACTACATCTACAACTATTTTGCCCTGAAATATTTTTTGTTTGTAAATATGTTAAAAACACATATGCACTAATTCTACCACATTTTTGCTGCAGATAGTTTTTACAATTCTCTATTTCCATTGCCTTAGATTTCTTTGGTAACTTCTCTTTCTTTCCTTTTTTTTTTTTTTTCCTCCAGTGTAAGTACAAGGAGATATTTGAGAAGACTAAGTCCCATTTTAAGTATGTAGCCGACTCTCCAATTAACAGGCATTTTAAACATGCCACTCAGTTGATGGATGAGGTAAGTATTAAAAGATTTCAGTAGTCTCTCATACCAAAGTACTAGGTTTGTATATGTTAACACTGAGTTAAAGGTTGGTCTTCCTTACAAAATGGTAAATAAATTGAAGTAGGTCCAAGGAGAGTTAAAAGAAGGATGTCTTAAGGTCAGATCAAAATGAGGAAAGACAAGGATATTCCTGTTACCTGCCTGAGTAGTTGTACAGAGCAGGTTTACAGTAACTAAAAAGTGAAATTGCAAAGAAACTTCTTTGCTAACCAGTAAACGAATGTTAACTGAAAAGATGCTGCTTTCTTAGTAAAACTATTGAGAAAAAACTGTTGATTATCCTGTGCAAAAGGTATAGAATCACAGTTGCTTTCTTGAAATATCAAGCAAAATTTCATCAGTTTTAGGAAGATAATATTTTCTCCAAAGTTATCATAACTCTATTCCATTTTGGATATTTTGCCTCAAATTCTCTCACTCTTACCTTACTCGGTCTCTCCTGTAGACTTAAAGAAAAAAATAAACAAAACGTATTAGCAAAATAGCCTCTTGGTATAAATCACCAACAGACTTGCTCCAAGTAATGCTGTACATCTGCAGGACAAAGCCCTTTGAAAAACAGTGTGTTCTGGATGAGTTCTCATTAGCTTAGAGTTCACATACCAAACCAGACTCTGATGCCTTTCATTAAAGGAGTGTGCATTCTAGACTATCACATCTTGGTATTTTATTCTTACACACCAGACATCATGTTACCTTGCATACCAGTCAGTAAATATATTTATAGAATAATGTATTCTAGTTATAAGAAAAACTGTTTCACCACAGATACCATTCCAGTACTGTTGCTATAGTTTCACACTTCATTTGGTAAACAATGAACCAGAATTTATTGTGGAAGATGGTTAATATTCAGTTTTGTTGTTGTTTGGTAGAACAATAAGGAAAATGTAATGTGATAAGCATAGACAAGAAGGATTTCTAACAAGTAGGGCCTCATACATTGAAACTTGCCTAAATGCTTTTTTTTTGCATACGTGATGTTTTTATGATGTCTTATAGTTTTTTGTTTACAAAAAATTTGATAATATAGCTTTAGTATTTTATTCTTTCATCTCATTATACTCTCATTGTATTTGAATCAAGAATCTAATTGCACACAGTGTTGCTTCAGCAGTTGTTTTTCAGGAAGAAATGGAGTCATGAAATGCCTTATTGGAGAGTAGCAGGAATAGGATGTAAGCGTCCTTAAATTGTAAATTAGGCCTTTCAGGAGTAATTTACAAATGTATATATTAATTGGACACATTTTATTTCTGTTTTTTTTTCCTGTTTTTTCCTACATTTTTCTCTTCTGGATATGGATTTTAATCCCAGCCTTTAAATATTGCAGTTAATGAGGTTTCAGTGGTTAGGAACTATAATCTCAGATCTCTCTGTGTCTTCACTTTCTTCTTTTACTTTGTTACAATGTATTATGCTATTCTGAGCAGAAATTATATAAAGCTGCCTATGAGAAGCTCAAAGATAGGTACAGCGTTATTGTGGATGATCCTAGGAATCTCCTGGCCAAGTGGGGGACCACACTGAGCAGTCAGGTACTGTAGGAACGCTGGCCAGTGCTGCCAGAAAATGCCTAGTTCACTCACAGCTATTATCTTTGTCCGCCTGAAATGTCTATAGCAGCAGTATCATAGGTCTCACCTGTGATATTGTGATGTTTTAGTTCGGTTGATCAGATATAGTCTCTGTTTTGCCACCCAAAAAGCATTACTTTTTGAGTGAGCTAATCTATACCGTATGTACTTTCATATATTGTGCATCAATTGACATCATCTTCAAGTAGGTTGTCATCTAATGCGTATTGAAATCATTGGAGAGGTTTTAAAAAATGGATGCTGTGTCATGCATTTATTTTTTTTATTGCCTCTCTTTTAGTGACTTTTACAAAGATTATTTTCTTACTCATTTTTAGATAAAGCAACAGTGGCATATTTGGATTTTGAGTGCCCTTACCTTAATCTATAGTTTACTCTAGTATCCCCCCAAATATTTTCATTATTTCCTTAATGGGACTGACTGTATGCAAGCCTTTTAGTCTATACTCTTGCCGTTCTTAATTATATAGATGTAAGTTGTATGCACATCTGAATGAATACATACAGTATCATGCCTAAATCTCTCCACTCTACAAGTGACTGGGATCTAGAGCTGTGCTGTTGTTTATGGTCTTCACAAGTCTCTTTTGTGCTTCGTTGCCATTTGCATGCACAGAAAAAATATAAGTCCTTTGCCAAGATGTTCCTGAAACAAGGATGTAATGAAATTCTGAGGCCAGATATGCTGAGAGCACTCTACAACACATACTTATGGAGCCAGGTAAAATGAAGAACTGCTGCTTTAGGAGGCCTTATGTATACAGTTTAGCTGCTTGGATTTTTAACACGTAATGCTTGTGAGTTCTCTGAATTTCCACAGGTATCAGACTCCAGAGTTTTGTACATGTGCTTAATGCTGGATGTGACCAAATAGTCTTGATAACAGAGTATCTGAAACAATGTTTACCATGACTTGGACTTGACCCATCCCAGGTTGATCTGGCCCTCCATTTTCTCCTTTCATTACAAATAATTGTTATGTATATATTTCTTTACATTAATTTGCATACTTACATAGAGTAATTTTCTGTGCCTTTAAGAAAGGATTAGCTGTTCCTTATATTTTCCCAACCAAATATTTGTTCTGACACGGTTTCTCATATTGACACCCTATAAGTTCCTAAATTCAGTATGAACATAATGAAGTAATTTGGGGAGAAGATTACAATATTTATCTAGCGCTCTACCTGTTGATGGTGTCCGATTGTGTCTAGATAAAGAACAAAGTCATATCTCATGGCAGTCAGAAGAGGTACAGGAAGAGTATTTTACGCAGGTCTGAAGATGAAGTCAGATTTTCATTAATTTCTTTCTCTACCTATTGCTTTTAAGCAAAGCAGCCACATAATAGTAAGAGATTATAAACAGAAATTAACTGCCAGAAAGGGAGATTTATTAGGAGTTGGAAGGTAGAAAGTGAGTATGATTCATCTATTTGTTCTTAGAGATCAAAGAGCCTAACATATTAATATTTTTGATTACATAAAGGATCCATTCAGCAGCCTCTAAGTGACTCCAGCGTTACTGCAAAGAGATAATTTTCCATATTCTACCTTTATTTAATCTGGATTCCTGCGTATATATATTGGTTGTATGATTTGGAAGAAATATAGTAACTGATACATATTTATATATGCACTGGAATCAGATCTGCTAGCAGAGACCTTACTCCCTACACACAAGTTACCTATTTCAATGGCAGAGATGATTCCTGACCGGATTAGATGAAACGCGTATAGCGTATAAGTTATATGCTGGAAACGCAACAGTAGAAAGCAATTATATGAGAATGAAGGGGATGTTCTTCTTTATCGTTGTAAGCACAATTAATAAAATCCTTCTACAATAAGGTAGTGAAGGTCATCAGTAGACATTATTTGTTCAGTTTGTCAGTGGATTTCAATTTATTTTCTGGTTAAAAATCTTTGCAGGTAAGTTTGAGTGTGTTTGAAGAAAAAAATAGCACTCTGACTTGTATGTTCAACTGAGTTGACTTCATGTTTTGATTTATGTTGTTTGTATATAGTTTTGTATATTTTGTCTGTCTTAGCTGTGTTTCAGAAGCATGCCTTTTTTTTTCTGATGCACTATATTGCATGAAAATTCTTTTTTAGAGATCTGTTGTGACCTCCTCCACCTGCCCTGAGGCTATCTGCAATAAATTATTATTCTTTGTATACGTTCTGTTCTCACTGAATTCTGTGAAAACAGATTCGGCTCCTGAGTAAGACAAGATAATCTTTAGAAAAGAAATGGCCAAGGTACAATTTGTTATCAGTGTCTTAAAACAGCTTGGTGTTATCATATATTCCGTGAATTTCTTTTCTATTCTGTTGTGTAAGATGTTTTACACTTCTCTTCCTTATAATGAGTATTTTAAAATGAGGTCTTGTCCAGTTACAAATTTTCAAAGCCTTTAATCTGCCAAGATTACTTTTTCAGCTTTTTCAATCTTGGAGACATAGGATAGAAGTGAAGTTTTTACTCTCAGTGAAATAAATGTAAAACTAGTCACACAAATAGATAGGCAGCCTCTCAGGCAAATAAAGGGTTTACAAAGTCTGGCTCCTTGTGCATGTTTAGCTTTCTTTGGCTTTGGTGGAAGGATTTCACAACTTGATGTCTTAATATAAACATATCTCCTGAAGATATTTTGTCTTGGTTTGTGTGGTTAACATGTTCTACTTCCTTACTACCAGGTCGAATATAAAAAGGAATATGAAAAGAAGAAAGACAAATATACTACAATTGTAGATACTCCAGAACACTTACGGATAACAAAAGTGAACAAACAGATCAGTGATGTAAGTGTGTTCAATTCCTTGCGCGCATACCTTCTCTGGATTCTGACCTTTGAAGTATGATGCTCAACAATATGGCATTTCAGTAGTCAATTATATAATATTTCTCATCTTGATTTTTTTCAATTTACACAAAGACTATCAAGAAATAATGATGTGATTTAAAATTTTGTATCTTCAGATTATTTACAAGCTGGAATATAACAAAGCAAAGCCTAAAGGCTATACCACAATCCATGATACACCTATGTTATTGCATGTGCGCAAGGTCAAGGACAGAATAAGTGATGTAAGTAAACCATCCTTGTCTGTGATGTCAAAAAGGCACATAATTAACATTTTACTTTGATATGTGATATTTCTAAGCCACATGTAATGCTGTAATTAAAATTAACTTCTTATTAGAATGTGTTTTTATTTTCATGAGGAACTTCTGTATTTAATACTTTTTCAATAATGCAATGGAATCTGGAAGTATTTAGGAAGTTTTATCATGTAAAGTTCTGCTGTAGCTCTTGGAACGTTTTTGCTAGGATAGAGCAGCCCTGGCTAATATTAAAAGCCATGAACTGGAACTGGTATCTAATTAAAGCAAGGATTTTGGGAGTCTGTTTCTGGATTTTCTTCCTATTTTGGTTAATAACTTTTGTGGAGCCATGACAGCTCTTCTGTGGGCATTGTGTAAGGTAAGTATTCTGTTTTAAAATAGTTATGTATAGATTTTTGAATAAGGGGCAATGGAAGGCTAATAAGAGAAGGAAAGGAAGATGAAGTGGATAGAGTAATGCCGTGGGACTTGAGAGTCCTGGTCTTAATTCTTTCTTCAACCTTAGGCTTTCTGTGTGACATTTGTGGTATTGTTCATTAGATCTCCATAAACAAAATGAGGATACTAGCACTTTCATAACTGAGGGTAGTTATGAACAAGCATATGAGAAGCACATGGAAGCATCTCACAAGCATGTGAGAAATAAGCACCTTTAGTCTGAGTCCTTCAGATGCTGCACTGATTATCTGTGTTATGAGTAAGACTAGCAGGGAAAAATAACAATATTGTTCAGAGAGATTTTCAAAAGTGACCTGTGAATCGAAGTACATTTTCTTATTCCAAATCTGAGTGCTGAATCTGAGATTCTGTAAAGGGATTTTCAGAAAGCATCAAATGTGGCTGTCAGAAAATAAGTTTCTTTAAATTATTTGTACTGGGTGCCAAAAAAATAGATAGAATTACTGTTCATGCGGAGATTTTGGTAAATTTTACTCTACACTTCATGGTGAATTATACCTGCGTATTTTCTATATGGAAGGAACTGCTGCTGAACAGGGCCCTTCTTTCAGGCAGATGATTGATACCAAGTTGTATGGATATAATTTCTTTTTTTTTCTGTTAAGATTTTATCTTGACAATTAGGAACAAATCTATTAATACTAGGTTTTTCATATTTTGCTACTTTTCTGGTTCACAGTGATGTATTAATGTATCTTTGTTAACATTTTTAATACTCTTCTTTCTTTAGCTGAAATACAAAGAGCTGTATGAGAGGAATAAATCTCACTGCAATGTCGTAGCTGATTCAGTTCATATTAAGACTCCAAGGCATGCTTACAAGCTAAACAGCAATGTGAGTTCTGTTTTATTAATACTTTAATTTTATTATGGGTAGTGGGTGGGACTAGCAAAGGAGACCAAGAGAAATTAATTTTCATTTCTGTTGAAATTCAGTGAGCTTAGATATTCCTTCTAATTCTTAATGCTGCTTGAATAACATATATGTTAATTTATTTAATACTAAAATGCTCATTTATAAAGGTTGTCCTTGAGGTCACATGAGGTTCCCTGTATGTCACACAGACATCTACTATTCTAGCTCCTCTCTGTTTCTCTGACAAAGATGCATAACTGCCTCTGAAATTCTCTGTGATGATGTTCTCAAGGACAGAGCAAGTGCTTTTTAGGAAGCTCTCATTTGTTTTCTATTATTTGTGGTCCTACATCCACTGTGATAGGCAAGGAACTGAAAACACTCACCTTCCTCAAAGTCGTAACATCTTCTTAGTCCCTCATATTCCTTTCTCTGCCCAGCAGTGAAAAACCTAGAGCAAATGGACTCCCACTGGATTGGTCATGATTCAGAGGAAAGCACTAATCTGATGTAGATGCACTTTTTTTTTACCTCTTCTCTCTTTATTTCATCCTGACCAAAAGAGAATTTGCATCTGTATAAATTTAATGTCTAAATTACACAATCTCTAATGATTTTTTCTTGTTGCTTACCTACAAACAGCTGGATTATAAGAAAAAATATGAAGCAGCCAAGGCTCATTGGCACTGGATTGCCGATAGGCCTGACTTTGTGCAAGCAGCCAAGTCATCTCTGCAACAGAGTGATGTAAGAAAATTAGAACAAACTAACTTTCCCCACCTCTCCCCTTTTTCATAATAAAAAAAAAAGTTATAGAAGTTCTGGTGTCATTTTTGTTATAACTTATTTTATCTTCCTGCAGTATGAATACAAGCTGGACCGCGAATTCCTAAAAGGATGCAAACTCTCTGTCACAGACGATAAAAACACAGTATTGGCTTTAAATAATGCCATCTTGGCAAGTGATGTAAGTACCTGAACGCTCACTTTTTCTGTACTACTGGAAACATAACCTACATTATTGGCATATTGCTCCTATAAGTACAGTATGTTCAAAGCAGGATCTCATTTGTGAATGTTATTCAGTAGAATGATTTTGCAGAAAAAATGAAATGATAAGGAGAATTTATTAAAAAGAGGATGCACAGATTAAACCTTCTCTAACAAATTGAATCCTAAATAGAATTTGCAGTTTTCTCAGAATGTTGAATATCCACTGATTGCATTAAGAATCAAGGCTTGAAAATTTCTTCTCAGTCTGAGTTCATGATTTGATTTGGCTTGTTTGCTTCATTAACAAATTGGCAAAACCAGAATAAATTTGGTCTTGTAGATGTCACTGACCTGGTTTATGGATTTGCAAACTACATACGGATTCAGATTTAACATTGTCTGAACACTCTACATTTTTAATATGTTTGTAGATTCCTCTTATTAAAATGCAAATATTATCTGGAAAAAATTAAAAAATTAAGCTGCATGTATTATTTATGCATAAGACAAAGTATGTTTAGTAGTCACTTAGCAATCTATTGAATGTATTAATAAAACGTTACATGATGGCTGTAGGAATATATGGTCTGGAAAAAATCTTGGCAATCATCAAACTATGGGATCACCTGCAACCTTTGGCACTAACAAGCAGTCACAGCTGTAGTCATTTCTTTTTAGATTATCACAAGACAAGATTCATGTTACTTAACATATCTTTTCTCTCTGCTAGGTAAAATACAAAGAGAAGCATAACAAAGCTCGAGGAACATACCTTATTGTTCCAGATACGCCTCAGATCCTCCTGGCTAAGAATGTCAGCTCTCTGGTATCTGAGGTAAAACATCTGACATTCATTGCTTTTTTTTTTAAAATAGATTATTTTAATATTCTCTGTGGGTTTTTGCTTGCTTGTTTTGGTTTTTTTAACTTATTTTCCTTCTGTACCTTCAGAACAAATACAAAGAACACAGCAAGAAGCAGCTTCCACATGGGTCTTACACAACCCTGCCTGAGACCCGAGACACTGCTCATGTGAAAGAGGTGACCAAGAATGTCAGTGAGGTAAGTAACTAGTTTGAAAACAATTTATGGTGACGTTGTTACCAGATACCTGTGGTTGCTTAGACTGTTGCATGATTTAGAGTAGGTGGTAGAGTCTCATCATGAAAGTGCCCAAGGAGTCAGCAAAGATGGATTCCCTGCCAGAAGGAGACTTTAACAAAGAGCTAAACCCATTTTATTGGGAACCTATTGAAATATTCTGAAGAAAAGCAAGCAGGCTAAGTGCTTAGGGAGGGGCCTTAATTCAGATTCATTTTTCATAGAACACAGTATAAACCCAAATCATCAATTCCAAATAGCAAATTTTAATGAGCTAAAATGTAAATCATGACCAGCAAGCTGGGGGCCATAAATTTTGAAACTTAGAAGACTACATTTTATCTGTTTTTACAGTTTCTCTGAGCTTAGTTCCAAGTATCAGTAGCATTTATGTTCATATGAGATTACCAAATCACACATGGCCCTTTTTGCTCTCAACAGACAAATTATAAACAAAAGTTTGTGAAGGAGAAAGGAAAGTCTAACTATTCTGTGATGTTGGAGCCTCCTGAAGTGAAACATGCCATGGAAGTGGCAAAGAAACAGAGTACTGTAAGTTTACCTTGTGTTTTCTTGAACTAAGCAGTGTATGTAAGCAAATTGAAACCAAAGTCAGCTGAAAAAAACACAAGTTTACCTACTTCAGGATTTCCTCCCAGCTTCTATGTTCAGGTGTGATTCTGGAGGACAAAAATGTGAATATTTACAGATGTAAAATTGCACAGAAATAAAGGATATATTTGAAAATCATATCTATTTTAATGATGTGATGGGATTTAAAGTAATGTATTGCAAATCAAATTTAATAATTTCTTTCATTCCTTCAAATACAAACAGAATTGCATGTACGTTCTTGTTCATTTGTAGATAACTTGCAAAAACTGGTTCCCAAATCCGTTCTTCGTGAAACAATTAAAAAAAAAAATCCCAGGCACTTTTCCACCAGCATTGTTGGGTCCCTATTTAGGTATGTTCCTCATGAACAAATGTCAGTAATCTGCTTTCCTCTGTCTGTCAATCATCATGGATTAGGTTGAATACAAGAAAGATGCCAAGTCAAAGCTCCACTACACACCTATAGCAGATCGACCAGATATTAAAAAAGCAACGCAAGCTGCCAAGTTAATTAGCAATGTGAGTGTTTTTTTTAAATCTTCTGTATAACTACTTAGCAGTAATTTTAGTATAAAAAAATAGTAGAAGTAATTACAAGGGCATGTGGTCATCACTAAGCTATACATTTTTTTTATGTTTTCTCTATGTTAGATTGAATATAAGAAGCGTGGAGAAGCTGGCATCGGTGTAACTATGCTGGGACGTCCGGATATTGAGCTTGCAAAGGAGGTGTCAAAGCTAACTAGCCAGGTAATAATTAAAAAAAATGTTATAGTAAAAAGTTTGTGAAGCTTTGAAGCAGTGAAAGTAAAGCTTTCAGATTTGCTGAGACATGGTATTAATTTACAGAATAATATTAACATTGTAACTGGAATTATTTTTAGATTAAGGGTTAAGGAAATATATTAAAGGGCACACATTAAAAAATTAAATCCTAATGTGAGGCTATTTATTCATTAAATAAACCACAGCTGATTGGATTGATTCCGCTTACAGTGATATCAGTGAAACTTGATTCGCTACTTTCTTGTCTTGTAGTGTTTATAGCTGCATAATGGATACAGGACTGATCAAGTCACTTTCCCAAAAACTAGGCTAGTGGAGAATTGTGCTCAGATGCTAAAACTCTCCTGGCTTTAATGGGAGCGGAAGCTGGAGAGAGAGAGGAGTCATAGAAGGGGAAGATAAGAGAATTTATATCCTCTGTGTTTCATTTGTGTTCTTCCTTCACTTTCTTAATTTTTCTGTCATCTCTAAAATCTTATGCTTCCACCTTCTTAAAAATGTCATTTGTAATTCTTCTACAATGTCCAGTATCAATATTCTTATGGAGTAGCGAAAGCTAAAATGTAGAAATGTTTAGGTACCTGAATAGCTTTGCAACTTATAAATTTATAAATTCTGTGAATGCTGAAAACAGTTGGTATGCAGCAGAATTAAACTGGCCTTCCTACAAGATGCTGTTGGTCCAGTGGGTAAGTCTGTATGTTCTAAAGATTAAAACAGAGGACAACTGGTACAGCTAAAAGCCAGCTGATGGTTTTCAAAAAAGTGTTGCCTAAAAATGAAATAATCCAGAATTAGAAACCGTTTCTGAAAAAGCCTGGAAACTCTTAGTACCTCTGTTGTCGCCGGTAGTGAAATGGACACAAATTTGTTGCTTATTCACTTGTGTGATGTGTTTTAAAAAATAAAATAAAAATCAGCACTTATATGTATAAGCATAAAATATTCTTACATTAGAGATTTTTAATAACTTTTCTATTGGCTTATTATAGGTCAGTGATGGAGGTATAGAATTTCCTTAAAATGATTCCATGACAAGATCTTTCAAATACTAAGGCTGAGATGTTAGTCTTATTCTCTCGTTTCCTTTTCTGGGCATTGGCTTTCAAACAAGCAGCGTTTTGCCTAACTTATTATGCACCTTTATGAGGTGGTCATTCAGTTTCTTTTTGCCACTTACTTTCTACTCTTGACCTTTAAAAGAATCCTCTATTTTGGTGTTAATATGCTGTATTAATATAAGCTTGTTAACTTTTATACAGTAGCCTTGATCTCCGGTTAGTGTGAAGCACATGCTTGCTGTTTCCTGTGATAATTTTTTCCACCAGGACCTCAGTTCCACTTGGATCTTTCTCACCGCTTCATGCTTTAATCTTATAATTGTTTGCATTTCTGATCTTACTTTCTTGCTACGCATTATAGGCGGAATACCTCAAACGACACATGAGAGGGCATGGAGCTGCATCTTACGATACACCATGGATGAGAACCTTTAAGAAAGCTAATATGCTAAGTAGTCATGTAAGATGAATTTAAGTCACACAACTGGGAATGCCTTTTTTATGCATCTTTCTCTTTCTTGCATATTATCTTTATAACTACAAGTCGTTAAAGATTTTATGATGCAGCAGTTGCACTGGATCTTTTTGGGTCAAAGGTATTGAATGTAGCAAAACTTGTGAGGCTGCTCATTTTGATATGACCTGCTTTTTTCCTATGGAAAGACAGTGCATGGGAATTCTGTGAGTGAGGAATTTGTCTGTTCCAAAAACAGCACACACAGCCTGAAACTTTATTGTGGTCTTCACACTGGCCTTGGAGCTTCCAGTGTTTTTAATGGAAGTTCCCAATGCACTCATGCAATGTGAAAACTCACCTCTTTCACACAAAAACGCCAAATAAGCTTGCCTTGGTTTTCCTGAGATTGTATGGAAAAATGGAAATACGTGCTTTGGTATGACAAGTCTAAACAGCGGTGCAGGTCACTTTAAAGGGAACATTCATACCTTATGCAGAAGATTCACAGTAAATTTTCAAGCTACTCTGTTCACATTGTGCTGGAGTGGCATAAGGGAAGCATGGTGTATGAGTAAATCAGTCCCAGAGCCTCAGAGAAGTCTGCCCTATAGTGATTTAAGGGCACATATTTTGTTTTCTTACCATCCCCAAACCTTTGCAAAACAGAAAAACTATGGCGAAGTAGCAGTTTTTGAAGTAGCAGTAGACAGATTTGTGCCATTTCTGTCTTGCACATGTATTTCCAAATGAAAAAAGGGGTTTATTGTTTCTCTATGTCTAGCCATGACTACTGCATGCAATTGCTGCATGTTTGAATGCCAGCTACTTATTTGTCAAGAAAAACAATAATTTTTTCAGTGAAACCAGGGACTCTTAAACTGGCACCTTGTCCAGAGAAATAAAGTGCAAGAAAAAGAGGAAGTGATATTCATTCTCATTCAGTGATAATGAGCTCCTCCCTTTCCATGCTTTTGTTCTGAGGCTAACCAGTTCTCCACTTAGTATTGTAAACATGCTTTGATGAGCTTGTGTAGGTCCTGAGAGGAAATTATTTCAGAGACAGTAATGGGGCAAAAAATAATTGGTGTTATCTTTAACTTTGTTTTTCTTCTGGGCACGTCTTCTCAGACTAGCAACATCTTCTTTTATCTTTATACGACATTATGTCCAGTTCGTTTATCCACTTGCCTGTTTTTGGCTGTCTCATCTGTCTGTCTACAGTGCTTGCTTTTAATTTTGCACAGCTCTTTCAATAAGATTTCTTCTGACTTTAAAAAAATGAATTCTTTGGCATGATGGTCTGATCGTGATCATAGATTAATATTACACTCACATAACTTCACAAGTGTTAGTAAACTTATTTTTGATTTTCATTTTTGTGAGATCAGAATCAATACTGATTCCCTTTGTGTAAAAAAAAATAAAAATAAAAATAAAAAAAAAAGTTGATATTTATTGTTTTGTTAAGCAGTTACATACCTTCTGGACTTGCCTGTTTCACTCCGTGTTTTATTTTATCTGAGTGTTGGCTTATTTTGCAAAACAAAAGAGGGACAGTGCTGTACAACATGAGGGATAAGGTGTTGTCTGGACAAGAATGTGCCAATGAAATTCAAAAGTGGAAAATCTGTGGAATGTGATTTAACTCTGCATTCAAGCATCTTTCTTTTTTTTTTTAATAACACAAAGCTGTCTGTTTACATTTCTGTAAATGTCATTATAATTTAAAAACCTGTAGCATGGTTCACTTGTTCCTCAATTTAATTATCAATTCTTCAGTAGTTTGTTTTGATTCAATTTTTGTATAAATATGGCTTGGGATATCAATTTTTACTGGAGAACTATTCGAACTTTTTCCTCATCAGCCGCAGTCTTTGAATGCTTTTCAAAAAACATTATTCTTGTCCCAAACAAGATCAGATTCTTTTAGAAAGATTGATGACAGTTGTTGTATTCTTGTTCTTTAGGCCAGGGGTGAGGGCTGCTAGTTTGTTAGTGTAGAGCATCTCCAAGGAAACGTATATTACATTTCCATAAGTGGAAAGAAATATCATTGCCTGACCTCTTTCCATACCAGTTAGAACACTGCTACAGGGAAGACATGAAAAATAAAAAAACCTCAGAGTTTTTATCCTGATGGCTAGTCTAATCGAGTGAGCTCACATACTAACTGTGGGCTCAATTTAGGCAAGCCAGAACTTACGGCTACAGTTTTGAGGACTAAATCCTTAATTCTTTGTGTTTTTCTTGAATCTCTGATATCAAAAAAACACTAAAAAATGTTCCTGATTGAATAGTCTCTTCTGCAGGTTCACAAGTAACAGTGAAAAATTAACCTTTAGCTGTACCTGAAGCAGTGTGATGGGACAAGACATGCTGGATGAGGGACTTCATTAAAGTCATTAGCAAAACTCCTATTCATATAAACATTTCTGTGCCTCCAACCCATGTCTGCTGAAATTTCCTGACTTAAAATTGTGTTTATGAATGTAGTTTACCTCGCTGATGTCAATCTGATGTGGTTTGGAGGTATTATTGAGCCTCTTGTGTAACCTAATTCCTAACAATTAATTGCATCATTATTCTGTATGTGATCAGTACCACCTTTCCTTATTTCTGCTTTATATAGAACACAATATGTATGCAACAGTATATATAAAAGCATATATGTTTGCCATCTTTAATGCTTGTATGCCTTGAGGTAGTTTTATAGTTCGTATTTCTCTGAGAGATGTGTAAAATTTTCTTTTAAACGTTCTTTATGCTTGTGTCAATTTGTCTCTTTGTGAAATACAATAATCTCTTATATATGCACAGTTCCCATAAAAGGAAAAATCTTCATGTTTCAGAAAATCACAATTGAGCTGTAACTATTTTTGCAATGAGGAGATGCAACCTGTGCACTGAATGAAAAATTGCAACTGATATTTTATAAATACAGATGTAGATTTTTTTTTTTTTCCCACATCGGGTGATCTTTAAAATAGCTTTTATTCCAATGGGTGCCTTCAAGTTACTGCTTCTTTATTCTTCTGGTTACTATCAGCATGAGATACAGTTTCTTTGCCTTCTGCAACCAAGCAAGTTAACACTCAAGAGTAGTTTTAATACTTGATTGTTTTTGAATTCAGGTTAAATACAAGGAGAATTTTTCCAGAGAGAAAGGTAAAAAGCCAAAGTATGATTTAAAGGAGGCTAAAATCTACAAGACCATGAAAGATGCTCACAACATGGCTAGTGAGGTATGTCTACTTATGCATTTCCCATAGGGAAGTTAAAAATTTCAGACTTCATTAACGGAGACCTTCTTTATGTTATTAATATGTTAGATATCACAGGTTTTATTAACAGTCTTTGCTGTATTGTTTGCCCTTTCCTACCTGCAGGTGAAATATAAGGCAGATTTAAAGAAACTTCATAAGCCTGTCACAGACATGTCTGAGTCGCTGATTATGAACCATGTCCTGAGTACAAGCCAACTCGCCAGTGCTGTAAGCTCATCAGCTAACCCTAGATCCATTTGATTTTTCCATTCTTACTGATTCCATTCTGCATTGATCTCTGCTAACTATTTCTGTAACAACTACTCCCTCTCTTATTGTTCATGGGACATCATCACCTGGTAGTGATCTCTTCCTCTACTTTCTAATGAGTATTTCCTAGTCAACTAGCAACTTTGTCACATTTATCCTCTGGGCAGTGAAAACTTGATTAGCTGTAGAACTGCTAATATTTTAAATCCTCTAATCATTTTTAATAGAATCTTTATTCTTTATTATATTTTAACTGATTGCATCTCACTAACAAAGAGTGTCTTTCTCATTTTTTTTCCTTTTTTCTTCTTGCTATGATTTAAAACTTTTTTCTTTTTTTTTATTTCATTTTTATGTTTAACATCCCACTGTTGTAGAAGTACAGAATTATACCTAACAAAATATTTGGTAATTTTATTGAGAAAAGACAAACGTCATTATTGTCTGACAAAACCTTTTCATGTTTCTACTGTGTTTTCTTTTTCCTTTTTTTTTTTTAATCCTGGTTTTGAAAAATCTTCACTGCATTTGAAATGATCAGAAAAGATAAGCGTTCACCCACATATTTAGAAATGATATCTGATTTTGGCAGTTAAACTTCTTGTTTTTTTTTTCTTTTTGTATTTCTAATTTCTCTTTGATGATCCATTGAAGTGTTGCATTGATTGGACCTAAGAAGTAGATTTGCTGAGGGTTTTTTTTTTTTATTGAGATGATTTTTGACACCTTCCCTTCAGTACCAGTACAAGAAGCAATATGAGAAGAGTAAGGGTCACTACCATGTGGTGCCAGATAATCTTGAACAGGTTCATCTAAGGGAGGCATCAGAACTACAGAGCCAAGTAAGTGGGTCATGTTTCTCATTAACCTCACTTGTTCAGTACCAAAGTTTCCATCACAGAAGTCATCCTAGCAAATTCTCCAATATATAATTCTATCTCTCTGCCTACCTGCTTTATATACACTGCCGAACTGAGAGAACAGAAGTCAAGGGGAAATATTTGCTCATACAAAATGACTGTATGATTTCCACATTCTGGAGTAGATCATCAAGTTATTTATTTCTATTGTATCTAGATCTTGTTGCACTGTATAATACGTTTATCAGAATGATTTCATCTGTAGAAAAAAGGGACAGATAATCACAGAAAGTGGAGACTGAAAGAAATAGGATTGTTGCTAACAGTGTATTTTCTATTGCTTTACTCATCCTAGTCTCAAGGGATACAAAGGAGAGTTCTGACACTTTTCTTCTGCTACCATGATTGCTCTAACAGTCCAAAACAGTGCCTACTGCTGCTGTTAAATGTGTCTATTGATATTTTTCCTCTCTGGAATACAGCAAATTTATTCCAGAGAAACCCATCCTCTGATTTGGTCTCTACTCCTCTTTATTCCAGATATTTATTGGCCCTACTGCAAGATAAAAATTATTTTTAGATTACAAAGGGCCATACTTATTGTTTTGCTGTATGACACAGAAGAGCAAAAAGGTTACATAGCAAGAGAGTATAAGAAAAAGGTCGTCAGTTTGTATTTAGTGTAAGTCACCACGTGTTGCTCCAGTTCGAGATTTGCATCTTCCTCAGCTGAAGACTAGACTTATCATTGCCTCATGTAGTAATCTGAAAATCGATTCCCTAAAGGTAGGATGCTATAGTTTGAATTAAGAATATCTTAATCCTGGTGAATATTTTATGTTCTGGGCACCGATGTGCAGAATTAGGTAGCAAGTCACTGAACTGCATCTTTTCAAACCCTGCAGCTAACAATCCAGCGATCCACTGGTGTGTGCCTGGCTGAGCTCAGGCAGGCTCAGGAGCAGCCTGAGGGCCTTCGAGTTAGATTGTTACAGCTACTTTTCTTCCTTCTTGTGATCACTTATATCTTGAAATCTGAACTGACACTGCTCATCCTTTGCAACAGGATTAAATTGGTAGAATTCGAAGTCACACATGTTTTACTAAGCCTGACCTTTGATTGAACATTTGACAATAATTAATGTGGATCTCAGGAGGAAAATCAGTGTTAGAGTTCGTTTTTTACCTGAGGTCTGTTGACTTCAAGTAGGCTCAGACTAATTACGAGTTGGTTCTTTGATTATTCAGGAGAGTAACTTTTTTCCTTTTCTTCTCAGGTGAAGTACAGAGAAAAGTATGAGAAGGAAAAAGGAAAACCTATGTTGGACTTTGAAACGCCAACATACCTTACTGCAAAAGAATCTCAGCTCATGCAGAGTGAGGTAAGATTAAAATAACTACTGTTAGACTGAAGAAACTCTTTATAAAGGTATTTTTCACAGTTAAACTTTCACAGTGATTTAGACAGGCAGTTATACTCTTGTGTATGCTGATAAACTTTGAAAAACTATCATTACCTTATATCATATGTTTCCTTACATCAGTTACAACATACTACTACAATTCATGAAATTTCCCTGTGCAACCCTAAAGTATACATTTTCTGTAATTTTTCACGTACAAGCGGTCAGTAAATGAAGCTAAAGCAAAGTTTGGAGTCTGCCGAAGAAATGTGATATGAAACACATTTCACTTAAACTCTTGCAACAGAATACACTATGTATGTCAGTTGCCAAAGTCCACAGAAAGATTTTTCTAGATGTCAGTGTAGGTACCTTGGTTACTGTTTTCACCTGAGAACTCTGGTTTTGAGAAAGTCATTTATTGCCTGTTTGTCTCTGCTGTCACAGTGTTCCTCACTGAGCTATCATTCTGTTTTCTCAAGCAATTATTTTCTGTTTATTTGAAGTTTTATCTTGCTCTGTCACAGATGAAGGCTTATACATGTTGACTTAAACACTTGTATAAGGGCCTTAGTCATTATGTTTGAGTGACTCCATTGAATGTTATCTCTACATATACAAATAAGTAGAAACAATAGAAATGCAGGGTCAGGTCATATTTCCACTGGAACTAATGAGCTGTTTCATGGACTTTAACAGAAAAAAGATTTATTCTTTTAGCTGCCTGCAGCACTGACTGTAGCAGATTGTCACTCTGACATTAATACCGAACTACTGCTCCTTGTCCATCCTCCCAGTAGTTTTTCACATAATCAAAAGTAAAAATGTAATATATATTTGCTATTTTGCTTTTTTTCTTCTTACTCTCATTAGAAAGAATATAAGAAGGACTTTGAAGAGTCCATTAAGGGCAGAAACCTTACTGGCTTGGAGATTACACCATCCTTATTACATGTCAAATATGCAACTAAAATAGCAAGCGAGGTAGCAGTTACTCTGTGTTTAATTCCTCTGCCAATTTAAACAATTCCACTAATTATCCTCAGCGGCATTTCTTCTTCACCGCTTTCCTTTCCCTAACCATTCACATTACGCATGTTGATACATATTTTTGTGTTATGTACATAACACAAAATTTGCTGTGTACATTCATTTCATTCTTCATTAACTGTATTCATTTCATTCTTCATTAACTGTATTCATTTCATTCTTCATTAACTGTATTCATATTTACTGTATCCCTTTCTGATATTCATCAGTGTAACTTCCATTGTGGGGTGCATGTGTGTGCCTTCTCAATTTTTGTGAAACAATTTTTACTATCCTATATTGTGTTTCTGTTGTGTGGATATAACCCTCTACAATGTTCTTCTTTTTTTTTTTCTTTAAATCCTTTTGGATTTTTTTTTCATTTTTTGCAACAAAATTGTGATGTATAGAATTCTATATCTAGTCTGGCTTTGCAGTTTTGTTTTCTTTCTTCTGCAGAAAGAGTACAGGAGGGACCTGGAGGAAGGTGTCAAAGGCAAAGGTCTAACAGCCTTAGAAGAGACTCCAGACATGTTAAGAGCAAAGAATGCAACTCAAATCCTAAATGAGGTAAATCAAAAGCTGCCTGGAAAATCCCTGAATGGATGTAACAGCCTCCACTTGCTAAGCGTGCATGACAGTGTAACACTAATATGAACTAGTCAGTCACTAGAAAATCTTGCGTAGAAAGAAAAAAGACTGCTTTTTAGTGGCTACACATAAAAATGGGAGCCTGAACTTGTGGTGAACTGTTCCTGGCTGTGCAATAACATTTTATGTTGCTATCAGGGATATGGATGGGAATCAGGTGCTGTGATCAATAGCCAGGTCAGTCAAGGGGTAAACTAAATCAAGATGGTGATGCAGCAAGGCTAAAGGTAAGAACTGAAGGTGTCAATTCTGCAAGCTGGGTGTCTAAGGTCACGAGCAATTACCAAGCATTAGGAACCAGGGCTGAGGAGAGGGAAAATGAGTGGGAAAATGAGAGGTCAGAAACGGACTAGAATGAGGGAACCAGACTAGCATACTTATGCAACTGGGAGATACCCTGTGCAGCAATGAGCTCTTTTAAAGTGCTTTATACTTAAATAGGTGCGTCAGAAACACTGGCCGTGCTCATGGGCAGTTCCCCTTCCCCAAGACTGACAAATGCTAAGCTGCTATAGCAGCCGATTGTCAGCTGCTGCAGGACTGATGTCCAAAGCATGGTCTGCCCTGCCCTGAGAGCTGGCCAGCAGACAGTCAGGATGCAAGCCCTAGCAGTGGCTTTATTTATGTAGTGGACTAGTATAATAAATGTTTCGTAGTGGCTGTTTTCATAGGTTAAGCTTAGCTCATTATTTTAAGGGCTGAAAACTGAAAAAGCAACTTTCAAAATGTTACTAATGGTATAACTTGTTAGAAAATACTCTTTAAGATAAGTGTGCTGATTGACAACAGTATTTTGTACTTACTAATGCAGCGTGTTTTTGAGTGATTCAAAGAGCCTATATTTTATTACCACAGAATATTACGAACAGATATAGTCAGCTCAATTCAGCAGAGCTGGCATAGAGAGATGTAAATTATACCAATTTATACAAAATAAATCTTTTAGACCTTAGTGGAAATCTTTTCCACCTTTGGGGAGAGCAGCTGCTGTTGCAATGAGTTTTTACAGAGGGTATTCATTCTAAAAGGCTCAGAATATCTAAGAGAATCCTAACTCCTTGCATTTTTAGACATCGCAGGCGTGACACTTCTGTGACCACTTTTCACTACCGCATGCATTTCATATACTGCTCCCTCCCTATTGCTACTCTTCTGTACAAGTCATTTTTTTTTGCTGCCTCAGCCTGATGACCTGAAGGACCTAAACGCTGAGGTTACTGATGTGAGAAGGAAGAGCTTGATATAGCTGATCTGTAGTGTGCCTCCATTTACTGCTGCGGTAGTGCAATTTGCTCTCGAGATTTAAGGGATATACTTTTTAGTATATAGCATATACACTTTAGTATATAGTAGATGCAGTTTCATACTAATATATACACTTTAATGATATTATATATATTTTTAATTGTGAGTTTATATTAGTATGACACTATCTGAAATTACCAAAGGGATTGCGTTCTCATTGATGTTTTAAAAGTATCTACTTACTATCCTCATTTGCAGAAAGAGTACAAAAAAGCACTGGAATTGGAAATCAAAGGAAGAGGTCTGACAGAACTGGCTTTGGAGACACCTGATTTTGTGAGAGCAAAGAATGCCACTGACATTGCCAGCCAGGTCTGTGCAAATAACTATATATCATATCTGCTGTCTTTTTTTAAAGGAAAATTCATTAACATTTTTATTCTGTGTAAACCAAATGAAAACTGTTGTCATACATGTGATTAAGGCAGCTAAGTGTGAGCTTTCCCCAACAGATCAAATACAAACAGTTGGCAGAAATGGAGAAAGCCAACTACACCAGTGTTGTTGATACTCCAGAGATTATTCATGCCCAGCAGGTCAAGAACCTTTCAAGCCAGGTAACCTGAGTGAAGAGATTTAATCATTGTTCATGTGGGAACACATGCGCAGATACTAGTTTGGCACATTTTTTCTTAAATAAATCTAAATACCTGTCACAATGTTCAGGAGATACACTGTCAAACCAAATTTCCTAGAGCTGTGATGGGTCATCTCCTACATTGAAATTCCATTTCAGTATGTTGTCAGTTCAATCTAATATGCATAAAATGGAACAATAATTTCCATTGTTTTTGCAGTACCAAAGCTAATTTTGCTCCAAGTAGATGTAGCTGAATTTTCTTACCCCTTGATAACTTTAAGCGTTTAAAATAAACCTTACGTAGAGATGTAATCTGAGTCTATATCAGACACAGAAGTCTCACATTTCTATAAAGATGGGCGTTATGCAGCAGTAAGCAATGTCAGGTTGCTTTATTACCACTTTTATATTAATGGAATGAATTTTGTGTTTTATATCAGAAAAAGTATAAGGAAGATGCAGAAAGGACCATGCCATACTATGTGCCTGTTGCAGACACACCAGAAATGCAGAGAGTCCGTGAGAATCAAAAGAACTTTAGCACAGTATGTATATGCATAATAAACACTATTACTGTCAAATAACAAAAATGTTCAGCTTTTTGTCATGTAATAAGGTCCCAATATCACACTCAAATCTCAAATAGGCTTTATACTCTCAGGGATTCTCAGTCAATGGGTCTTCTAAGTATGCAGCAGCCTACTTATGTGTTACACAGGCAGCCAAAACGATGTTGTGATTTTCTTGAAAAAAAACTTCTTTTCTGCTGCATTGCTTTGACAATTCCTTTGCTAATAATAGAACATGATACTTACAGAAGTTGTCTGGTGATGTCAGTGGGATTACCTTCAAGATTATATGTTCAGAAACATGAACAATTACTCCACAATCTATCTTGAAATGTTTAACTTTCAGTGTTGAGACTTAATTCTTTTAGGCAACATCTGGCACGTTTCAAGATTTTTTTTTTTCAATGAATGTAGTAAAGGATCTCCTATTGCTAATTTAAATGAGAATGCTTGTAACTGTGCTGTGACTTTATATCACTAATAATGATGTTTAAAATAACCTCTTTAAAATGTGTAAATTCTTTATTTTTCCTATCTTAAAAAAAAAAAAAAAGAAAAAAGCCTGAGAGTAAGTTTTTATGGCCTAGAATCAACATTTGGTATTTTACTTTAACTTTTTAAACAGCTTCAGTATCAGTGGGACCTACAGAACAGTAAAGGAAAAGTTACAGTGGTAGAAGACACACCAGAAATACTGCGCGTGAAAGAAAACCAAAAGAATTTCAGCTCGGTATTGTTGTTTTCTGTTTTCAATGCTTATTTCAAAAAATACATGTTAACTTTTTCGGTAAAATAATTGTTTTAGGCTCTTTAGGCACTCTTGCAAGTGCTTACATTCTTCACCTACTTAAACAAATATAAGCGCTTTTTCAAGCAAAGCTAATTTTATTCTAAGTAGATTTAGCTGATTTTTGCTACCCCTTTTTATCTATTACTTCTTGTGGAGAGCCGACATTGACCTGCTTCACATGTACATACATAGCTGTGAGGGAGATGATAAACAATCACAGTCCTGTGTTTAAAGTGGCATTACCAGTATCCACCTTTCTTCTGTCACGTGGCTATGTAGGTAGTGCAGTCTTGCTGTGTTGCAAATGTCTTCTTTCAGTGAGAAATGAACTGTCTGTCCTGATTTGTTTCACATTTCGTGTTTGACTGTGAAGTGTTGAATGTCTGCTGTACCATTTTGCAACTAGCATCATTAGCATAGTAAGTAGAAAAAAATTGTGTAAATTACCAAATGAATTAGAAAAACAGCAAATTAAAAATACAGCACATGCTAGCTTTCAGTCCTAAAATTAGTCTACAAATGCATTGTTATTCTACTTATAATGCATTGTTACAAATATAAATGATCATCCCTTTTTTGCACAAACGACACTTAATGTAGCATGACACTCTTCTGGTAGGCAAAATAAGCTTTACTGGCCTTATTTGGCAGTGGGTGGAGGTGGTCTTCCATTGCCGGCTTTCAGCCTGCACTGTTGTCACTGTCATGAGCCTGTATTCACTCTCTAGAAGAGATAATGCTGTTTTGTATGCTTAACCTTGTTGTCTTGATTCTAAATATTAAGATTTTATATAAAGAAGATATTGGAACTGGAACTACTATTGAAAAGACACCAGAGATGCAGAGAGTTAAGCGAACCCAGGATGCAATTAGCTCGGTACAAAACAATTGATTTTTAATACTCTACCAGCTCTAATTCAACTTAAAATAATACAATCTTTCCCCTCTTTTTTTCTTAAATGTTGCTAACTGTGGTTTGGCAATAATCTGTCCAGCTAAGGGTTACTTTCTAAGAGTTTTTCATATTCTTAATAGTTTTTCTAATGATTAACAATCAATTTGTTGCTTAATCCATTCTAAAACGTTAAAGTTCTTGTCATAATTTTAATCTCAAACGTAGTTTATTTAGCACATTTCTTGTAAATCTTTTATGTTATATAAAAATTTTAATACTGTAAAATTGGAATAAGGAGATATGTATGTATTATTTTTCCTTTGAAAATTGTAAATGTTTGTTATGCTTTTTCTGAATGCTGACATCGTTTTAGTATAAAAGATACTAACATTTCAGTTACCTGTTTCATGCACAGTGTGTTTAAATATGTTCTTGGAAAATGCAATTTTTTATTTCATGATAAAGTAGAAATGAAAATAGTGCTGATATTGAACACTTTAATTGTTATAATTTGGATACACGCCTATGTTGGATATGATAGATTTTTGCAAATACGAAATTAAATACCTTTCATTGGTAGAATGCAAGACCAAATGGTATCAGACCTGTTAAAGGGTATTTATGTGTATTTTAAAAAATCTTTTAGTACAATGCCATTAGTAATGAAATCTCATCAACAGTTCCAGTTATCTACTACCAGATTGCTTATAAAGATGATGAGAATACTTTAATATCAACTCTCTGCTCATGTTGAAGTCAATGAGATCTTTTAATTTTCAACCTCCTTTAAATCAGGACAATGCTCTTTATGTATCTACATACGAATCTAGGTGCCTTTTTTATGCCATTAGGCTAAGATTTTAGAAATGACTTTTAATTTTGAATATCACAGTTTGCTTTGAACCCAATGATGTGAGACATCTCAAAAGGGCTCAACTGTTAAGAGATCAGAAGTTGTGTTCTTACTGAAATGAAGGCCCTGGGAGATGTTAGATAGCCAAATTTGGAGCTTCAGTTGAAAATTTCTGGCTCAGCCAAGACTCCCTGCTTTTTTACTGTGAGCTCAGTTATTGTTAAATTGCTTTGTAGAAATGAGGCAATGTTCCTTCTTTTTTTTTTAAATCATGAAAGCAAAGAAACTCTTCATCTCTGCTCTAGAGGAACATTGCTGGCTGAACATCCAGCCGGTATCTAGGGAGTCCAGGGCTAGAAGGAGATAATTTCCAAAGGCAGGAGGTTGAAATTCAGTAGGAAAAATCAAATATCTATCAAGTACACACTAAGATGGCCGGTGCAAATAACTCTCATAGGTTCCTTGTTGGTTTGCTTCCATCAGAGTAAATTTAGTACCTGAGATTTCAGTGAGTTTGTAACACATAAATGACCTATAGTTTCTTTATTCATGTGACTTGTTACCCATACGTTTGTCAACTGTGCTTTAATGTAAGTAATTTTATTTTTCCTGATGTCTCTGCATTTGTAGATTAAGTACAAGGAGAGTATTGGAAGAGGAACTCCAATTCCTGATCTCCCAGAAGTGAAGCGTGTCAAGGAGACCCAGAAGCACATCAGCTCGGTAGTGGCCTGTGTTTTCTACTTACCCGTGTAAACTGCTCAACTGTATCATCTTGCTTTACCATCTTGCTTCCACTCCTAAAAAGTCCTATTTTTTTTTAATGGTGCTGATGTTTTTATCCTGGACTTGGAGAGATAATATTCTTGCAGAGCTCAAGCTTTAGCCTCTGCTGGTGTTTGTGTGTATTACTCACTTAAAAGAGAACAGAGCTCTTATATTCCTGTATACAGCAGGAGGTAGTTCAAATACCTGAATTTGCAGTAATTGTTACATTCAGGCGCTTCCCAGTGTTATTTCTGTAACCTATTCTAAACACAGAGCTAGGAACAAAAAACCTCTAGATGATGTCTTATAATGATCCTGACAAAATTGGAGCAGCTAGAGAGAACTTTTGTGAAAAACATAATTGGAGCCTTTTTTGTAGTCATAAAACCTAGTGACAATTTTAAGTGGAAGCAGTATCTGGCTCTTTCCATAACTAGTTAAGTTTTAATAACCACAGCTTGTTCTCCTGATTTTGAGTCCTCATTTCCTGCTGCTTTACTCTGATCTCTGCACACAGAATTGAGGCAGGATATGGTCTTTTTATTATTGGTGTCTCAGTTGTTTGCTATACAATGCTGAGGAGCTGACACACATATAATGAGTATTTTACAATTTTCTGTTCCTAATTTGATGACTACCATTTCCCTTTTGAGCTGTTTCTAGTACTAATGTTTCTTACACTTCATTTTTACATAGCTGAGTTGTATTTTCAAATGATCCTGCATTTGTTAACCTTCATGTTACGTCATTTGTTTTCTCTTATTTTGAATGCTTTATTTTATATTCTTTTTCTTTGTTTCAATGACATTAAGCAGTGGCCTGCAGCTTGTAGGTATTTTACTAGTTTGCAAGAAGAATGAGCAGTGTATTCATAATGTATTTCTACATGATTGATTATATTTTAAACCAACGCAGGCATCTTCTGTGCAACTTTAATAAAAAATGCACGTTTTCTATCAAATAATTACAAGTCAAATTAAGTCTAATAGTATGAGAGCTAAAACTCAGTGAGTTTTCTTATTGGCGACCTAAAACAAGATTAAATTGTGCTGTTCCAAACAAATAGACATATAGAGCAAAATGAAATGGAGCCCACAGCTAGGTATCTATATATTTAGACATGTCTGTACAAGGTTTGGTTGTTAACACTGTAACAGAAGTCCTGGAAATGTTAACTACCAGAAAAGTAATACAATTAAATTTTCTAAACTAAAGTGAAGAGCAGAGGATACCAACCTTTCACTCCAAATAGCAGAGTGTTTAAGCTTGTGTCCTGTTATAATGAAATAATCCACTGACTTAAGCGTCTTCAAATGCCTAGGCGCACACTTCAAATACTTTGAGCTGGTGACTGCACTTAAAAAAAAAAAAAGTGCTGAGTAAAATAAATTGTGCCCATATTACATAAAATCCCAGATTATATTTACCTGTCAACCAAATGTATTGTAATTGAGTTTTTGTGGAAGGAATATTATCTTCTCACCTTTCTGGGTGCTTGTATTCTGCAGGTATTGTACAAAGAGGACCTAGGGACAGGTATCCCAACACCTGTCACTCCAGAAATAGAGAGAGTCAAACGCAATCAAGAACACATTAGCTCGGTATTTAAAAAAAAAGATTATAATAACTTATTCTTGCATGATAACATCCTAACATATATTCTGGTTTTCCTCAGTGCTTTAGAATCTCACCCTGCACCTTTTTTCTCCTTGGCAGTATTTTTAACTTGTTTATTCTGACTTCTTACGCTTTAACTTTTTTGGATGATTTACAACTTTACATGCATTTGTTTTGAGAACCAAAACTAGAGGCAAGCTGTGAAATTAACATGGTGCTTCTTTCCATGTTTGTTTTATCTTAACCCTTTATCTCCTGTGCATTTTTATTCATACGTTTACAGAATAATCAACCACAAGCTATGTCCTTAATATTCAGCTCTAGAACAAGTGTGAAATTAATTAAAAAAAAAAAAAAAGTGATCCTAACACTAAAAATAACTTACAAAATAGTTAGATTTAATGATTTTTGCTTCTGTTGAGCAATTTTTTCTGGAAACTTTCTTGTACCTCACAGGTGTTATACAAAGAGGGCTTAGGGACTGGCACCCCAACACCGGTCACTCCAGAGATGGAGAGAGTCAAACGCAATCAAGAGAACATTAGCTCGGTATTGCTAAATAAAACAAAAACTACCACCTCAAACTCAAATCAGATCCCCTTAACTCCTCCATGTTAAATTTTTCTTTTAATTCTTTGTTGAACTTTAAACAGCCCTTTTTAAATCAAATCACTAAAAACTTGTTAGTATCCTTATATTTTAATTTTTCACCTCAGTCTAACTTAATTGTCATTAAATTGTTCCAGCTATGAATTTTTAACCTGATGTACTTAAAGCAGTTAAGCAGTTCCTATTTTTCCCCACTGAAACAGTAATACTCTGAGTGAACGTCACTCCCTTCCTCAGTAACACAGTTGTTTCTTCTAACAGTTGTCAGACTCACCACACTGGTACAGTGCAAACATAAACATGAACTCTTAACACTTCTTGAAGCAAAGCAATTTAATGCAACTAGTGTGTTGTCTCTTTTCTTGATTTTGTTGTGTTGGATGCTTTCTTCTATCCTACAGGTCTTTGTAAAGAAAACCTAGGCAGAGTTCCCAGATCTCTGTAGTATGAAAGATGAAGAAAAACGCATAATTGAGGAAAATGCTGTAGTAATGTGTTTCTATCCAGACTTGTTGCTGCTCCTGACACATTCCGTTTGAATCACCATGCACAAGTCCAAGTGCTTTGTGCCATAGTTCAGTTGCATATTTCTGTTTTAACTGGAGCAGCTTAGGACTAATTTTGATTCCTGTGACCCAATTCACACATAACTGATGTGAAATCCAGCCTTGATTTAAGGTTTTCTACCGTTCAGAAAAGACACTGTTGTTACACTGTTTGCTATATTTAATTGTCCCTGAAAGCATCACAGCTCTGTTTTATACTGACAACGCCACTCAGAACTCTTAGAGGCAAAGTTGCTAATACAAGATCATTTGTTGAACTGATAAAACTCCTTGGGGATAAGGACAAATGCAAAAGAGTTTTCAGGTAACTTGGCTCAAGATATACTTTCACAAAAAACACCTACAATTCCTGCTCATGTTACTTATGTGCACCCAGGTGAGATGACAACAAAACTCATGGTAACATTAGCTGAGTCTTTTATTTTTATTTTGGCAAGCCTTGGAACAGGGCTGACAAAATTATATTCTTCATACTTAAAAGTTTCACAGTATTAAATTACTTTCCCTTTCTCTCTCTCCTGTCCTCCTTTTTTTTTTTTTTTTATCCCCCCCAAACTTCCTTGTTGCCACCCAGGTGTTGTACAAAGAGGGGCTGGGGATTGGAACCCCAGTACCTGTAACTCCTGAGATGGAGAGAGTCAAACGCAATCAAGAAAACTTTAGCTCGGTACTTTTGTGTAATTTAAGAAAAAAGTTCCCTGTAACTTCATTTCATATGAACTTTTTAACATTTGTAGATGTTCTATGCTTTGTAATTAACATATAAACGTACAAGCATTCCCTTCCACTTAAAATTTTCAGTGATTTTTAGTTATATTTTATGTACTTATTTTTTAAAGAATTTTTATAATCATAACACTTAACACTTCATATCCTTTCATTTTTCTAAAGTTACTCTTGTTTTTGTGAAGCTTAAACTATTTAAAAATAACACCATTTTTTAAAATTTGCTTTATTTCACTTCTCTAATGCTTTATTATTCTGAAGCATATCTAAGAACTTGGATATGGTATTTCTAGATCTCAGAAGACTCTCTGAATTTATCACAGCTGTTAACTGTTTTGTACTTCTTAGTTTTTTGTGCTTTCTAGTGGATTTAGTAGGCGTAATAGTTATATATGGGTTGCCTCCATAAAATGCAATATTTTTGTTCTTAATTTTTTTTACACTCCCATGTTACTACGTAGGTGTTATACAAAGAGGATCTGGGGACAGGGACCCCAATACCTGTCACTCCTGAGATTGAAAGAGTCAAACGCAATCAAGAGAACTTTAGCTCGGTATTTTTTTATTTGAAAAGTGGAAATTTCCTTTCTGATGTATTTTAAATAATTTTAACACCAAAAAATTACTCTTGTGTTTCCCTGTAATCAACTCACACACACAAAAAAGATTATCCTGTTCCCTTTGTTTTGACATTTTTCTTCCATAATTGTTACTTACATCATTCTTGCTCCACTGTTTTGATTACATCACCCTAAAAATAATAACTTCTAGATTCAGCCTTTCTTTTGACTCTGAATATCTTTTTAATTTTTTGTTCTTAAATAATATTTAGTTTTTTCTTTTGTTGATCACATCAGTCCTTAGTTTTGTTTTGTGTTTGTTTGGTTTTTTTTTCCTGATTTAATGCGTATGAAAACTAAACTATAAATGACCTGACACCAATCTGTGGAAATGACGTCAGTATAACAGCACTCTAATATATGCCGATGTAACCTTATGGAACAGATGAATGAAACGCAGCCTGTTTCTTTATTCCTTTTGTTTTGTATTTGATAGCTCCTTCCTTTAACAGTTCTTTAACTATACGCTGGTGCACAAAGATGGTGGCCCAGATCCCTAGCTGGGGTGAACTGTTCTAGATTCAGTGGAAGCACAGGTTTGCGGGGTAAAAAATGAGCAACAGTAGTGTTTTCCTCAGTGAGAGGAAACTTTCATATAAGGTATAAGAGAGGTAATAATTATAATTTCTCATGTGCTATTTTCATACATGTGCCTTTAGTATGGGCTCATTTGTATGTCTTTCCTGTAATGAGCAAACAGGATTCTTTAATCATAAACTCTGAACAATAAGTAACGTTTCTCTCGGGGAATGGATGACTCTCTTGATGTGTGTATATACAGAAAATCTTTTAGGAAGAAGCATTAGGACCTGTTCCTCCAGGGACTGAAGAACAGTCAAGAAAAAGGTTGCCCCACTTTTCACTATTGGTGAAAAGACAGTAATATGTTTCATTATATTTTATGTAACACTTTAATCTTAGAAGTAAGCAATTTCTAATGTATATCTTGAGCACTAAACTAAATAGGGAAAGTATTCTAGCCTTCTATTAGAAGTCATTGCAGTGTGATAGTGTTTAACACCATCTTCATAGTTTTATTTTATTTTTTTCCCTGTGTTTGGTTCATGGCAGCTCTGAAAAACATCTGTCTTACGTTCAGTATGTTTTCTCAGCGAACTGAGTGTTACTATTGTTTCCTTGTTTCTTTTTTTAATATAGCCGTATTACCCCACAGGTGTTGTACAAAGAGGATCTGGGGACAGGGACCCCAATACCTGTCACTCCTGAGATTGAAAGAGTCAAACGCAATCAAGAGAACTTTAGCTCGGTATTTTTTTTATTTGAAAAGTGGAAATTTCCTTTCTGATGTATTTTAAATAATTTTAACACCAAAAAATTACTCTTGTGTTTCCCTGTAATCAACTCACACACACAAAAAAGATTATCCTGTTCCCTTTGTTTTGACATTTTCTTCCATAATTGTTACTTACATCATTCTTGCTCCACTGTTTTGATTACATCACCCTAAAAATAATAACTTCTAGATTCAGCCTTTCTTTTGACTCTGAATATCTTTTTAATTTTTTTGTTCTTAAATAATATTTAGTTTTTTCTTTTGTTGATCACATCAGTCCTTAGTTTTGTTTTGTGTTTGTTTGGTTATTTTTCTTCCTGATTTAATGCGTATGAAAACTAAACTGTGAATGGCCTGGTACCAATCTGTGGAGACTGCTTTGGTATAACAGCACTCTAATATATGCCGGTGTCACTTGCCGTGAAGTTTATGGAATGGTGAAACAGGGCCTGTTTCTTTATTCCTTTTGTTTTGTATTTGATACCTCTTTCCTTTAGGAAGTTCTTAACTATGCATTGGTGCACAAAGATAGTGTTTTACATATGTCTTGTAGAAGCACTTAATGAAGTAGAGAAGGTATTCTAGATTTCTGCCAGACGTTATTGCAACGTACCAGTGTTCAGCTTTATTCGACTCTTTGTTTGGTTGGTTCAGAGCACCAAGGGCGTTCTGTGCTTTCTCAGCAAGCTGTGTCGCTTCTGTTTGCTTCTTCCTTTTTCTAATATAGCCATATTGCCCCACAGGTGTTGTACAAAGAGGATCTGGGGACAGGAACCCCAATACCTATGACTCCTGAGGTTGAGAGAGTCAAACGCAATCAAGAACACATTAGCTCGGTATTTTGTGGAGGAAAACAAAATCCCCTTTAACTCCACATCAATTGAACTTTTTAACCTTTATTAAAAGTGACCTATTCCACTCCTTCCTTGTAATCAACTTATTAAAAAATCCTTTTTCCTTCACTGTACTATATTTTCCAAGGTTACTTACCTACCACTTCTTCATACACATAATTATTTATGTAATCCTAATTATCTTTAACCATTTTGCTCCCTGTTCCAACTCCCTTTTTCTGTGATTTTTTTTAAATCCTGCCATTTTCTGCTAGAACGCTCTTATAGAAGAGGGTGGGTCTGACTTTCCAGCAGGCTTCCATGGTGGTCTCCCCTCCAGCATGAAAACATACCCATTTACCTCGTATTTGCACCTTCTAAACAAAACCGCAGACCTGTTCGCCTTCAGAACCGCATCGGTATGATCCCAGTCTGCATTGCTTTCAGGGGTAGCTTGTAGTGCGCAGTAGAGCAGGCTGAGATGCAGGAGACGCAATATTTTAAGACCCAGGAGACTTCATGTTGGATGTAATTATTACTGAATTCTGATTTTTTTTTTTTGATGCTTCCTTATTACTGTGCAGGTGTTGTACAAAGAGAGCGTGGGGACTGGGACCCCTACTCCAATCACTCCAGAGATGGAGAGGGTCAAACGCAATCAAGAAATCTGTAGCTCGGTACTTTGCCAAGGAAAAAAGTTCCCTTTAACTCTTTAAATGAATATTTAACAGTTTTAATAAATGAACGTTTTAACACTTGTTCCAAAATAACGCCCACCCTAGGTCTAAAGCAGCTTAAATAAGTGTTTTCTTCTTACCCATGTCTTACAGCGTTTCACAGTGATTACTTTAACTTTTTGCAGTTTTTATTGTTCTTCTTAGAAATATATTTTAATGCCCTGTTCTAATTCTAAGAACTTTTAACAAACTCCCTTCATTTTCTTTGCAGTGCTGGCATTTTTTTTTTAATTATTACAGTTTATGTATGTATAACATCCTCAAATCCTACATACTTTTTTTTTTTTTTGTGGTCTTGTGTATGTGGTACGTACTTACACTATTAAAAGAGTGAACCTGTAGTTAAAAAAGAAAGCTAAACCTTAGATCACTAGTAAAATGTTGCTAAGTACCTTCTTTTAAAAATATGTATAATACCCAGGCCCTGTGAAATTAAATACAAGAAAAAAATGCCTGAGGCTTCAAATTTGTCTACAGATGGCTTTTTATTTATTGCTGCTTTCTTTGGCTCCTTTCTTGTCTCACAGGTGTTGTACAAAGAAAACATCGGGAAAGCAACCCCAACACCTGTCACTCCTGAGATGGAAAGAGTCAAACGCAATCAAGAAATCATTAGCTCGGTATATTTAACAGAAAATCAAGTCTTAAAATCTGAAGTGTTTAACATAACTGTAGCCCTTTTAATAATCTATGCTTTCTAACTTGTATAAAATGAAATCACCACTTAGCATAACCCCTCTACCTTTTTGTGCGTACAAATACATTGTAATATCTTGTGTTCTAACACTATTTTATTAGAAGTTTGATCTTTTTTTTTGTAGACACCTTTTCTTTGCAATTTTTGTTAACCCTTTCTCACTACTATTTTGCTTTCATGTAGTATTGGGTTCATTCTGCATCGGTCCATTTCTGCATCTTAGTGTAACAGTGGCAACGCTCCCATTGCTGCTTTTGGGAACTGCAGTGGGCCCCAAATCTAACCCCTTCTAAATGTCAGAATTGAAAACCTTTCTTGTGTGTGTTTCCAGGTGTTTTTTTTTTTTGTGGTGATGCCTTTTTAATGATATTTGGATACTCCCTTGTATCCTTTAGGTTTTGTACAAAGAAAATGTGGGGAAAGTGACCCCAACTCCAATCACTCCAGAGATGGAGAGAGTCAAACGCAATCAAGAAATCATTAGCGCCTGGGTCTGTAAAAAAAATTGCTTTCCCCCCCCCCCCGCCTTTAATCCTATGTTTTAATAGAGTAACATTCTAACAAACTACTGAAAATTGATTTTAAAAATAGATGCATTTGTTTTTGCAAATTAATCTCTCCTCTTCTAAAATAAATGTTGTTTTGGTGTTAACGCTCTGCTCGGGAGCGTTAAGCCCATTCTGCAGCTCAGTTCTTGCGCCTGCAGGGCTCTATCCAGCTGGGAACAGCCAAGCTTCCCTTGCTTTGCAGGTGAAGAAATTGAGGTTTATACCTATATGTGCTTAGTATTTAAGTTTTCATTGGCTTTTCAGGGAACTGGCTATTTGACTATAACTAAAAAAAACCTCCCTCAAACAACAAAACAAACCATCCAGCACTGAGGCCCACAGCATTGCTGTGGCAGGAGGCTGAGGTTGCCTTAACCAGAGACTGCTTCTGGTTTGGCTGCTATGACAGCGGTATTTTTGGGTGGCCGCGTGGCCCAGGGACAGATGTGTGTTGGTGTAATGGTGCAGGGAGATGTACCGACCTCCACCCCTCAGCATGTTTCTTTACTGGGGGGGCTCCTCTTCCACCCCCTCTCCCTCTCCTCCTCTCCCTCTGCTCTTCCTCTCCTCGCAGCGTGTGAGTGTGGGGTTGGTCGTAACTGTTGCTGCTGCTTCCAAGATGCAAACACTGATGAGCAGTTTCCTGCCCTCCTTGTATCCTATTTTACATTATACCTGGGGCCAGAGAAGAGAAGGGGAGAGTTTTTCAGCAAGGCAAAACAAGCATTTCTTAAGTAGCTCTCCAGGGCCACGGGTGGCTTCCCAGGGCCTGTGGAGCCAGAGTATCTGGAGCTGGATGGAGCCCTTCTTGGTTAACTGGAAAAAATAAAGAAATTCCTTTTAACAAGCTTTTCTTTTACAGTTTATTTTTCTTACCCTTCCTTATACCATTAGCTGTTTGCCTTTTGTGCAGTGCTGCATACCATAATCCGTCATGACTTTTTTGAAATTTGATGACTAAGAAATAATTTGTGTTCAAGTCCTTTTGATATATATTTTTTTAAGAAACTGGATACATCTTTTGTATCCCACAGGTGTTGTACAAAGAAAACTTGGGGCGAGCAACCCCCACCCCTATCACTCCAGAGATGGAGAGAGTCAAACGCAATCAAGAACACATTAGCTCGGTATTGTCTGGAAGAAGTAAAATGAGATATGATAGAGCTTTTTTTATTTTTTTATTTTGGAATAACTTATCTGCCTGGTTTTACTTAACCCTTTAAATCTATTTTCCTCAAATTTAGAAATTCATCATTTAAAATCATAGTATTTAAAATAATCTTATTTTTTGTTGGTAAATAACTTTTTTTAATACCATTTTTCCTCTGACCTCTCTCTCTCTTTTTTTTTTTCCTTTCCTAATGAATGATGTTTACTCTAAAAACCAATATCAGTAAAAGCATTTAATTTATGCATTTGTGACCCTGGGTTACTTTGTGATCTGTAGGTTGTATACAAAGAAGGCTTAGGGAAGGCAACTCCCACCCCTATCACTCCAGAGATGGAGAGAGTCAAACGCAATCAAGAACACATTAGCTCGGTATTGTCTGGAAGAAGTAAAATGGGATATGCTAGAGCTTTTTTTCTTTTTGAATCACTTATCTGCCTGATTTTACTTCACCCTTTAATTTTTTTTCCCTCAAATTTAGAAATTCATCATTTAAAATCATAGTACTTAAAAGAATCTTCTTTTTTTTTTGGCAATTAACTTTTTTAATACCATTTTTAATTAACTTTCTTAATATCATTTTTCCTCTGACCTCTCTCTCTCTTTTTTTTTTCCTTTCCTAATGAATGATGTTTACGCTAAAAGCAGTAACAGTAAAGTTTTTAATTTATACATTTGTGACTTTGGGTTACTTTGATCTGTAGGTTGTATACAAAGAAGGCTTAGGGAAGGCAACTCCCACGCCGGTCACTCCAGAGATGGAGAGAGTCAAACGCAACCAAGAACACATTAGCTCGGTACTGAAAGAGGAAAGACAACCACTTTATAGTAAAAAAAAAAAAAAATAATCACATGGAAAGAAATCCTCTAATTTAGCCTTATTTTATCAATTTACCTTAGTTTTGCCTATTTTTCCTTTTGTTCTAGCAAGTAACTTGTTAACTGCTTTAGTTCCCTAGAGCTTTTCTATCCCTTGCAGTGATGAGTATGCTAAAACAATAACACCATTTACAGAGCGAGCTCTGAGTAATTCCGGTTGTTGATTTGTGGACTTTTTTTGCGCGCTCCAGGTTTTGTACAAAGAACATCTGGCAAAAGGGACTCCAACACCCATCACTCCAGAGATGGAGAGAGCTAAACGCAATCAAGAAAACATTAGCTCGGTATTTTCTATTGAACCAATAAATAAGAATGCATTACAAAATAACATGTTTAATCCCTAAAATGTAGATTCTTCTCCTTACTCAATTTGAAATAACAGCGCAGATACTGACATTACTCCCTAGCTACCTAGTTTTGAAGTATTAAGTAATGATATGGAAATAAACCCCTTTAATACTTGCTTTTTTACTTCCTGTTGCAGCTGACTGTTTCTGTGTGATTAATTGCTCTATTTTTTTTTTGAATAGCAACAACTGAATTTCCAATAACATATGTAGCCTTATAATCTTTCAAAAGATTATCTTCTGTGTTTAGTGGACTGTATGAGTTATAAAATGTACATTCTTCAGTAACAGTATATTTTGTTTTAGATGCTGACAGTTTCCTGCAATTTATATAAAATATTCCAAACCAGGAAACGGCCTTCTTTGGCACCAAGTCTTTGCTCACCTGCTACTCCAGATGTAAAAGTTCTGCCATACCCCTTCCTGTCAATGTTCATGTGCACAACAAATTTCATGGCTCCCTTGATATATGCAGAATACGTTTGCAAACAAATGTTTATAGGAGCATGCTGCAGCTGTTACTGAAAAAAAAAAGAAACCCTCGAAAACCAGTAAAAGTTGTAATAATTCAATGATAAATACAGCTCTAATTATGTCATCTAGTTCACTCTGATAATTTCACTAATGTCAAATGTATGAAAATTATCCCAAAACTATATTACTGCATCACCTCTCTCTGTTATTACAAAGTTGATGAAGGTAAAGATCTCTTAGTTAAGAAAAAGGAAGGTTTGGAATCAGGCCCTCTGCAGTCCATGTCTCAGCATCATGAAAAAAAATTTGCTTTACATTCTAACTTTGTTCACTAATACAGGTGCTGGGTTCCCCTCACCGCCCGGTTTTGCCATGTTGTGTTGCTACAGCGCAGCTCAGTGCTCATGAGACAGAAATACCTTTCTGCTCTCTGCTCACTGCCTTTTTTTTTTATTTGGCAGGTTCTTTATTCAGATAGTTTCCGAAAACAAGTACAAGGCAAAGCTGCCTATGTACTGGACACACCTGAAATGCGGCGTGTACGAGAGACGCAGAAACATATCTCTACAGTAAGAACACATATATATGTATTTCTAACTTGGAAAGTGATTGAATAAAAATGTAACCTTAGTCCTGAGACTTGCCAGGGATTCCCGCTCAGAGACTGTGTACATTCAGCAAGTTTGGATACCCCATTTTTTTAAGTGATAAAAGCCAAAGAAACTTTGCAGGAAAGGCATGTTTGGGATTAGGCTCTCTCTCATTGCTCCTTGGATTGGAGGAAGCAGAAGTTCAGAACTGCAGTTCACATCTCTACTAGAAATTCACTTGTGGTAAGCAGGAATAAAAACAACTATTTATGTAAGCTATGGGTGGAACAGCCATTTCATTTTAATTTGCAGGTGAAATACCATGAAGATTTTGAGAAAAGCAAAGGTAGTTTCACGCCTGTAGTTACTGACCCCATTACAGAACGTGTGAAAAAGAACATGCAGGACTTCAGTGACATTAGCTATAGGGGCATTCAAAGACGAGTAGTAGAAATGGAGCGAAAGCGTGTGGACCAGGATCAAGAGAATCTCACAGGTAAGCAGAAGCCAGGTTTGATAAGGATTGGAGTCTTCTCTTTATGCAAAACACAAGCTGACCTTGATACATTGTCTTAAAAACTTTCAAGCTCAGCCATATCACTTCAAGCTGATCATTACTTTGAGATGAAGTTTTTATCAAATTAAATGTTGCATATATTTCCGATAGCAGCTCTAAACCACCTGTGGTCTGCCTCTCCCCTCCTGCCGAGAGCGCTCTCAGGAAGCCTGCTTGTGCTCCATGCTTCTCCTCAGAAAAGCATTATTTCTCTTACAGATCTTCGTGTGTGGCGCACTAATCCTGGGTCGGTCTTTGACTATGACCCAGCAGAAGACAACATTCAGTCCAGAAGCTTACATATGATCTCTGGTTTGTGTCACAGTCTGTACCATTTTTGGAAAAGAGGTGTTATACTTACATAAGCCCAATCTGTAAAACTGACAGTTTGGGGGCTACTGAAGTACAGTTTGGTGCTCCACCTAGCCAGGAGCACAAGTGTAGTCTTCTGTGGTGACCTCAGATACTGTATTGCACACAGACAAGATTTCAGAAGTTACACAGGGACCCAGTTCTTGTGGAAAATTAATGGAAATTTGAGAAAATGTCTATAGCTCCGCTGCAGCAGCACAATTATATATATGCTATCTTTTCATAAATATAGTTGGATGTTTAATAAATAGAGCTATATCTCAAAAACATAAAATTAATTCAACTTAAGTATCATATACAAATTATCTCTTAACACAGGGATATACTGGGTTGTTTCCACAGTCCATGGATTATATCATGATATGGTTGCTTGCCTGTAATGTGCTGCTTTGTTAACGAAGTCCAAAAATGCTGGTTCTTTGTGTCCTTTTTTTTAATGCTTTTCCTGCTAATTGTTTGAGAAAAGATGCAGCCTGAATGATAGAAAACACTGTATCAGGCTTGTCTCACATCTGTGTCATGTGAAGAAGGGAAGCAAGGAATAATTTTAATAACAAGTCTGGAAACTGGGCACAAAAGACAAAAAGGTTGGAAAAGGAAAAAAAATCTGAGTATTAAAAATAATAAGGGCATCACAACTTTATCTTTTTGACTAGAACTTTGGCATGGCACCTCTAGACTGCTTTTAATAGCTGTGGAAAATACTGTTGAATAACCGCAAAAAATAGACTTCTATGAATTTAGTAACAGTACACTGATGGTAGTGTGCTTTGGGGCCTTTTTTTGTGTAATGTGCGTGCGTGTGTGTTTGTGTGTCTATACGCGCACGTGTGCATGTATATGTATGCGTGCATCTTCTTGCAAAGTAACTACACACCCTCTCCTTGCAGTCCAAGCCCAGCGCCGCAGCAGGGAGCATTCCCGCTCTGCCAGTGCCTTAAGCCTCAGTGGTGGGGATGAGAAATCTGAGCCCTCAATTGGTGTGGATCAACATTTGTCCTACTACAGCAGTGGGGGCTTCTTTGCCACAACTGCAACAGGTATGAGAAAGACAAAAAAACTGCAATTTACTCAAATATGATCCAGAAGACAAAAATCCAAAATAAAACAGACAACCAACCCCCTCCCCACCACCACCCTCCTATCCATCTTGCAGGGCAGTGTTTGTCATTATATCCTGTAATGGCTCATGGTCCTGGCTTTAGCCAGGAAAAAAAAAAAATGCAAAGGTACAAGTATAAAAGCTTGAGCTAGGGACATAACCAACTGATGTAAATTGGAATAAAGCAGATTTGATGCAACTAACTCTCTCTCCCATATCTTTATGCAGACCATCTTCAACTCTAACCCCCATTGACAATTCCACAATAGATAGATAAAAGCATTAAGTACACTGAATAAATTACAAAATATAGTGTTTTTTTTTCTTTTGCAGTGGGCTACAAACATGCTAAAACTATAGAGCTGCCACAGCAACGATCATCTTCAGTTGCCACCCAGCAGACAACTGTATCCTCGGTTCCTTCTCACCCATCTACTGCTGGTGTAAGTAACATGCTCATGTAAGGCTCGCTTTAGTACCAGCCTGAAGGTGTCTAGGGTTGGCTTTCTCAGCATGTGTTAGTTTGGTTACCAATTTAAGTTATGCAGCCTTGGTGGCCCCTACATAGCCTTTAGTGCATGCCTCATGCTTCAACTCACATTAGGATTGAATAGCTAACAAACAAGCACGCTTATGTTCTGGGCTGAAGTTTAGTACAAGCCAGGGGAAAAATGTAGCACCATGGACATGGGATGGACTTCAGCCTGCACTCAAGAACTTTAACACTCACTCTTCTTCCCTATCCTGAGACCAAGCTGTAGAGTAGATATATGGCAACGGTATAGCATCACCCTCCATGAAAGATGTGCTGAAAGGCAGCACCTTTACGTTATGGTTGAAGCTGATGTTGCTTAATACGCTCTGAAATCATTTTGTTCAGCTTCAATGTCACTAAACACACAGAGGCTCTAAGCTGAGGTACTGTGCTGGCTGACCACCTTAGAAGCAAGGAGACTGCTTCTGCCTGAAACTGAACCTAACAGCAGTTTCAGAGAGGGAAAAAAAAAAAAAAATCCTACAACCATTTCAGGAGTTGAAGTTCAAGTCCTCATTGAAATTTTGTGATCAGAAATCAGGCTCTTTCTTTCTTGAAATGACCTGCCAAAGATACTGCAACCAGCAAGTACTTTTAGAGTACTAAAATAAGGCAAAACACAACTTACCCCTGCTGTCCACTTGCATGTTGATTCTGACCAGCAACTAGTCAGTGCCTGCTAACAGCATTGGTATAAATGTGCCTCTTCTTTTTTTTCCCCTCCTCCCCGGCCTTTTAAAACTAACAGAAGACATACCGGGCCATGTATGACTATATGGCAGCTGATGCTGATGAAGTCTCCTTCAAAGATGGTGACACAATTGTAAACGTACAAGCAATTGATGAAGGCTGGATGTATGGGACTGTCCAGAGAACTGGCAAGACGGGCATGCTGCCGGCCAACTACGTAGAAGCGGTCTAAAGCAAACCACATCTTTCCATAAAGCATATCTGTGTGGCAAAAGAAAAAAAACAAACAAACAAAAAAAACCCCCCCTACCCCAACCATGTAGGCACTTTTCAGAATGTAAGCGGTTTGGAAAAAAAAAAATACTACAAGCGTGCCTTATTGTTTTCCATGTTGATAATGCTTTATGAACCATCCTCTTGGTGGGGGAGGATAGGAGGGAAAAACAAACAAAAAACAAAAAACCAACCACAAACCTATCAACATACTACAGTAACTGCAGAGCAAGATACTTCTTTTAAAAATATATTTCCAAAACAGTTTTGAAAACTGCCTGTAACAACACTACCAGTCATTGCTCATAGGAGATTTATATTTTTTTCTATTGCCTGGACTTACTTGCATATAAAACAAACATCTCTGTGCCAACCACCACTATTTTGTTCAGCTGTGCTAGAATTGCAATCCAGTTGATTATCACAGAACTTCTGTTCAGGTATTTAAGATTAAGACTACCTAATGTTACTTTATTGATTTTTCCCATGAAGAGAGAGTATTTTTCTGGTCTATTCCAAAATGTTTGAATGTATTTCTTCTCCACATAAGCAGTACCTAAGCTTAGTATCTCAAACCAGACAATATTTATCTGGAGAAAAAAAAAACCCTACAGCAAAAGCCTCTCCTCTGCTTGCTGAGCACTCATGCATGTGTTTTTCATCCAAGTGTTCTGGGGTCAAAAGCTGTTACTTCTTGTAAATTAGTGAGTAAATAAAGCTAATGTTTCTGCAATATGTTGAATGTATTCACTCATATTCAGGAGCAGGAATCAATCTCATATTGGCTTTGTCCAGAAAATTTTGATTTGAAAAAGGAAAAAAAAAAAAACATGAAAGTTTAAGAGGATGCAACAACCACACCAGCAAAAGTCAAACTCTGAGGGGCTACGACTAAACTCATCAAATTATTTCTATGTAAAGACACTGGTTATTTATTTGAATCATCTACTGCAGCATTTTGGTACTGGCCAGTATCAAGAATAAGATAGAAATAAGAAAGCACCGTCTATGCTGTGTCCAGAGGAGACTAAAGATTAAAAATAAGTTAGTAGAAGTTACAACATTACCTTTGAAGGAATAGTAGTCACAGTGAGTCAGACCTGTACACATCTAAACCAGCCTGAAAGGGGAAATGCCCTTTTTTGAAGTGGGTTCACACTGGCAAAGTCAATCAGCAGAATTGCTAGCACTGGAGGATGTTGGTTAAACAAAGACGTTGTAGCCTCTTCCCACGTTAGGCACATCCTTAGTTGCGGAGGTCACTGGCTACAACAGATGAATAAACATGTAAGGAGGCAGGGGTTAGAACCAAAAAACACTTTCAGGAAAGCAAGGAAATCTACAAAATACTCCTCAATGGGGCAGTTTACGTTCTTGCTACGAGACGCCTCTGTCCTGGTCTTTACTTTCTTTGTGAGCAGAGCAGAGCCGTTTTACAATTTTGCTGACAGGACACTATACTACCTGGTTCCTTGAGGACCTACTCCTGCTTTAAGGATGCACTGGTCATGCTCCGAGGTCCCTTCCAACCTTGTGATTCAAGCACAAGGTTGAGAGGGTTTAACAGGCCCTCAAGGCATCATTTACTAAGAGGCATCTCAAGTCTTAAGTTTAAATGAAAAAAAGAAATACTGACATTAACAAGTTAGAGAACTATTTACTCTTTTATTTGCACATGTGTAAGTTTTAAAAACACCTGCAGCAATTCCTTTCAATAAATGTCCATTTTGATAGCTACAGTACAATATATACAAATAAGTTTTCCCAAGTAAAACCCAAGAATTCTCTCTGAAGGTCTCTGAGAAGCAGCAATGCATTCCATGCAATTAAAATTCAATATCATAAATTATTAACCAACATTTGCAATCATAAGTCTGTACATAATATACAAAGAGCTCATGTCAAATCCATTCATTTCCCCATAGGAAAAAGTCTTCTCCACAGAAGAACACTGCTGCAAACAAACCTGTTAGAACATGGGAAAGAACATGAGAGGTTTTGCAAAGTCTTGTGCCTGTAAGGGTCCATTTTATCATCACCTTCTTAGTGTGACACTTGCAAAAAATGCATGCAAAAATAGATGCCATCCAGCTGTCAAATACCGGGTCATTGGACAGTTGCCACTGTAAGGAATTAAGCACAGCTCATCTCAATGTAAAATGGTGCCTAACAGAGATGCACTGTCTGTCAAAGTTCCAGCAACTTAAAAGGGAAACAACATGGACAACAGATCAGCAGAGCTGAGAGACTGATCTCTAACCATATAGTAAGAGTTTGCAGCAGTAAGAACACTTAGGATTTGGAAAAAAAAATAATTTAACTACTCTGTCGGTTTGGTTTCACAGTCTTTGCTATTGCACACCTTATCAAGTTTTCTTTCACGACCTGAAAGAAATATGCATAGCAATATGATACAAATTCCTCTAATATGGAATAAGCAATCCCACAAAATAGAACAACAAAAAACACATGATACATTTTGCTCATACAGTTGTTAAAAAAATCTTCTATAGTACAAATGCACAGAATAATTCACAAATATGAGGAGCAAGTTTTCAGAAAAATCATTGTAACAAAATCCTCCTTGCTTAGAAATTATAAACAACTAATCAGAACTTTCATGGGGTGGTGATTTCCAGCGGGACTGCAGGTTTTTCATGATACAGTTTGTCATGACAACAAGTTTTTCCTGCATCTCAAAAAGTTGGCTTCCTGAATAGCTGTGAAGATCTTCAGAGGTTAGCTGAGCAGCAAGCGCATCAATTTGGCTCAGAAGATCTGTTGCTGGTTGGCCATTTGTATTCAACAAAACTGGTTCAATCAAATCTAAAACGGAAGATAAGTAGGAGAGTGTATTAAGTCTATTTTCTTTTATATCTGAGCAGAATTAAGCTGGAACAGAATGTTACAAGTTTCTTCTACACAAAATAACATATTCAAGCAGTCCACACACAGTATGAGGGAGCATCTGACAAAGGCACCCCTCAGAACTAAAGGCCCTTCTTTATACAAGGGACCTTCATCACGCTTAGCTATATTGTATAATCACAGTCAAGGACAAAATAGTGGATCCTATTCCAATACTGCCAGTAACACACATTATGCCAGGGAAGTCACACTTTTAAACTGGACAGCTGAAGAAAAGTTAATCCTGTGTTCTTGGTTCTCCAGTTAACCAAATGCTTCAAAGTATCTTGTAGGAAGAACAAATACAGATTTCTGTTTAAACTATCCGGCCAAACTCCAAAAACGCACACTAGAATTCAGATAAAAATCTAGGCACCCAAATCCAAAGTGGGTATCCTGGGAAACACTTGAAGTGCCCCCTCTCCCTAAAGGGGACACAACTCTTAAGTACCTCAGTTTCATCTTAACCTACTCAAGACATCTTGTTTGGTTTCTGTGCATGCCCAGAAGCACAGCAGTTACAGTATTAAGCAACTCAGGACACAAGCTGGTTGACATTCAGAAAATTGAGTATTTACGGAACCCTGCCTCATGTGTTCTTAACATGCTTATAGAACCTTATTTACCAAAAAACAGAGCACCTCTCCCTCAAAATTAAGTTTTTAAAAGCCATTACTATATGGCTTCTTTAAGTGATTAACACAATTAACCACCTACTGCGTTAATACTAGGTGTTAACTCTGTTAAAAAAAAGAAAGAAAAATAACAACTGTTGCCATTAGAACAAAACAAAAGCAACAAAGTAATAGAAGCATCCAAATCTAAAGCAAAAAGAGTGTAATAGTTACCTGTTGCAAGTTTTTCTTCATCTACAGAAACAGATTTATCCTCTATATTGTTTACTGGCTTTTCTGTGTCTTCAAGGGCTGCTATTTCCTCAAACCCTCTAGACTTTACCTGATTTGGAAGAGAGCAAGAGAGACATTTTCATGGGGAAGAAAAAAATCCCCCTCCAAAAACACACGGAAATTACATGGTGGGACATGTTTCATTAGGTTGTCACACTGGCTTTTTGAGTACTAACACCGAACTTTACCTGTTGCTCATGATATCCTTTTAGAGCTTTTTTAACATTGGAAACTTTAGGAGAACGGATAGGAAGAGTTTTGATTTCGGATGCCGTCAAAGTACTCAGATCACCCACTGTCTTAATATTCTTTGCTCGAATGAGTTGCCCCAAACCTCTTGCACTGCAGCAGGGAGGGAAAAAAAAAAAAGTCATCGTTTTTATTGTGCCAGAATTCATGTCCCTTTTCCCTGGGATGAGGGAGCCGGAAGAATTTTACATCAATGCCAGTGCACATGCACATGAATGAAGGAAAAAACACAATGGAAATGACATTCTTCTATTTGTAAAGAGGTACACCTTTTTGCAATTCACCCTACATCCAAAGAATGACATTCTAAAACTCAAGTATGGTTGACAAGAAAAAGCTGAGTACACTAAAAAGGCCACCCCAAACAGTTCCTATAAAGTTGGTCTCATCACACATCATCAGAATTTGAAATTCACTATCAGAAACCAGCTGAGCTTGTTGGGAGTAATGCAAAGAAAGTGAGCTGCTCAGAAAATAGAGCTGTGTTTCAAGTTTACAAAAGGTTAGATAAGCACTCACGCTTAGTGGTGCGCGAACGAAGCACAAATGCTCGTCTAACCTTTTGGAAATTTGAAACAGCTGTTTTCTCAGCAGCTCACTTTCTCCAAGTACTCTCAGCTGGGAAGATGGTATCTTTAGCAATCAGCAGAAATGCCCAGAAAGCTCCAATTGCTATCGCCACAGATCATTAAGATCAGTCTGCTCCCTCATATCCACTGGGGAAGGCTCCCTGTGTTCCTAGGAGCAAGCTTGTCACAGCTTTACAAAAAGTAGTATCGAGTAATTTCACAAGAGTTAAGTCGCTTCCTGCCCCCGCCCCCCACTTTCACAAAATTTTTGGCCAAAGATGTCTCCATAAGTCATCACATCTTGTATCAGAGAAAATATTTTTGTA